GACTTCATCGGCCTTTGATCCAAAGTCCAAACTTTGAAGATTAAAAACCTGTTTACCTCCCTGAAGCAACCGAAATCCATTCTCTACTGTGAGGTGCTGTTGATGATATTCCGGTGATAATATTCCACTCATATCTTATTCTTTGCTTTCATCTTTTACAGTCTTATGTTTCATCATCTTTTTGTTTTGAATGTAGCGAATTAATTAGAACAATTTTATGATGGATATACTGTTATTTTTTGTCTACAGGATTATGGTATTTTGAATGTGAATTGCAGTCTTCTTTTGCAATAAGTTTGTGAAGGTTAGTCATTAATTTCTTTCAATATGGTCTTATATATGTAATTGAAAGTGTATTTGTCACAATTAATTTGATGTATCGCTTTTTGCTCTTGGTACATGAGTTTGGGGGAAATTCTTTTAATCCAAAGGATCTGCAAAAACATTACAGGATGCTGTGCCAAATGATACTGTATTTGTACGGAATGCTGCGAAAAAGGTTTTGTTTTTCTTTTGTGGTCAAGTAATTGATGAGATGTCACGATCCATGACTTGATCTTGATTCAGGAAAGCTTTTTGCTATATTTGGAAATATGAACTATTTCGAAGGGCCTTCTCCACTCTGTATTTTCATTGGGATCCAATACCAATGCCTACACCAAAGGTAGTCCTTGCATCTCCCAACTTTCATAATTTAGCCAGAATCAATAATCCATAGTTCGACATGAGCCTCATATGTTCCTCATTCCTCATTGATCGAAACTCTAAACAGTGGTGAATATCCTTTCAATTTTCTTAGGTTGGACAACCCCGAAAAAAGTGTCCTTAAAATGAAGAATAAAGGTACAAGATGATAGAGGAGCTTTGCCTCGCTTTCAACCTAAGATGTTAGATGAGCGTCCTTACAATGAAGGTTTCAAGAATCAATTCAAATTCGTCTTTAACCTCACTTGGTCATCATCATCAACACATATCTGGAGCATAATTATAATACAAGAATGAACCAAGAAATTATTCTGATGTATCAAAACTTATTGAGTCTGTATTTTTATTAATTACAAGCTAAGAGATTAAGTTGAGCTTATGCACCTTCTCTATTATTCTTTTCCTTCGTATATTGTGTTATGTTTTAGATTAAGAACATTTCTTTCAATCAAATCACTGACTTCTAATTCCTTTTTTGACGACCCTCAATTTTATTTTAGTAAAATAATATAATTCAAGGTTAGTCTAAATATAAGAATATGGATATGTTAATCACTACTAACCAAAAAAAAGGGTCTATTATAAGGATATGTTAATAACAAAAATTCGAAACCCATTATTGCATCTCAGATCAAACTGGAATCCAATTCCTATGATCGAATTGCTGCAGGAGTGTTTTAATGGAAGTAATAACATTCTTAATAAAATTTATTTGTAAAATTGGGTACAGAAGAAATATAAATTGTTACTAAAGTATCATTTTCAAATTGTTTAAATAAGATATTTATAACCTCTACGAATGCACGGGTCCAGAACCTAATATATATAAATATATTATATATATATCTCTTTTACCTTATTAAAACAGAATATATGATATTGATATGGCAATTTATTATTAAATTTTTTTTGCTCCAAATGCACCATATTGCATTAATCATTCTGCCACGTGTCATCCTTTTTTAAAAGAAAAAAAAATTCTTATCCGGAGAAACAAAAGCTACTTTACAAAAATAGCTACAGAATTTTAATTATTAACATTTATCATTTATCAATCAAATTAAAATAGCATTTTAATTTTCCCATAAACTTATCTCCTTTATTACTCCACATTCTTTTGTATGATTTCTGTATCGTTGTAATTTTTAATATTTTTTCTCCTTTGACAGATGAATTTTTTATTTTTATTTTTATTTTTGGCTAAAAAAGGGAAAAAAACCAAATGTATACCTATTTTATTTTTTCCAAATCAAGAATTCATTTATGTATTAACACAAAATTAAAGTAGAGGGGCGCCCGGACATCTGGCCGGGCCAAACATCTAATATATTCTATTATGGAAAACCCACTGCAATGCCAAAAGCTGACATGTCAAACTATTAGCCAAAATTTTCCCCCCTAAAACCATCTTCCCAAAAATAATGTCGTTTCACATCCTTCATCCCTTCCTCCATATCCTAATTTTAAGCAGCACTAAAATATACTATTGTTAATTAATATCTCAATATTAATTCTAGAAAAATTCCATCAGTCCTTCCTCAAATTGAGTTCTCCACGATCTCAAAAACCTAAATGAAACTGCCTCCATCTCTCTCGTCCTTCATCGCTCCGAACTCTTTCTTCTCACATCTACAATTACTTTTCAATCTTTAGATTTTGCGCAGAACACAAAACCCGCAACAAGATAAATCTATGACAGCGAAACAAAGACTTTAACCTCTTGCAAAAAATAAATAAACAAATAAATAAATCTGGCGCTTAGACGAAACTTACAACACCACCGTTTCTGGAGAAATCTTGAGATCACCGGCGAAGACAAATAGCATTGTCGAGCAGCATCCAACTCCATCAAATTCAAAGAAAGCGGCAAACACCGGCGACAGTAAGTTTGCTTCAATAACGGGAGCCAAGAGAAGCCCATATAAAAGCCAATTCCCGTTCATGAAATAATATTTGTTCCCTTCCATTTTATGATGGGAAACAGAGATGACACCATGGTGTTGCCTCGAAAAAGCTTATTGCATGATGTTGGAGTCCAAAAGATTGTAAATTGTGAATACTTCATCAACGATTAGAGCATGGAATGTTCTGACAATTGAAGTATTTCGGACCTCATAAGCTCTTGACGCATCCACGACTAAATGAAACCATCTATGTTTTTTTCATCTTAGCTAATTAAACGATGATGCTGACATGCAAACTAGATGCATGAATTGCACTTTTCATATATCTACATGCTTTCATACGATACGGCCTCATGTTAATCATGATTAGATTAGTTTACTTGTATTATGAGATAAAACTTTTTTTTTTTTTCATTTTCTTGGGTTCACTTGAGAGATCAAACTTAGTTATTGATGATATTGCTTTTGTCTTTACTTTTTTTTTTAACCTCATTTTGCTTTTTTCGGTTCATGTTTATAATATAGGCAATTCATCAGCAAATTATATATATACCAACTACTTATTATATGTTATAGCATAAATGATCTAGGGTACATCTAATAATACTTCAATAGTGTTATATATATTAAACGATACCTTTAATATGTCATTTTCAACCATTCATATTTTAGATGTAAAGATACATTATTAGGTTATCATGTACCCGTGCGAATGCACGGGTCCAGAACCTAGTAATTATTACACTATCATCAACCCCCCTCTCTCTATATATATAATATGTAATTAATGAGTTTGTTCAAAATTTTGATAGCAATTCTCATATGTGTTAATCCTCCACACATATGTAACTATTCAATCCTCTCATCTTCATTTGCATTATTATCATCGTCATTATTAATCAAACTAAGTGTAAAATCGTCGATTCATTTTCTCTACAATTTCGATAGCAAAACTCAACTTTTTATTTTTTTCATCATTTAATCTAATAATCGTTACTTTGGTTACACACAATTTCTTTTCTCTATTTAAGTTTTTTCCTTTTATTTTCTCACCATAGCTGCAATTGAAAAGTAAAATTTAACTCTTCATATTCTTCATTAACTTTTACAATTATTATTAATAATATAACAAGAAACCCTTGGTTCCTTCTTTCATTTTGTCCATCTCTCCTTTAATATAAGTTCTTCCCAGATGCTAAGCATCACAATTTTCAGTTTAAATCTCTCTCACTCCTAGCTTCCCTCCCTCAACCTCCCTCCCTCTCTGCTATTTCTCATTCTTTCATTCCTATTTCGTAATTCTCATCTTTATTTATTTATGACAAAACAAAAAAACATGAATGTTCTGCAAAAGATGAATGTTTTGGAAAGAAAAACCCAACGTGTCTATGGGGTACAAATATGTACACCATGTTGAAGGGGCTCTGGTTTGAATAGAAAGTTTTTTTCTTTTTTTTTAATTATATGGTTTCTTGTATACTAAATTTCTTTCATAAAGAAGATCATTATTATGTTTTCTCGATTATTCATTTATTCTTATTGGGACTCAAAATGCTTTGAAATTGAAATGTTAACCGTTGTTGAAATCGAGAATTACATAAGTGTTCATTTTTAAGACATGTATTTTCTTTATTTTATAATTTCTAATATAAATGCTCACAAAATTACAAAAAATTATTAAAAAATTTCTCTATATCAATTTATTTTATGTTTCTTATTTTTACAAATATTTTTATTTTTACAGTTTTTATAAAATATATTATCATAGGACACGCACGTCGCGGGAAACAATTAACTACTTTTTACATTAAAAACCAACTTTAGATAACTTTTATTCATAGCTGAAACAATAATAAATAACAATAATAAATGAATTGTTAACTTAAGTGAATTGCTTCATCTGTCCAAAAAGAAAAAAGTCTGTTTGTTGTAATGTTTTAGTTCAATACAATAGTTCTCTTTTTTATCTAAAAAATTTGCTATGTTTTTTTAATCTAATAAAATGGATTTATTTTTTTTTAGATATATGGTGTATAATTGTTTTTTTTTTTTGGTTGAAACTAACTTGTACTATGTTTTTTTAATCTAATAAAATGGATTTATTTTTTTTTAGATATATGGTGTATAATTGTTTTTTTTTTTTGGTTGAAACTAACTTGTATTGCATATTCCATTCATTTGTTTTCTTTGGACAATTATGCATTTTTTTTTGGTTTACATTATGCAAATTTTTTATTACTATTACCACTACTGCTATTATTATTATCATTATTATTATTATTATTATCATTATTCTTTGTTTTTTTTGACACCAAACCATGTGCACATTGCACAATGTATTCTGATGTGTGACTCCACTCCACAGCTGAAATGCCTTTTAGGCTTTTACACCATTTCCTTAATTGAAAAACAAAAAGGGCAAAAGAATGATATAGTAATAATATTTAGACAGCACTACAAAAATATTCATGATCCCTGCCAAGCCACACTATCAGTATTAGCAAACGAACAAACATGATGAAGGCTTTGAGATTCTCCCTTCTTCAATTTCTCCTTTCAGTATATTTCTTCTCATTTTGCCCAGTGAATTTGGCTATGAATATTGAACAAGACCCATTAATCAAAACCATGGAGGATTTCTCTGGGTATGCAATTCATGAACCACAACTCTCAGAGTCTCTGTCTTCTTCACTCTCAGTGGACACTCAAAATCTGCAGAAGCAGGTACACAAAAAAATCCCACATATAAAGTTTTGATTTTTAGCCTCATTCTAACCTATTTGAGTTGTTTTTGTCTTTGTATGTGGGTTTTTGTAATTATTTTCTCAAAGATTGTGTTTTGTTCTTTCGGGCTCTTGATAGTTTAGCTTTCGGTTTATTTGGAGCGTTGGTATCTACTCTGTTGATTTTCCTTCATAAAGGGCCTTCATATTGGGTTAAATTTAATAAGTTTAGTTCAAGTTACTTATATTTCCCCCTTGTTTTGGGGTGAAAGGAAGGTCTTTAAAATGATTCTTGATAGATGAATATGCATATGCATTAGATGCAGGTGCTTAAAACTTTTTATTTCTTAGTTTAGTCTATTTAGAGAAGTTAAAGCTGTCTTATATGCAAATTATAGTTTCGGGCCTTCAACTTCGCTGTCAATTATGATGTATGCATGCTTCTCTATTGATTGAGCGAGATAATTTTCTTATCCCTGTTATATTTTTGCTAGATTGATGAGCTGTCAACTTTTTCGGATACATCTGCACCATCAGTTACTAGGATCTTGTACAGTGAGAAGGATGTTATGTCTCGAAGGTAGGTAATTTAGAGGCCACCCTCACCAATTATCCTGTGTCTGCTGGTTAGTAGAGATGGTTGTCTAATGCTTTTATAAAAATGAACTGTTGAGCAAAAAATAAAACAAATAGTGGCATTAGCAAGTCTTGTCTAAAAAAGAAAAAGAAAATGAAGAACGAATGAAAAACTAAAGGCTTGTCCAATTGAAACTGAAGGTGAATTATTCTAGTTGAAAGAATGAATGAAGAGTGTTGTTTTACGGATTTGTCACAGCTTTATTTAAAAAAATTGACTTCATGACATTATTGATAACTCTTAGCTGTTCTTGTTGCATGCCTTCTATTGTGCAGATATATAAAAAATATAATGGAAGCTTCAGGTCTTTCGGTAAGGGAGGATGCTGTCGGAAACATTTTTGGTCAGTGGTGAGTCAACCACTTATTCACTTTGTCACCTTTTTCTTGACCTAAAGATATCCTACGCTTAGCAAGTATGGTGTTATGGACTTTACTTTGAGATTGCTAAACTTTCTAATGATAATAGTCTGTCGAGGATGCATTTGAACTAATTTCTAGAGTTTTCTAGAAAAATCAAACACAAAATGTTCCTCTAAGTAGAGTTCTTTTTTTTTTCTTGGTGCTTATTGTCTTTACCATTGAACTAATTTAAATTGTCTGTATCTGTTTGAGTAGCATCCTTGTAAGTTTAGAGTTATTTATGTGCTTGATATGATTAATCTGCTTAACTCTGCTACATCTCAATAGGAGTGGATATGAACCGGAGCTTTCTCCAGTGTCAACAGGATCTCATACAGATGCAATACCATATTCTGGAAAATATGATGGGGTAGTTGGCGTTTTGGGTGCAATAGAGGCCATCAATGTTCTCAAGCGGTATACTGTTTGATTGTTTAGAATCATTGTTGTGGTTCTGCTTGTCATATTTCTAGATATCTTCCTTGCTGTCTGTTACCTCAATACCAGTTCTTTGTATAGAGAACTGAATTTAATAATTCGCTAAAATTTCTTGAGGTTGCTGTTGATCATGGGCTGTTGAGAAGGAAGTAGTTGACTCAAATAAAAACATGTCCTGCAAATTATCCAGTAATATTTTTCAGTTCCTTTTAAGGGTATTCTTCACCAAGTTTAGCAATGTTCCTTAACATTGTAAGTAGCAGTCTTCAAGATTTTTCACTCATGTTTGTGGACCCCAGAGGTCTGCTCCAATGTTACATGCCTAGATAAGAAACATTTGTAATCCTCAGTTGTGAGATGCCATATTGACTCCTGTCTTTGACTTTCTTTCATGTGGCTGTTGCTAATTCTTGTACTTTGCAGCTGATTCCAAACCTAATCGATCACTTTGTTCTGGTGTTTAAACTATGTAGGTCTGGCTTTAAACCTAAAAGGTCACTGGAGGTGATTATGTTCGCTTCAGAAGAGCCTACACGATTTGGCATCAGCTGTCTTGGAAGGTTTGTACAAAATATAAGTACAACTTTGTTGCTGCCATAATTATGAGCCTTTTTAATCTTTCATATCGACCAAATAAATTATGAACCTTTTGTACTTTTCATCTTTTCTTTTTGGTTTGAAAGATTCTGGATGTTCCAAAACCTATCACAATCTGTCTCCTAAGATTTCCAATCCTGTCTGAATTTGCAGTCGGTTGTTGGCGGGAAGTGAGGAACTGGTACAACAACTAAAGAAGACAGTGGACAGTGAAAATGTTGCCTTCTTTGATGCTGCAAAATCTGCAGGATACAAAAACGCAGAGGATTTATCCTCCGTGTTTCTGAAGAATGGAAGCTATTCTGGCTTTGTAGAGTTGCACATTGAGCAAGGTCCTATCCTTGAAGAAGAAGGTAGCGGTGTTCATTTTTGCATATACAGGAATATATAGGAGAATTCAGTTTCTATTTGTGCTAACTGCTATATTTTCGTTTGAGTAGGAATATCTATTGGGGTTGTGACTGCTATTGCTGCCCCTGCTAGCATCAAAGTGGAATTTGAGGGCAATGGAGGCCACGCCGGGGCTGTCCTGATGCCACAGAGGTATATACACTCAAGGGAATATTTCCCTTGGCTGACCCTTGTAAAACGTTGACGCTTTTCATTTTTCTTTATTGATTTCTGCCGTCAGGTTGCAAGATTACATCACCTTGTTTTCCCTGTAATTTGTTGAAAATGACAACTGTACTTGACTAATTTTGGGATGACATCTTCGGACTGGAGTCTGTCAGCTCGGCCATTAGTACAGTGCTTTCGTTTTCCATTAAGTTTAGCACGGAATCGAGCTTGAAATATTATGATTTCTTCCTCTAATTCATGAAAGATTTCATGAGAAATTGTCCATTTTTGTCTTATTTGGTCATCCACCACTGTTGATGTCACCTTTTCCAGTAAATTTGTCTTTCTGTTTTTCATGTCTTAGTTTCTTAGTATGTTTTCTCCCCTCTAAATGTTTCTATACTTCTACATCTTGTTTGGCCCAGGAATGATGCAGGACTGGCTGCTGCAGAGTTGGCTCTTGCTGTTGAGAAACATGTTTTGGAGTCTGGATCTGTTGATACTGTAGGCACAGTTGGTAAGCCTCTTCTATAAGTTGTTTACTGCAGATAGTTCTCTGGGTTGTTTGTTTGTTTGAAGAGTGATGGAGAGAGTATCATATATTGTTACCTATTGCTACCATATTGCGACTGTTTTTATGTGTATAAGACTAGTCATTTTGAATATTAACCAATATTCTTGTTTCCCTAAGGTATTCTTGAGCTTCATCCCGGGGCAATCAACAGCATTCCAAGCAAATCACATTTGGAAATAGGTCAGTTTTTCTAGTGATAATGCTGGGAATGTTGATAATGATGTTGATGATGTAATGCTCCTTAGATGTTGGAAGTCAGAATTATAACAAAACAATCAATTTTTATCTGGATGGTTTTCTTTCTTTTGCTAGTTTAATGTAACTTGCAAAATTCAAGTGAAGAGTTAACATTCTCACTTTTCCTGGAAAACAGTGGAAAGAGACTGTGGTCTCTTTTATATACCTTAGTAACTGCTTTTTCATATATCTTGCAGATACACGTGACATTGATGAAGAGCGTAGGAATTCTGTTGTTGATAAAATTTATCAATCAGCCCTAAGCATATCTAAAAGGCGTGGTGTTAAGTTGTCACAATTTAATATTGTCAATAAAGATCCTCCTGCACTGTCTGATGAATTGATCATCAAGGCAGCAGAATCTGCGAGTCGTGAGCTAAATTTGACGTACAAGAAGATGATTAGTAGAGCATATCATGATTCGCTATTTATGGCCAGGTAATGAGAAACTTTAACAAGAACCAAGATGTGAGTTAAAATATGGATAGCACATTTGTTATCCTAAGTAAAAACTATCGAGTATTCAATGGCACTCATTGAGAAATGCTACTATTTGCAGAATTACACCGATGGGCATGATATTTATTCCATGTTATAAAGGTCTGGTGCCCTTCAATTTTCACTCAGTGACTGAATCTGTACATTTTCTTCGCAGGCTACTGTCTTCTGTGTCATATTAATTGTTATGTTTGTTTGTTTCCTCGCAGGCTACAGTCACAAGCCCGAGGAATATTCATCCATTACTGATATTGCCAATGGCGTAAAAGTCTTGGCATTGACACTAGCCAAATTGTCCATCTCATGATGTCTTCAGTCTTCAGTAGTTTCATCAGACAAACTAGTTTTTCTGGTTGCAAACTAATCTAGGTACGTGTAACATTGCTACTTGCTCAGGTGATTGTAAGTGAGTACAAGATGTTGTGCATCAAAACTATCTTAGTCCTTGTGTTTTAGTTGTTATACACATGCGGTTAACTTAGGTGTAAAAATAACAGCACAATCTTTCAGGGGACGATGAATTCGTCGTCAGTAAACCACTGGATTTATGTAATTCCAAGAAATGATTTAAGTAGGGAAGAATGAGATAACTCTATCTTGTCTGGGAGATCACTACTCTTGATTTCCTCAAACAACATTAAGTAATACAGCAGAGGTTCAAATTCACTAATCTACCAAACTAGTTCCTACAATGCTATAATTAACCTACTCTATAAAGGCAAAGTTGATTTTTTTTTTTTTCCCCTTACATGTTCATTTTGATCTATTTCGAATTTCCGCTCAACATTTGATTGGTTGCTGCTGTATTCTTGGTCTTCTCCAGTATGATCTCTATCTGTCAGACAAAACAATGCATGTCAGTATGAGATGTAGAATGGTCAGATTTAATCGGAGAAACTAAAGAGTGTTGTATCAGTAAATCTAACCCTAGCCTTTCTTACAAAGCGTCCATTTGATTCATCATTGTTGCCCACTGTTGAGATCATAACCTCTGTTCATGATGAAACACGTCCAAGAACAAATATGTGACACCATACAGAGTAGAGAAATATGAATGATTATCAGTAAAAGCTTCTTACTTTGGTCCGTCGCAATTCCATTTCTCTTCAAAATCTCAGCAATTATAACCACGGTAGGAATTGCTGCAGAATGGTAGACAAGAAAATGTGACATGAATTAGCACTTTCTGAAAGTAGAATGTTCAAGTGAAATTTGGGCATGCAATAAACAATCATATACGTACCCATTCCCAAGGCAGAAAGCTCAACCTCATCATGTTGCTTAAGATATCTCTGCAAGAAGACCAATGATGTAAATGTAACGTGTAAAAGGATCGGGGATGAACAGAACAATGCTATAAAATTCAATTCCAGTTGTCTATCAGAATGACCCAGAACATAATTTTGAACCCATTTTAGAATCAGATAAGAATGATCATTCTGAAAACAGGACAAAGGGAATAATTGGGTTGGTTTCAAACTGGATCCTATGTTGCCAAAATGCATACTGATAGATGGGATCACAGACAAATAGATCTATATGCATGCAAACCAAAGCCAACCTACAATTGCAAGTTTGCAACACAACACTAGAAAGAAGAGGAAAACACACACACACACACACACTCACACACACACACTCACACACACACACACAAATGCATGCATTACACACAAGCAACACTAAAAAATTGTTTTTCGCAGAAAAGGGACCTTGGCAAGATTAAGGTAGAAAAAGAGAGGCTTCTTGGTATTGGAGACTTGAATCCTGTTGTTCTTCCTCTGGTTCTGGTTCTGATTCAGGAGATTACTGTCCTGAGGAGGACGATGATCATTAGATTTGATTGCACCACCACCATTGTTATTACTCTCCTCTTTTCCATCATTAGATTTGAATGTACCACCATTGTTGTTGTTGTTTTTGTCCTCCTTTTCATCCTTAGATTTGATTGTACCATTGTTGTTGTTGTCCTCCATTGCTTTGGAGACGTCTTCGGCGGCTTCTGTCATTTCTTCCTTTCAACAAAAAGCCAAGAAATTTGTCTATCCTCCTCTCTACACTCACTCTTTCCGGGGATTTCTCAAGAAATTTTACAAACCACTAATTTTTATAGATTATTATCACACCTTTTCACATTGATGATTTTCTCAAACGAAACCATGAAACTATATGTTTGTTAGAGACCCGAAATTAAAGGGGTGGGTTCTCAATGAAAACCTATACTCGTGGATGACCCTGATAGAGATTGGAGAGAGTTGCTCTATTCTGAAAACTTTCAGCCAAGTTAAATGAAATAAGGACATAATCAAAGAGAAATGTCAACGTAGCTTTTTGATGCCAACATACATAATTGAGGTAATTAGAATAAAATGATACTCTCTCCGTTCCACAAAAAATAGTCCACGTTGAAAACTCAACGTGGACTATTTTTTTTTTGGGACAGAGGCAGTACTAAATTAATAAGTTAAATTAAAAAAATTTTTTGTCCCAATTTAGGACCGGTGCAGAAAGTAAATAAAATCGATAAAAAAATAATAATGTTTCACTGTAATGTATATCCCTAAGTCCCATGAATACTATTAAATTAATAATTACCCTAAATAAATAAGTTTTAGCAGTCCTAACACTATTAAGAGTTTTACTGTGTTCACTTACGCGACTATAACTATATAATTTCACGGAAACTCATTCACATTCATAATTTCTTCTCCTTTTTAAACTATAATATTGCATGTATAAAAGGTTTTTTTTTTTTTTTAATCAGTTTCTTCACACACACAAGGAAACAGGAAGATAATTTATGTCGTTGAAATTTATGGGAATTTTTGGAGATTGCAAGTGATCAAATTCAGATCGTCGGATCCTATTTATTAGATAATAATAAGACACGTTATTTTTCCATTTCTTTTTTTTTTAAAAAAAAATGCCAGCATTCTAATTTAGTACTCCATACCCGAGTTCAGGAACAATCCAGTTGTTATATCAAGTCATGGCTGGTTAATCGTGTTTAAGTACCCTCCTTCATCTCCATCTAAAGTGGAGTTGCAACTGTGGAACCCGGAAACTTTGGAATCCATTCGCTTCCTGCCTTTCAGTTTAGGACGAAAACAAGCCATGCTTGCAGACGTTATCTTGACCAAACCACCCACGGATCCCGACAGCGTTATTCTAGTGTTTGCTATAGGTGATCCTCACAGCATTATGTTCTGTTATGTTGGAGAAGATCAAAAGGCTTGGACTTATAGAATTTGCCACGAAGAATTGAAGAGGCTGGTAATCCGAGATGACCACGATGAGGATGAGTTCGATTACTTTGTTACTCCGGTGTTTTGCAATGACAGGATTTATGTTCACACATCTAGCAGAGGTAGGATGGCTGAGATTGAGATTGTGAAACCGAGGCGGTTAGTCATCAGGCCTTTCAAATGCGTAGGCCCTTCTGGGTACTCTCCAGGGCCTGGATGCAGACTTAAACGGTGGTGGGCAGAATGTTGTGGTGACCTGTTTCTCATAGCCTTGGGGTTTGGGGGAATAAGGAGTTTTGCAGAATTGATTTAGAGTTGAGGTTTTCAAATTGGATTTCTCCACATTGGTTTGGCATGTTGTTGAGAGATGTCCCAATTTATCGTTTTACCTGAGCCGCGCTCTCCTGCAGGACCAGGCCCTGGCTTGCCCGATTGCATCTCCTGATTCAGACAAGGCGGGAAATCGAGTTTACTTCACTTTTGATGGTGTAACAATGTTCACTTACCACATTCAACAAAAACCATCTTCGCTTCTTTGCTAAATCCAGATTCAACCTCGCCATGTGAACCACCACCAACTTGGATACTGATTTCTGATGCTCGAGCACTAGCGGAAGCTGAGCAAGACTATCGTGATGCTTTGAGCAACAACGAAACAGGTGGAACAGAACAAGAAACTCGATTATCATTCATCAAGGAAAGAAGAAAATTTTTCCTAAACAACAAGGGAAATGAGGGGCAAGTTACTGCACCAGCATCAAGGTTAGAAGGTATTCTTGTTGACATATTGCGAAGGATAATCTATTCATGTCTAATCAGTCCATTAGATCTCTTACATTTTCGAGCAGTGAATAGATTATGTCGTTCATTAATTACTATAAATGAGTGGAAAAAAACAGCATTGGTGGTATCCAATCAGGAGGATTTCGAGTGTAGCACAATGTTATATCATCTGTTGATAATGGTTTCCTTCCGTGATCAACAATGGTGTTAGTTATATGATGGATCCCAATACCCATGATAAGTACTACTTTAGGATGTCCTTGGGGGAAGGTTTCAAGATTGCCTACTCTGCAAATGGCTGGTTGTTAATGACAAAACTTGTTTACTCGAAGGAGAGACGCCATAATAAAGCTGTACAATCCCCTAACAAAGTCTACAATATCTTTACCCGAATCGCCCATTTTCCAGCATATCTTCTTCTCGTCCTCCCCTGCCTCCTCGAATTGCATTGTTTATGGCATATTATATTATTCAGTTGTTTACTATATCGAACCAGGAAAAATGAGCAATTGGGTTGTAAGAGGTGTAACCCAAGTGAACGATGATGAGACCATAAATAGAGCAGAGCAGTCCAATGTCTATCCGATTTGTGTTGATGGATGCTTTTACCTGCAAGACAAAAAGGGAAGCCTTGGAGTTTTTAGTTGGTGGGAAGAACATGGACATTATACTCTGACAAGGTATGATTCTGAATTTCCAATAGAAAGCTCATCTTTGGAGCAAACCTTCTGAAATGTACACAAAGATGTAGAACATTGATGACTAGTAAACGACATGATTGCAAACTATATTGCCTAGTGGAAAAGTAACATTACTTGTGAGGTTCTGCACATTGATTCAGAGAGGGATTCATACAGGGGATATGTTCTTTGTGCTAGAGAAAATGAGTGCAGAATTTATGTCAGATTATACAATGAAATTCAAAGCTTCATATTCCGACAATGCTCTTTGAAACTCCCACCATCACAACTTGGAGGATTATAATGATCCCCAAAACCATATCTTCCTATGCATTTCCTGGAATATGTTCTTCCTGTCATAGAACTTAGCGTTCACCAGAAGGAAAACTTGGCAGAGCACATAAGTGTTGATGATCACAGTGTTCTTTCTCATTGGGATTCAGTTTGAGCAAGCATTTTGATACAGACATACTTCAAACAATGCAGTTCTTGGTCATCTTTGAACTCTGATTTGCACAAACATCCATTTTTTCTTAGGTTGCTGAATTGAGAAACTTGCATAACAGAGGAAGAACAGAGCAAATACAATCCAAACATGATCCATCTGCCCATCATACTACATTCTATATTATGTATTGATTCCCAACTACAGCATTATTCACTCTAATTATTCGAAATATGAATTGTTTCGTGAGACAAAAGGAGTACTTGACCATTACTTTCCCTCCATCCTATCCCTATGTAATTGATTCACTTAAAAGAAAAAAAGAATCATAGTTATTGTATCATTTTTTTTTTAATTTTTTTTTTTTTTAAGTTCATTTACTTCACCTTCCAACAAGTTTGACAAAGTCCAATATTTTGTTGTTTGGTCATTCCTCAAAAGAGTTTGTTATGTGTCAAATTTAGTCCTGATAGATTGAGAAATCTAGTTAGCTCATATTCTATGTATATTTCCTGGCCTATTTTAAATTAAAAAAAAAATCGAATCAAATTTAATTTAAATTTGTGTCTTAAAAATAGGAAGGATGGACGAGTAATTGATATTAGGATTTGGGTATGTATTCAGTTCCAAAAACATAGTCTCTTTTTGTTTCTTTAAGGCTTTGAGAATTAGATGTCTACACAATAAGGAAAAAGTGATCAAATACGCACAAGATTTTAGACAACGTTAAAAATGGAAGTACATCCGAGGCAAAGTGCCTAAATTTCATCAACCAATTTACATCAATCCACACAAGTGGAATAGGATGATCATCACTGCTTTTTCCTTGGCTTCATCAGCTCCGTTTGTTGTCTATCGGAGGCAAAGTCTGCAAAATGTCAGCAATTCACACACACACACACACAAAGCAAAAAAAAAAAAAAAAAGGATGATACATGGGTAGCATTAGACTAATCCTTTACTTTTCGAAAATAAGTAGCATTAGACTTTTCAAAAATCATTATCAAGAAGCAGGAGCTAACTGAGTTCTTGTTTGATATGAAGTTCGACAAACATGGGAAAAATGTCAAAATCGAAACTTTACAACTTGGAATAAAAAATTGTACTTCCTCTAAAGTATAATTATTTTGGGACGAAAAAAGTACAAACATCGCCAGTAATATAAAAAAAATAAGTGATATGATCAAAAACCATCATGCCTAGTTGAAGTGGCATTGCTATTTACAGTTCACACAACACTTTCCTAAGCAAACAGGCTGCACATTTTTATCTACAGAATCATCATCATCATCATCCAGGGTACAAGCTCATTCTGTTTCTAACTTCAGATTCTGAGTTTAGGGCAGAGTTGAGATATGGTATTTTCATAGGACAAATGTTCTTGATTAACCAACTGATTGGGGTAGATGCAGCAGCCATGATTATGCATAAGCCCCATTGCCTAGCATTCAGCCTTGCTGTTCCTGCAATGCTCTTCCAAATTTCTACCATCACCACTTGCAGGATTACGATTATCGCTATGATCCCCCAAAACCATTTATTACCATGAATTTCCTTGAAAATGTGTTCCTGATCATAAAGCTTTGCATTGATCAATGTGGAAACCTGGCAGAGCACAAAAGTGTTGAAGATCACAGTGTTCTTCGCGTTGCCATTAAGTTTTAGCATCGATTTCCCTTGGAAATGGACGGCTACAAGAACCGCGATTTGATACAAAGCCTGCGCACATATGTTTCTTTGCATATCATCAGTCATCAAAGGCTCATTTGGAACCCTTGCTGGTTTGGACATAAGATCATCAGATGGTTGTTTTATGAGCACAGAAAGAGCTGCAATTGTGCCTAAAATCAGCTTCACCCAAAGTAGTTGAAATACAGGTATTGGTACTTCACCTGATGAAATGGTTGCCACTGCATATGAAGGAGCTGATCCATTAGGAAACATTGTCATCACGAAGTCAATCACTAGATCGACTAAGGTTGCAGTGATCAGGAACTGAATGTAGGTTTGGAAACTGTCATAGAATCCTCGACCCCATTTCAAAATTTCGATAACCTGAGGGAATTTCGTGTCCCTGATTACGATATCTGAACATTCCTTGACAATTTCAGCTCTGCCTTCACTTCCAAAACATAGGCCTACATTTGCTTCTCTAAGTGCCTGAGCATCTCCAAGGCCTCCGCCTATGTATGCAACCACTCGTCCTTTTTTCTTCAGGGTTTGAACCATAAGGAATTTATCATCAGGGGTAGCTCCAGCCAATACGCGAATTTGATCAACTTTCTGCATTCTCTCATTTTCAGTGAACTCCCAGAATTCCTTTCCTTCTACTATGTTTCCTGGTTGAATTTCAGGCTCAAGCAAGCCGGCCTTTGAAGCCGCAACCAGGGCTGTGAAAACACTGTCACCTGTGATCAGCTTGAAGTTTATTCCAGCTCCTTGGCAATCTTCTAAAAATGTTCTGATTTCAGTTCTAACAGGATTGTTAAGTCCCACTAGGCCTATCAGGGTTAGGCGTTGGCGAGAGAAGTTGAAGTATTCTTCTATTGATGTTTTTCTGTGTGCAAAAGCAATGCATCTGAGACCGTTTTCTGCCATTCCTTCAACTGTTCGCTTCAATAGTTCCCTGGTGTTTCTGTTGATGGCATTGGGTCTCCCTGTGGTACCATAGTAATGAGAGCACATCTTGAGGATCACATCAGGTGCCCCTTTCCGATGGACATGAATTGCGTTTTCATTATTCTTACTAATCAACACTCCACTACTCTTGTTGACAGGGTTGAAGGGCTCAATCTTAAGAATGGTGCAGCTACGCCGAATGATTTCTTTTTCCATTCCCAAATGGCGAGTCGCCCAGTCAAAAATCGCTCCTTCAGTTGAACTCAAGGAAGATGCAAATGTGGAATTCGAACGAGGCTGAGTTGTGTTCAAGCCAATTGCCTGGTGAAGTAACTCAACCACACTTGGAGCAATCAAATTTTGTGGTGCTTCTTCAATGGAATTTAAACCTACCCAGAACTCTTTCACCTATGCATTTTAAAGGAAGAACCACAAGTTTCCAAAGTAAGCAATTGGAAGACCATCAGAGTTCTAATATCAATAAGCAGACAGAAAGCCCGAACTAATCAAAATATTTTACCTCTGAGGAATCCGAAGTTAAGGTTCCGGTTTTGTTCAAGCAAATAGTATCAACAGATGCAACTTGATGACAGAGGAGGGGCTTTTTTATCAGAACTTTTACATGTAACAAGCTCCTCATGGAATATGCAAGAATGGATTTGACAAAAAAATCAAAGCCCTCCAGGCTGGAAGTTAATGCAACAGTAGCAGAAGCCCCCAGCATCCCCAGAAATGCAATCAATATATCAACAATATCTGATCCTTTGCTGCCATTGCTTCCTTTCTCATTTTCCTCCTCATTTATTAGAATGAATAAAAGCCACATGAATGTTAACAAGGCGAAAACTTTGCCATACCTTCCTACAATGGTGGTAAGAATTTCCAACTCGTAAACATGTTTTCGCGTCATCCATGTCACCGGTGGAGCATGCAGCTGTAAATCTCCCTTATTCTTTTCCACTGCTGTTATAACAATCCTGGCATAACCATGAGCCACCATATTTCCCGAAAACACAAACGGGTTTTCTTCTCCAACTTCCATATGATCAGATTCCTCCTGATTACTGCTTAAATCTTCAAGGTGCAATGAATGGCCATCTATGAATAGACCATCAGCTGGAACTTGATCACCAGGTTTTAGCAACACAATATCCCCGACAACCACTTCAGGAATCGCGATTTTCTCCCATTCGCCGTTCCTCACCACATCCACCTGAGGGGTGTACACTTGGTGTTTGGCTGCAGACAGATCATGAGTTTGAGCAATTGGCCAAAAGTTTGTCACGGCTGAAATAATCATCACAGCAACAATCTCAACTAGCTTGGTTCCTGTTTCAGGCCAAACTGATCTTATCCCATGTTTCTTAATGCCAAAACATATGTACACAAGGATATAAACAAGAAGAATAATTATGAAAGGATCTCTAACTGCTTTCACTGCACAAAGCCAAAAATCCTTCATTAGGTCTCTTTTCGAATACATTTTGGAATTCGACCCGAATCTTTCTCTTCTGTCCTTGAGATCATTGGTATCACCAGGAATGCCATTCTCTTTATCAGTTCGCAGGATTCTGATTACACCGTCAACTCCACCAAGATTATCCAGCAACTTGATATCTTTCTTTCTCACTATTCTCTCAACTTCATCTGCTTGTGAAGGGTCAGATGCAGTGAAAGAAACAGCTGGTTCCCCGTGCATAAGGGAAGCATTTAGAGACTGATATTCAAACATGGTGTTGGAGATTCTGTCCCACATTGGAAAGCTACAGAATCAGCACATGCATGGCAGACTTGAACTACCAATAATAGTACTAAATATATATGTGGATATTTTTGGATGATAAAGCTTTTGCTACAGAATATGAAGAAACTTGGGAAGAAACAAATTTCGGAATTCTGTCTGTATAGAAGAACAATGATCAAGGAATGAAATTCAATTCCAAATGTCTTGGAATATAAAGAAAGTGTGTAAAAGGTTCGGTGAGAACTTAGAACACAGCCTTCTAACTTAATGACACAATATTTTCATTTTAACCCTAGCTAAGTTCTCAGAAAATCTCAAAACATGATAGTGAAACTACCTGGTAATCTTCATTTTGGCCTTTGTCAGAAAATGATTAATTTTTATCCTTTGTTATACTATTTTGAGTACAACAAATAAAACAATCAATTTAAGACGGAGACAGTACTACAAAGTTAGTTAAACAAGCATTGACTTCGTACTATTAACTCTTATGCGACTATGTTATTTTAGTATTACCAAAAAATTAAACATTTTTAGCACATACTTCCAAAATCTTATTCTGTTGTTTGATGTTTTTTGGCACTTGTCCTACTGGATTTTTGTACTTAGCGATCAGTCAAATAAAATAAAAATAAAAATAAAAAACTGATTTTAAGTTATAAAAACTTTACATTAACTAATGCATCAATGAGACATCCAATCGTTAGTTGAGTTTTTATCGTGTAATTTTAAATGATCGATTAATTAACATATTTTCTTCAAGAAAAATCAATCTAAATTTGCGATTAACATGTCAATAATGTCAACCTTATTATGCCCCAATACTAAATCTTCTAGCTAAAATCAGTTCACAAGTTAATTTCAGCTAGGGGAAAGTGCATGAAATGAAAACAAACTTAAGATTGACTATCGCTAGAAAAATTCATTTTGTTGTATTATTTTAATTCGACAAAGCGAACTATGAAAATGACACGGAATGAATATTCTTTTTTCTCTTATACTAGTTCTAACTTGGTACATAGACTACAGAGGCAACAATCCTGGGCTTTTAAGAAATGATGAAGAAGCAGGAAGTGAAATTTCATGAGCTAAAATTAGGATATGAATTCTGCTTCTTCTTTTTTTTTTATATATGTATAAATGGATAAAATGTGCATAAGCATAAAGCCTTCTGTTCATATTCATCATCAGTCATCAATGGCTCATTTCGGTTCCTTGCTAGCTTAAAAACTTCAAAAGGACTCTATTTTTATTTTTCTTTTCGTTGACTTAAAAAAAAAAAGAGGGTTCACTAGAAAAAGGGGGAAAAAAAAAGAGAAGAAATTTAGAGTCAACAATCTGATGTCTTGAACTCTTGATTGCTTTAACTCCCCTGTTTGGGTGGATTGGTGCACCGGAAACTTCAAAACTGATGAGAAGGTACTCGGAACTCATCTACAGTCAATAAATACTTACGATACAATTGGTTCAAAAAATAAAGTCCAATTTTAGAAATTAAAATCTTGAACTTCGGAATTTATATTAACCAAATTAGTATATGTCCCAAAAAATAATTCACATCGAAAGTTATGAGATTTTGTATTATTTTGGGGCAGAAATAATATTATTTTGTGCAGTGTTCTAAACCAATTTTCCAATGTTGGATACAATACGAAAAATGGAAGCAACAAAAAATGGAATTAAAGGGCATCGTATATATTTTGCTCCTCAATTAGGGCATGGCGCGGGGATTTATAATGTTGAAGATAGAAGTATCGAACGTTTTCATGGAGTTGATCAATATCGCCCTCCGTTCTACGAAGAAGATTCACTACATGGACTTGAACATGACCTCAAGTCCTCAACCCACCATTGCGGATTTCTTCTGGGGATTAAAGATTACTCATTTCTTACAAGTTTGTTGTTTGGTCTCGTTCCTGATCAAAAGAGTTTGTTATGTGTCAAATTTAGTCCTGATATATGTAGATCTATACATGCATCTAGTTAGCCCTTAGTCTATGTATTCTAGACTAAGGCGGAAATTTGAATCGAATTCAGTTTAAATTTGTGTCTTGCAAATAGTACGTGCCACTAAATTGATGTATTTCTGTCCCAGAAAAATAGTCTACGATCAGACGGCTCAGTCTTCAGTTCCAAAACATAGTCTTACATTTTGCTTCTTTAACCGCATGCATAGGCTTTTGAAAATAATCCAGCAATAGCAGAAGGACAACTGAATACGGATATTGCGGTCTACACGATAGGAAAGTAAGTGATCAAACACGCACAAGATTAGACAACGTTAAACAATCTAAGTACATCCGAGGCTAAGATGCCTAAATTTATCAAGCAATTTAACCAAAACAGGATGATGATCATCACTGCTTTTTGTTGGGTTCTCGTTGACTAGCTTCATCAGCTCCGTTGTTGTCTATCGGAGGCAAAGTCTGCGAAATGTCAGCAATCAACACAAATTAAATTAGATCAGAGGTTTTAGGGAGTGATATAATTCGTTTGGACATTTCATCAAACACCTGACGTGAGCATCCCGGGATGAAAGTTTTTAGAGCGAATTTGAAGAGAGGGTTACCAGATTTGGTTTGAAAATGTTGTGTACGACGGAGGCTCCGGCGAGGAGTGAGACCACGACGACGGCGCACGACCAAGCTAAAGACGGCGTTCCCGTCGGCTGTTTCCCTCCTCCAAACTTCCGATTCATCTTCAACTTCCGGTCAATGAGAGTGCAATTTTGTTACTCCCTTTGGTCAGTCTTTCTTTACTAGTACTCAATGAATAAATGTGTCTGATGAAGTCCAATAATTTGGTCTTTCCTCAAAGAGAAAGATACACTAGTTTGAGATCGGTCTAGTTTCTTCAAGTGTCATATTTAGTAGTGCTTATAATAGAGAATTTCAGTTAGATTCTGGTCGTACTATTCTTTTCGGTCTTATTTATAAGTCTCGAATTTAAATATGACTTATTAATGGGAAGTGTGAGTATTAAAATTTACTTTATACAATCTATTTGATTGCTACTTTGAAGAAATTTTTTATCATGATCCTTGAAAAAATGCATCTACTATCACACGATATACATAATTTATACAAGTAGTGAATGTAATATAATTACAAACTATACTGCCTAGTAAAAGTAACATGATGACTATTTGCATTTTTACATATTTTTCCAAGGAAAACAGGATGATACATGTACAAAGTCGGATCACAAAGTGGGTTATGTTCATTCGATTTTCGACTTCAGATTTGATCCTTGGGCAGAGTTGAGGTATGGTATTTTCATAGGACTGATGTTCTTAATGAGCCAACTGATAGGAGTAGATGCAGCAGCCATGATTATGCATAACCCCCATTGCCTAGCATCCAGCCTTGCTGTTCCTGCAATGCTCTTCCAAACTTCCACCATCACCACTTCGAGGATTATAATGATCCCTATGATCCCCCAAAACCATTTCTTGCTGTGCATTTCCTGGAAGATGTTCTTCCGGTCATACAGCTTCGCGTTTATGAGCGTGAAAACTTGGCAGAGCACATATGTGTTGAAGATCACAGTGTTCTTCACATTATGATTCAGTTTCAGCAGTGATTTCCCTCTGAAATGGATGGCCAAAAGAACCAGGATTTGGTACAGTGCCTGTGCACTTATGTTTCTTTGCATATCATCAGTCATTAACGGCTCGTTCTGGTCCCTCGCTGGCTTGGACATAAGGTCATCAGAGGGTTGTTTTATGAGGACTGAAAGAGCTGCAACTGTGCCTAAAATCAATTTTACCCAAAGGAGTTGAAATACAGGTATTGGTACCTCACCTGGGGAAATGACTGCAACTGCATGGAAAAGAGTAAAACCATTGGGAAAAATGGTCATCACAAAGTCAACCACTAGATCAACAAAAGTGGCAGTGAGCAAGAACTGGATGTAGGTTTGGATACTGTCGTAAAATCCTCTGCCCCATTTCAGAATTTCGATAACTGAAGGCAAATTCTTGCTTTTGATCACGATATCTGAACTCGCCTTGAGGATCTCGGCTCCCCCTTCAGTCCCAAAACATAGTCCTACATTCGCTTCTTTAAGCGCCTGAACATCGCTCAGGCCTCCACCTACATATGCAACCACACGGCCTTTCTTTTTCAAGCTTTGAACCATGAGGAACTTATCGAAAGGAGTAGCTCCAGCAAGTATGCGAATCTGATCCACTTTCTCCATTTGCTCTTCTGCAGTGAAGTCCCGGAATTCCTTTCCTTCTACTATATCTCCTAGTTGAGTGTCAGGCTCTAGTAAGCCAGCTCTTACAGCCATAGCTTTGGCTGTAAGAATGTTGTCTCCTGTGACCAACTTGATGCTTATTCCAGCTCTTTGGCAATCTCTTACAACTCTTCTAAGACCACTTCTTACAGGATTTTTAATCCCCACAAGGCCTAATAAGGTTAACTGTTGGCGCGAGAAGTTAAAGTACTCCTCGATTGATGTTTTTCTATGCGCAAAGGCAATGCATCTGAGACCACGTTCTGTCATTCCTTCAATAATCTGCTCCAACAGGGCTCTTGTGGTTTTATTCATCATGTTAACTATTCCAGTAGTTTCATAGTAATGAGAGCACATGGGCAAGATCACATCAGGCGCCCCTTTCCTGTGAACATGAATTGTGTTGTCATTGTTTCTACTGATCAACACTCCACTACTTTTGTTGACAGGATTGAAGGGCTCAATTTCAAGAATGGTGCAGCTTCGCCTTAAGCTTTCTTTCTCCATCCCCAGTTGGCGAGTCGCCCAATCAAAGATTGTGGCTTCTGTAGAGTTCAGGGAAGATGCAAAAGTGGAACTCGAGCGAGGTTGAGTTGTGTTCAAGCCAATTGCTTGGTGAAGTAACTCCAGCACATTTGGAGCAATCAAATTGTGCGGTACTTCTTCAATGGAACTTAGACCGAGCCAGAACTTCTTTACCTATGAATTGAAAAGGAAGCACCGAAAACTTCTTCAGAAATAGGCTATCGTTTGATAGGGGAGTTCCAAAACAGAGAACTCTGTCAATACAAAAATAAAATGGAAATGTCATTTTTGACGCGAAATGATTGCGTATCGCTAAAATATTTACCTCCGAGGAATCTGAGGTCAGAGTTCCTGTTTTGTTGAAGCATATAGTGTCAACAGAAGCAACTTGATGACAGATGAGGGGCTTTTTGATAAGAACTTGCTCTTTTAACAAGCTCCTCATTGAATAGGCAAGAGTTGTTTTGACAGCCAAAAGTAAGCCTTCCAAGCTGGAAGTTAATGCAATAATAGTTGCAGTTGCCAGCATTCCAACAAGAGCAATCAGCAATTCTACAATATCTGCTTCCTGACCACCAGTAATCGCTTCCTCGTTGTTTTCCTCGGCGCAGAATCTAAACAAAAACCACACAAATGTTGACACAGCAAAAGCCTTACCAAACCAACCTATTATGGAGGTCAGATTTTCCAACTCATGAGCATGTTTTCCCATCATCCAAATCACTTGAGGCTGCATGTTTCGCCTGTTCTTTCCCACTGCCGTTACTACCATCCTGGCGTAACCATCTGCAACCATATTCCCTGAGAACAGGAAAGGGTTCTCCTGTCCAACTTCAGCATGATCGGATTTTCCACCACTCGAGATCAGATTCTCCAGGTGCAATGAGTGCCCATCTATGAACAGACCATCAGCTGGAACTTGATCACCAGGTTTCAGAAACACAATATCCCCAACAACAACTTCAGAAATTGCGAGTTTTGTCCATTTTCCGTACCTTACAACTTCAACCTGAGGGGAATAAGCTTGGTTTTTGGCTGCAGACAAATGCTCAGGAGTTTGAGTAATAGGCCAAAAGTTTGTCACAGCTGAAATAATGACAACAGCCACAATCTCAAGCAGTTTGGTTCCTCTTTCAGGCCAAACCATCCCATGTTCTTTTATGCCAACACAGAGAGAAACAACTGCGAAAAAGAGTAAAATGATGATCAAAGGGTCTTTAATGGCTTCTAATGAACAACGGTAGAATCCCTTTACAAGGTCTCTTTTAGGATACAAATTGGAATTCGACCCAAAGATTTTCTTCCTGGTGCTGATATCATCATCATCGCCAAGGATTCCATTCTCTGCATCAGAATCCAGGGCCCTGATCACACCATCTACGCCTCCAAGATCACGAAGCAATCTCTTATCTTTCATTCTTACAACTGTCCCTAGAACAGTTGCTTGAGACGGGTCAAATGTAGTAAAAGCAGGAGGTTCCACGTCCATAATTGTAGTAATTTCGGATTGATCTTCAAACATGGCATCTGAATACTCTCCTGTTAACAATGTAAGAAAAGAAATTTATAAGTCTAGCTTAAAGATTGATCCATGCACAGGTGCAGGAAAGTTAAAAAAAAAAAAAGGGGGTGCAGAAATCATGCGTGAATTGAATTGGGGGGAAAAAAAAAAAGAAAGTGAGAGAGACAAGGATGAAGAAATGAAATTCAACCTGGAATTTTCAACTGAGCAAAAACATAGCTAGCAAAGATATGGCTCAGATTGCTGTTTTTAAAGTTGGGGATACATAAATTCAACAGTGTTGCCTGCAGGATTAAGGTATGAATGAAATTCAGTTTGAATTTCCCAGAAGTTTGTAAGTGGTAAGGTTTACTTGTGAGTTAAGTCCGCTGACATTTCCAGCCGACCATTTGTGCTGTATGATGGTGATCTAAGGTAACATTTTTGTTTATTTTAACAACTTAGCGACGTAACCCTACGTTAATTTTTCAGACATAACTGAAAATAAGTCAGACATTACGTCTACTTTTTGTAAAAAAAAAAAGAAAACCATTTATTTCATACTTCAACATGTTCATCACTTGTATAATTCACTGTGCTAATTTGTTCAAATGAAATATAACTCTTGTTTATCAGCGAAATGATGCAATTTTTTGCACACTTGATTTCGTAATCCAACAAGTAAGACAAATGATCCATAATGGTATATTATGAGTCAAATCTAATTTTATAATATAGTATCTGCCAGAAACTAGAAATTCTTGCTAAATAAAGTTTTTTTTTTTTTTTTTTATAAGATCAATGGCTATTTCTTCTACGCTCCCTACTCTGGGAAATTTCGTAACATATTACAAAAGTCTCCCAAGTCTTTGCTAAAATCAATTAAACAAAAAGAAAAGGACTGTGTAATCTGCACATGTTTTCGAGTAGCTTTTATCCAAAAAGAAATGGTAAGCAGTGATGCATATTTTGATGATGATGCAATTGAACACACAGAGCCAAAAATCAATCACGTTTTTTTATCTCTTTTCAGGCCAGTCTCTCTTATTTCTTAGAAGTTTACTTGAGTTACTAATGATGCAACTGAAATTTAATCAGTTCCACATCAGTTAAACGTGGCTAATTTTGACCATTTTGTAGTTTAGTTTAGTTCAAACGAACAACAATGAATAATTTGCATTAATTTAGCAACTTGATTTAATTAGTTAAAAACACTATCAGCATAACATTTGACAATCTCCAAAACTGTATCCTCTTTTTACATTAACATACCCATTATACAATAAAAAAAACATCATGATCCCTAATTTGCTAATTTAATTTCCTGTGAAATTATTTCTTTTATCTATCTTTTGTCGTTGACTGCAAAATCTTCCGGCCGTTGCACGGTAGGTTTTTTCCTCGAACTTACTAAGAATTGAAAAACAAATTAGTTGTACTCAATAAACATGAAATCGACCACAAAAAGAAAAAAAAAAGGAACAAAAAATGTAAATTTAAAAGATAAATATATAGTTGTCCAAAGTAAAGTTACTTCAAGTATCAATACCCTTGAGTACCTAAACAACTCAACGAGATGATATTCTCCTCGTAATACAAAGCTTCGACCAACAATATTGATTTTTGAGAACGTTCCACTATGTCGAGAAAACGTTGTTGTGAAGCGGAAGATGAAGGACAATCCCCTAAGAAGCATTCCTTGAGCTCCCTTGTAGTTGGATCATAGACATAAAACGGCACCGGGAACTTCCACGTACTAGAATCTGTATTCATGAAGATCACCTCTCCGGTGGGGAGTGTAGTCACAGCTTCATATCCTCCTCCTGACGATGATGATGATTGTACTACGCCTTGAATTTCGTGCCTTGTCCAGGTGGCGCCAATAGGAGGATGGTTATTGTTGTGAAAAAACAGATTCAATGACTTCTCGGGAAACATATGTCCACCAACCCAATGTTTTGAGACTAGGGTTGGATTCGGTCCAAACAACCAACGAAACCTTATTCTCGGATGAGGTTTATGGATGAATGCGAAGATCTCGTCAACAAGATCAAAATGTAGAAAGCGACGCTCAGTACCTAGCAGGCGCTGAGCGTCCCAATATAGACCTCCGTTACTACCACAGTACGCGCTGTTCCTCAACTCCCAAGGCGCGGGATCAATAGTACGCCACGAGATATCAACACCTAGGGTTAAAATCTCCGAGTTTAAATTAGCAACAAAGGAAGAACAGGCTCCTCGCTTGTTAGCAACAACGGAAGAACAGGCTACTCGCTTGTATCCGTGGAAGCGATCATAAACCGGGCACGTCTTCAACACCTTGTACAGTTTGTTAACGGGATCAAATCCAAGATGGTAATCACATTTTTCGGAATCATTGATTGAAACCGGAAGATCCATCTTTTCTCGGGTGGCAATATTGTAGATACACGAGTATTTGCCATGATAAAAACATACAAGGCCATTCACAGGCGACATACGGTTCATTCTCCTCATGTTTACGGTGTGAAAACCGGAGATTCGGGCGACGTTATCATTCTCAATACTCGAAATATTCAAATGAAAGAAGGTATACTTCATGTAGCCTTCACCATGCGAGAGATTGAGGAGTAAACCTTTGAAACCTCCCTGATAGGATTGCGCGAACAATGGGTTTTGAATAATCGATTGCCAAAGCTTGCTTACACACTTGAATCTCGTCAAGGATTTGACAGGGACCCACTTCAAAATTTCCCAAATACAATCTTCGCTAACCACTGGAAAATCACCAACCCTAGATTTCGAACTCAGCATTTTGATAAACGGATGAGGAATATAAAGTTGAGAGTTTGATGACTCCCACAATGGATCGATCTAGAAAAAAAATTTATCAACCAAAGTTAATTAGCATCAGCGCAAGGTTAATATATTCGTGCCAATTTAATTTATTTATTTATAGGTATTTGGAGGAGGAGGTTGTGTGGAATTAAAACCTAAACCCTAAACAATTTGGATCATATCATCAACACACTAAAAGAACCCTAAACAATTTGGATCATATCATCAACACACTAAAAGAAAACATCAAAAGAAAGCAAAAATCACAAACACAAGAGAAACTTTGTGAACGTATGTTATACCTTAAGTAAAGTTCCTTCGCCTGTAGCAAATTCGAACAATTTGTCTTTGGCTTCTTCTAATGATGATGAATAATCCCTTCAGTTTATTATCAGGTACGTTTCTTCAGAGAAAAGATTTCTCTTAATCAGCTTCTTTAAGGTTTCTCTTCTCCTATTTATGAGAGGTTTCATTAATTTGTGGTGGTAATTCAACCCCCCAAAAAAATACTACTAATTATAACTTAGTTAATTTCCTTACTTTTTGAAAATTGGTTATTTGTATCTTATATAATGTTGATAGGAGAGTATTTAAAAAGAAACACAACAATTTGTGGATATTGACACTAGGATCCTACTTGTAATAGGATTTTATATTAATTGAAATTTGGATAACTTGCCGGTTCGTAGGAAGACTCTTTAGTACTGTAATAATAATAGTATTATATGCAAATCTTAAAAATAAGGTGGATTATTTATTTATTTATTTATTTTTGGAACGGAGTACTATTATATTATATATATATATATATATATTATTAGTACCTCTGAATATATGGATGGCATTGGGCGACTTATATCATCCCTATCATGTAGTAATTTTTTAAAAATTTTTAGAGAACAAATTCTACTCTTTTTGTTTATATGATTGATTAATCTGTTGGCCACTGAAATATTCATATCGGAAAAAACTAATAGATTGCATATTGGGACTCAAATTCCAAAATAGTAATCTCACGTTGTTTGTGTCTTTGGCAATAAAGTCAGGCTATTATGCAAGTCTCGAATCCATATAAACAAAAAAAAAAATGAATTTTTGTTTCATGCCTAAAACTTTGATGCAAATACGTGATTGATTTTAAACAATACATAATAAGGGGGTTGGGGAAATTTTGATTAAGGGTACTGATTTATGTATAACGCAAAAAAAACCAAAAAAAAAAAAAAATGTTTTCTTACCGTTACATTTTCGTCTGGTAAATTAGTAATAGGTAGACGTAAATATGTGTTTTCATCCATGAGACATCGACATCTTCGGCTTAATATTTGTGACATAGAGACTGGAGGTTTTAGGAAGCCAGGGATCCCTCCAAACAGAACTGTGATTCCCTCAGAACAATACACCGTGACTAGCTCTGTCCCAATTCATCACCAAGACAATCAGAAGAAGGACGATGATGGGGCAGACAATAACCTTCAATCCAAGCCTGCTTGCTATGCACCACTTGATCTTTTCTCTTTTATGTTTTTTTCTCTTTTATTTTCAACCTGTTAAACCCCATCCCATCCTTGACAGGATTTGATCCCTAAACTAGTTAGCATCACTTGATTGACAGCATGTAATTGGCAAAATCCCAGTACACCACCATTCTTTGTAGGTTACAACAAAAACTACATTAGGATCAAGCTCTTTTTTCCCCCCTCAATTAAGATAGTCAGGACTAAGAGTTACCAAGTACCATGGCCTCACAGATTACAAACACTAGCCAGCTAGAATCCACAACAAAAAAAATTACAGTTAATACACAGAAAGGGCATACAATCTGTGGCAGATTGGGGTAGAAAGTTCAATAAACAACCTTGAATGGGAAATGCAATGGGGTTTCCCATCCAAATGACAATATTAATAAAAAAACATTGCACCTATGCTATAAGATTGCGTGCCTGGCCAATCTTACATAGAAGCAGGAAAAAATGCATACTTTTCAACTCAAACAATTTCAGATAAGAAAAATTATATATTAGGTTTTGAATTTGTGGCAAGCTGTGATGAACCAGAGGGCCATTTGCAGCTCTGTCCCTGAGAAATGATGGGAAATTACAGACCTTCAATAAGGTTCAGTTAGTTAATCGTTTGAAACCAAATGACATTTTGAAATCGCAATAGCCATAAACCAAAACAACACAGGGCAAGAACTGTATTAAAGTTCAAATTACAAAATTTTGCAGCAAATTGTGTAGAAGGGAGTCCTCCCTTTGCAATAACCAAAACACCCGAATTTAGGTCAAGATTGCACATGATGAAAAATTATTTCCAGACCAAAAAAACTAAACTGTTTTCATTCTTAGTTTGCCGGCATTGTGCACCACCAGACTAAAACAGGGGTAGTGCTTTAAACTTGACATGTACACTTAGATCGAATGCTTTCATTATTCCAATTTTCAACAATATTGCTTCCCCTGTTCAGCATGCTTTCTGGTTGAGAAGATACAGGAGCCATGTCTTTAACTACCAACAAGCAGACTACCACGTGAAATTTTTATGTTTTGAATTCAATCTTAGTACTTTTCCAACTTCGTGTTTGTTTTCTACAGAGATAGAAACCATCTTCTCCAACCGTTTGAGGCCAGTTTTGCCAAAAATTTGTAGGAAAGCTTTTAATGCTGATGGGCAGAGTACTCACAAACTAATAATGCCTAAAGAAGCTGCATGTATGATAAGAGATGCAGGCTTGTCAAAACTACGAGTTTACCATTAGCACTCCCCAACAACTTTTAATGTTGGAATGGGCAGAATATTGACAAAAGCAGGGAACATAACAACCCCCCAACCCCCCAAAACACACACACACACACACAAAATAAAGAAACATTAAGGTACATAAAGTAAAAGCTAGTCATCAATATTAATATGAGTCATCAACCATGAAATGCACTGACTTCATTAGATTGATGATATACTTCTGCCTTCGGGCAAATTTTCAGTCGGTGAAACACGCAATACATGGAGTATTTTGTGAAGAACAAGGCACTGTTGAATAGAAGAAAAGTAAAATGAAAGGCCAAAGGAAAGCTTGAGATACCAAGGAATTGAAGAAGCCATATTAGTTAAGAAATGTTTACTGCAAAGATGCACTAACGGACATAGTTGTCGATGATGCCTCTTCTTTGGGCGTACATAATTCTACTAAATTTATACTACGAAGACCAGAAAATAGATGCGATAACATATGATCTCATGCTCAACTACTAACACCAAAGCACCCGTAAAATTTCCAAAAACATGGAGAGTACCCCCAAGGACAAACCTGAACTAAAATGATGAGGCCAATTTTTCATCAACGACTATCCCCAAGCATGTATTTATATAAAGTCCACTGAGGTGAGGCTCTCCACGAACGCAAAGGGGCAACTATAATGTAGCGGCAAATCCACGGGTATTTCTTCTTCATCATCATCAGGGCCTTTTTCTTTAACCAGCAGCAAGTCAAGAGGTGCCCAATCGATCTCTACCAAGGAATTAGTATCTAAATGGTAGGTAAAGAAAGAATCACCGGACCTTGAAACCAACACAAGTCTGCTGGAAACATAGGAAGCAATTGGCTTGAAGCCTCCTCTAAGGGTGAAAAGTACAGACCAAGACTCTGGAACACCATATTCATTCATAATGAAAACATAAGTGTGATCATCATCATCATCAAAAGAATCCTCCCCAACACCACTTTGGTAGATGCAAAGGCATCCTTGCAAGACAGTAATGCCAAGAGAGCTGCCATCACCGGAGATTAGAGGGGGCATGGGCAGTTCTCCAAATTGGTCAACCTCCTCGTCAAAATAAATGATGACTGGGGAATGGTTATCATCTTGCCTTCGCATGATCCAGTGGAGATGACCACTCACAACAACTCCTCGATCTCTAATAGGAGGGTCTAAGCGGAAGAGATAAGGGAAATCAGTGCAATATCGTCGTTCTCCCCCCCTAAGCCTATAAACCAACACACAATCAATCTCCGGCCCTTCTGAATCACAAACCACAATTACCGCTTTGTACTCATTGGACACCTTGTCGAAACAAACACCCGATGCGGAAACATCCGGGATCTGAAATGCGTTAGCCACATCATACAAATGGGGCATCAATCGACACGCACCCGTATAAGGGTTCCACAAGAACATTTTTTCGTTAGCAAAAACAAGAATTAAACCATTACAAGTCCCAAAAAAATCCAGAGTGGAGGAAAGCACCGGTTCGCGTGGGATTGGAAGCCTTTCAACTGAAAATCCGCTACCCAGTGAATAGAAAAGCATCTTATACTTGACGGGTGTTGAACGTGACGAAGATTCAAGCACCATAAGGACCCTTTCGCGTACAGGAGGAGCGACGGACAGCCTGAAATTCGGTTCTGAAATCCAACCTTGCCACATCCTCGAAACACATTCGAACCGGGCTATTGACTTCACCGGCAACCTGGACACAACCTCACGAACCAACTCCAATGGAAGCTGACCCCATCGCCCGAATTGTTCCATTTCATCATTTTTCCCCTTTTTCTCGCTCCCGGAAGAAGAAATTTCTTTGAGTTCCACCATTTTTGGGGTTTTCGCTGTTTGGCCGGAGAAATGACTCCTTTGAGTTAAGGTAGGAGGAGCGATGCCGCCACGTCAACGGTCCGGACTCTATTAGCAATTCCCTCCCTCAAATTATGGTCTTTTTCTTTTTACTATATATTAATTAACAAATTATATATTTATTATGTGTGCCTCTTTTTTGGTTTCGATGATAAAGTGAGTATATGAATCAATTAGTATTTTTATCTGAGGGAGGTAAAAAGAAATCATAAGGTAAAATTAATCATAAGGTGATGAACGTTGATTTCACCGTTAGTCGAACTTGATCCTGAAAGTCATTGAATTACTTGTCGGCCATTCTGGACCTGCTTTCGTTTTTTGTTGAAGAAAGTCTATAATCTATTAGACACAAGTATGAAAATCCAAGGTATATATATATATATCATCATATATGTGTAGGGCTTAAATTAAATCACACATTAGGAATTGTGTTGAACTAATAAATTCGGGATTTGAACTATAAAAAAAATAAAATAAAATAAAATTTGGGATTTGTGTTGAACTAAAAAAATTAAAATTTGGGATTTGATTTTGAAATATCCATTTGTTTGAATTTTTTGGTATAAAGAATCCTTCTTTTTTTTTTTTTTGGTGGTAAGATATGGTTTGATTAACAAACGAACTAAATTAATTTAAAATTTTATAATGCTTTTTTTTTTTTTTTGTGATTTCCCGCTGCATTATCTGTTATCTGGCCACTTTTACATTTCCAATTTATTTTACACTTTATCCATGTGAGCTGGAAATTAAAATTTAAAAATAAAATGATAGTGTTTAAATCTATAATAATAAAAAAAATAGTCATTTTTTGCGGATATCTACAACTACGACATGTGTCCCTTCAAAATTTCAATTGAGTCAGACTGTCAGAGTACTTAATTTTTCTCAAAATTCTCCTCTCTTAATGTATAATGATTACCAAACAATTAAACATTTTTAGCAAATACTCTCAAAATCTTATTTTGTTGTTTGATGTTTTTGGCACTTTGTCCTACTGGATTTTTGCACTTAACGATCAGTCAAGTGTAAAAAACTGATTTTAAATTAGAAAAACTTTACATTCGCTAATGAATTTAAAATGATTTACGTAGTATTCAATTAGACGTCAACTTACATTTTATTTTGCCACTTAAAAGTAGAAAGTGTTTCAAATTAAAAACCAAATGGGAAATAAAAATGTTATTTGGATGTTGCTTTTGGAAAAAAAAACGTATTTTGAACTACATTTTGAAATATCAAGTACAAGTCATCACTAAACAATTAAATACTGCCAATTATAGTCACTGCAAAAAAGAACTTTTCTAAAAACAATCACTCAATAACGGAATCCTGCCAAATTTGTCACTGAATTATTTGTAGTTCTAAAATGATCATTACACTAACAAAAAATATTTCAAGTTGGAATTTAAAATGTAAATAAGAAAGTTGTTTGGATGATGTTTTCTTTTCCATTACGTTTTGTGTTTAAGATGTAAAGTGAGTGAAAATATAAAATGAACTATTGTCTGTTTTATCGTGTAATTTTAAATGATTGATTAACACATTGTCATCACAAAAATATCAATCCGCATTTGCAACCCCGCAACTAGATCTTCTAGCTAGATCAATTCACAAGTTTCAATTTGAGGAAAGTGCATGAAATGAAAAAGAATTTTATAAGATTCGTTATTGTCATAAAAGTTAGTTTGTTGTACTGTTTTAGTTCAACAAAGAAAACTATTAAAATGGAAGGGAATGAATAGCCCTATGTTATCTTAGACTTTTTCCAACTTGATATGTGGACTAGAGAGGCAACAATCCTGGGCTTTAGGAGAAACGATTGAAGAAGCATAAAATGCATGAGCTAAAATTAGGATCTAATTTCTGCTTTTTATATGTAAATGGATGAAATGTGCATAAGCATAACGCATGCATGAACTGAATTTCAGTTTGAATTAAGGGTATGAATGAAATTCAGTTTGAATTTCCCATAATTTACAGAAGTTTGTGAGTGGTAAGGTTTACTTGTGAGTTAAGTCCGCTGACATTTCGAGCCGATCGTTTGTGTTGTATAATGGAGATCTTATTATAAGGTATTTTGATTTCGTTTTAGGTTTTACTTAAGATATTTTTTAATTGGAATAAAAATCTTAAAACATTTCATAATAATAATCAGGAGAATATAACTTATGTGAAGATATATTTTTAAGGTTTTTTTTCCAATTAAAAAGACATACTATGTTAAACCTAGGACGAAATCAAAATGCCTTATAATAAATACGGGAGGGAGTAACATTTTTGTTTATTTAAACAACTTAACTATGTTCATTAATTTCCAAATAAGTCAGACATTACGTATAGTTTTTGTACAAAAAAAAAAAAAAAATCCCCATTTATTTCATACTTCAACATGTTCATCACTTGTATAATTCACTGTTTCAAGTGAAATATGATTGTCTTTATTAGCGAAATGATACAATTTTTTGGCACACTTGATACGTTGCATAATCCAGCTAGTAATTCAAATGATCTCATTCTCATGTCTGGTAGACGGGTAATCCATAATGGTTATTTGCTTTATATATTTTGAGTCAAATCTAAAATTATAATATAGTACTAGAAATTCTTGCTAAATCAAGTATTTTTATAACATCAATGGCTATTTCTTCTACGCTCCCCACTCTGGTAAATTTCGTAACATATTACAAAAGTCTCCCAAGTCTTTGCTTCGATTAGTTTATCCCTCTATAGAAGCCTATGGGGTTCCACCTCAAAACCAATTGGTAATGAGGGAAGTAGCCCATATACTTATATATTGATATTATGGGGTTCCACCTCAAAACCAATTGGTAATGAGGGAAGTAGCTCATATATTTATATATTGATATCAACTCTCAACCCATGGGGTTCCACCTCAAAACTAATTGGTAATGAGGGAAATAGCCCATATACTTATATATTGATATCAACTCTCTCCCACCATATACTTATATATTGATATCAACTCTCTCCCACCACCAATGTGGGATACTCAACACTCCCCCGCAAGCCCAACATCTCTTCTTGGGTTGGACTTATCAGCCCAGTCACCGCCTTATGTGTCAGCCTTACCAATTCTATCACATCAGGTTTTAGAGTCCGACTCTTGGCGGGCTAGCTCTGATACCATATAAAAACTTATGAGGTTCCACCTCAAAACTAATTGATAATGAGGGAAATAGCCCATATACTTATATATTGATATCAACTCTTTTCCACCATCGATGTGGGATACTCAACACCCAAAAAAAAAAAAAAAAACCTTAATCACTATAACACTTAAATCAATAAGAAATTACAGTATACACTAAATTGCTTGAAAACAGTACTCCATTTTATACAATAAATTTTTTAAGCAGTTTATTTAATCTGAATTCTACGTGTAGTTGAAATTTAAATTATCCTACGAATTAAAGAATTTACAACGTATTAAAAAAAATTTACGAAATATATTTTGCGGTATCTTCATCATGCGGTTTTGTGATTTGATTAATTCTTTTAATTCTTTTTTCGGTTGCTTTTATTGCTAGGTTGATTACATGTTGGTCTGAGGTAATTTAGCACATAGATCTATTTACCATTCTAATAATAATTATCTAATTCAAAAAGAGTTGGAGTTTGAGATTTCTAAAGGAGAATTAAAGGGAAAAAAATATTGAGAAAAGCATTATTAGTTATTCCATGGATAGGTACTTAAATAATTTTAGCTTTCTATATTCTTCTGGATCTTTTCATTACATAAACAAAACGAAAAAAAAACTCTATTCACGGGTCTGTTTGTTTGATTTTTTTGATAGTTTTTTTAGATTATTTTAATAATAAATATCCCATCGTAGCATATCTTTTTATATTTTTAATACATTTTTTTACATTTTCAATATAAAAAATACCTAAAAATACACACTAAAAAACGAAACAAACATAGTATTCAACAGAGAAGATTGTTAGAATGGAACAAGAGTGCGAATTAACTTGTGATCGCAGAGCATAGGAAAGAGAAGGAAGAACAAAAAATAAAAGAAAAAAAAAAGAAAAAAGAAGAACAAGAAGACAAGCACACTCATTTGCATATGATTGGTTATTGATTTCGGAAACATAATTAATTAGCCTTATCTTCTTCCAGCAGTATCTTTGTCTTAGGTGTGAAGCACTACTATGATATAATGTCTTGACAAATTAAGTAGAGAGTTCAACCAAAAACAATTTTGTCTATTACGTCCTCTTATAAGCATATAATTATTGAAATCATGTCAAAAGGTGAACTGGTTCTATAAATTAAGCACGATTTTGGTAGGAGGATATAAAAATATTATTATACTTTTGCAGGTAATTACTGATTAATCATTAATTAATGTTAATATTGTTGTTACATAGAAGTGGAGATGTTTGGTGATACCTTTTTTTTTTTTTCTGGTGGGAGATTCTTTCCTTGTTTATAAACTTAACAACCACCATTTCGAACCAAATCACACAGCTAATGGTACCGCTAAAAACCAAAACCCTAATCTGCGGTCTGCTTACCACTAAGCATTGCCCTAATCTTCCATAACTAATATGCTACCTAGCTAAAAATGATGAATGAATCATTGAATAGTAGTGGAGCATAAGGCATCTTTGAAAGTTAGGAGAGATTAAGCAAATTGGAATCTTATACCCTGATTTTGGTGTGTACCAAATGTGTTTAATGACTAAACAAACGTCGTTAAATCTATATATTCATTGTATATCGAACCTAATATTGGATTAATTGAGTTGCAGTATCTGCGACTGATTAGAAACTGATGGTCTATTTATTCTCAAATCATAAACTATTTTAACAGTATATGATCTATTTTTTTCTCTTTTTTATATAGTCGGGTGTCTTCGAGGTTTGAGAACTAGTTTGGCTCATGTTATTTAAGTGGTTAATTAAGAAAATGATAATGTTCTTTCATTAATATATGTTCTAATTTTGATGCACAAAAGTCAGCAGAAAAGATAACCTCTCGAGGAAGGATGGGGGAAAGTTGGAACAAGTTCGAAAACTAAAGTAGGTTTTAATTTAGAATAGAAATAGAGAAGAGGGTGTCGAGGCTTTATCAAAAAAGTTAAACTTGATTAATCAAAAATGGGGCCCTAATGAAGCAATAATTATTGGTGTTAGCATTGAGCATTCTTTGTCCGGAATCATGTTTTTCAGTTGGTACATAAACGTCGTTTTGCTGTCGTTGCATCAAATTTAAGTAATATCTAATCCATTGCTACCCGATTCTCCATGCAATACGAATAAAAAATTAAAAAGTAGGAAATACTTAAAAATATTCACCTTTGCATATCGATCGTTATTTTTTTAATTCCGTCCCGAAATAATTATCTCAATATTGTCCAGTAATTAACAATAGAAATACACAAAGAAAACACCATAACAAAAGAAACTATGAAGATTAAGGGTTAGGTGAAAAAGATAACCATGGATAAAGAAACATTATATAAGAAGTGTCACTTTATTAGAACTTTCCAATATTCTTTTTTTGTAAATTATTTTGTTTAAAGTTAGTCATCAATTACAATTAGTAATCTGTAATACGCATAATTATTTCTTAACAAGTGATGATCAACTAATTAATTAATTAACTTGATCGAAGCTTGCAATGCATGAACTTGTGGGTACTCCTTTAACAACAAGGATTTGTAAGGCTAAATGAGTTGGTTCAAGGCATTATAGAAATTTTCGATTAATCATGCTCAGAATTTTTGTTTGGTCCTCTTCAATTCTTTAAAGAAATCATAATAACGCATCATTTCTGAAAGTTACGTTATCTCTCCGTCCCATAATTATTGTTCAGTTTAGGTTTTCATTTCTAGTTCAAAATGTACTAAAAGTGAAATTTCAAACTGGACAATAATTTTAGGACATAAAGAGTATTTTATTTACCATTAAATTATGAGAACGATTTCAGACACTCTCTAGTGGAGCATATTTTTAAAACCGTATGAACTTTGTCAAAATTCTACTTAAACATTACACTGATTGATCTATAATCTACCTTACAAATATGTCATTTGAAGAGTAACTTTTACCCATTCTGAAATTATTGTCCAATTTAAAAGTTCATTTTTAATTCAAATCATGAAATTTCAAATTGGACAAAAAAATTTGGGACAGAGAGAGCACTACTTAACTCTAATAAACATATTAGGATAGAAGAGGGAATAACCTCTCTTCTTAGTCCTTTCTTTAACAAAATAGGATAAAATATTAACCTTCTGAAAAAAAAAAAAAAAAACAGCTAAAGTTGCATGTAATATGATCCATCACTTTCATTTCATTCTTTGAATAAATAAAGTACAGACAAACCATGAAAATACGTTTCAGTTAAAGGTTCCTTTCATATTATTTTGCATTTGAAAAATGGGCCAAAAATAAAATAGAAACTTAAATACTTAAAAACCCAATATTTTCCTTCTGGGTAAATTCGAAAGATATACTCCGAGGGCATTTAATTTTTTGGGCAAAGTGGACAATAATTATGGGACGGAAGGAGTATAAATTTTAAAACTTTGTATCAAAAATATCACTTTTTTAATTTTTGGTAAAATAAAAATTACTATTTTCCGAGGGCGTTTCTGACATTTCACGGAATGAATCTAAAAGACCATGCTACCCTCCAAAATTTTGCCCTCCTCGTCATTTCAAATTGAACGTAACCGCCGTCAACTGACGTCGTTACTTAGACGTACTCTCTACAGTTTACAGTATAAATTCCATCCAAGCGGCACAACAACACACAGTCACACAGTCACAAAAACACTCACCCACACAGAAACCACCTGCAATTTTTACACACATTCACGCGAAAAGGAAAAACAGAGAGCGAGACACATACAGGTAAACAAACATTCAAATGAAAGTTTCAGTTTCTGTAGTACTGTTTGTCGTCCTTTTGATTTCTTCTGATTTCTGCAGTAGGGTTGATGAAACTCTGAATTCCATGCCCATTTTCATGAAGATGACCAATTTTGTTCTAATTTAATGTATTGGAGTAACATTACAGTTTAGAGGTTGGGAATTTTGAAATCCTTGATGGATTTTGAATTTTGATTTCTAGAATTTGTGGGTTTCTTTCAATGAGTTTAAAGTTGCTGCCTTTCTCTGTTTCCCCCCTTTCCTCTTTAATTTGAAGAAGTTTGAAGATGGAAATGTTTTGAATTTTTTGGGAAAAGATGGGTTGTGAAAGATACTTCTGGAAATGGGGAGGCCGAGTGGCAAAATGATGGGGACAGTTTTTCATTATTGCGTTTGGTTTCTGTCTTTTCTTGGTGTTTAATTGTACCAGTCTCTTGTTGTTTGGATTAGAAAGTTTTAATTTCTTGGTAATCTGGTTGCATCAACGTTTCTTTTACAACACCTGGTGAGTGCATTTGTGGATAAAGTTTACAGGTGATGAGTGTGGTTTTGATTTTGAAACTATTCCAATAAGCATCTTAGTTGCAATCACCAATGTTTTGAAGTTAATAAAACTGATCCTCACGGATTTGTCAAAAAAAATTTCAGCTAAATTCTGTTATGATATGATTGGACATGATTCATAAAATACAAAATGCACTTGCAATCATCCTTTTTATACCAATAACACTGAGTTATATCATTTGCTTCAGGTTTGCTTCTGCAGTTTATTTGTTGAGCAAACTCTTTGTTTCTCTCTCTTGTGTAGAGTCTTCTTGATTTGGAGAAGCTCCTATTTGTTTTTGCTTAATTTAATCATGTTTCTTATTCTTCCCTGATTTAGGGGCATCTCCATGTGCTTTGTTGAGGATTAAATATGTCACAATTGAAGCTGTTTGCTTTTTTGCTTCTTTATGTTTTTAGTATACATTGATATCGGATTTCAATATGATTTTGGCCTGGAAATGTATCTTCGTAGGTAACTTAATGAATGATTAGCTTACTACAAACAGTAGGAGTTCCTTTCTATTATCTTCGCTAGTTAACAGTGTCTCTGGAAAGTTTGAACTTGATTGATTCTGTTATTCTGAGATTGATATCCTTGCAGTCAAATGGGCATGGAAGTTGATGTCATCTGTCTAGACAAACAGCCAGATTCTGTAGTATACTCCAGCGATCCCTCCCTTGAATCAAAGTGCAGTGAGATGCAGGGACTTGAACATGTCAATGGGGACATTCAATCAATTCATTCTGAAGAGAGTGGTGAAATGCGCGAGTATGAAGTCAAGGAATGCACTAATGAAAATTCAGCTGAGAATTCTGCAAATCATCAATCTGAAAATGAGCTAGAATCAACCCTTGCAAAATGTGAGATTGCTACAGCCGAGAATCTGAAATCCGAATTGGAAGTAAAGGATAACAAGAAGTTAAGAACTTTGTCCAAATCCAAGGTGAAATCTGCTTCTGGAGCTTGTAAAGCTAAGTGCACTGTACCCCAGCCATTTTCATTGGCAACTGCAAAGCGTGCTTCATTTGGGACGCGACTAGTCGGAGCAGAATCTCACAATGTTAATGCAAATAAAACATCAAAAATTAGTGCTTTAAAGAATTCTAATGCCACGAGACAGAATCAGGTAGCTCGTGTGGATCATGTATTACTTTTAACTGAATTCCTAAACTATTGTTCTACTTTTATGATATAGCTTGATGGTCCTCTGGTGATAACCATGGGTGTCAGGTAATTAGTAATCAATTTGCTCGGTTGACTTTGCAGGCAGTGTCACCTATTGCGCATAGGAAGCCTTTGCAGCCTACTAACAAGAATCGCCCTGATGAAGAGGACTCCTGTTCTATTGCTTCTTCGTATCCTTTACGTTTCGACCACATCACGATTACTTTCTATATGTAACTTAATTTCTCTTCTTTTGGCACTGTGTTTGATTTAAGCCTTAACTAGATGAAGTTTCTTGGCATCAACAAGGAAATCCAGAGCCACTGTTGGGTCAGCCCCAGTTTTTAAATGCTCGGAACGTGCAGAGAGAAGAAAGGAGGTAAGTGAATGAATCCTAATTTGTGTTTTTTAATATGATTTATTGGAAGAAGGAACCTATACCGGAAAACACAAGAAATGGTTGTGTCATTGTTCTGTTTCTTTTCCTTGTATGATAGTTCAACTCAAAATTGGAAGAGAAACATCAAGCACTGGAAGCTGAGAAAATTGCATTGGAGGAAAGGTCGAAGGTAGAACCTTTACCAATCTTCTGATCAGTACTCTCCCTTGTTGTCTCATCAAACATTAATAACTGAAGTAACATTTCTTATAACAGCTATTTATTATTATTCCTGGTTATTGTGAGTGACATTTGCGGGCTTATTTTTGGTTTCAACATTTTCAGGAAGAGAAAGAAGCAGCAATAAAGCAACTCAGGAAAAGTTTGACGTTCAAGGCAAGCCCTATGCCAAGCTTCTACCATGAAGGACCTCCACCCAAGGCTGAACTTAAAAAGGTATGTTGAAGGTTAATAAAGTTTTACCTGATTGTCTGGAATTCTGTACTGTTGATAGACTCCTTTGGTGTTTACCGAGTCTTCAGGTGGTTTGCAAATGATGTATATATTCTAATGTAACTGTTATAATTTTATGTTTCTAGCCACCACCAACACGTGCAAAATCACCAAAATTGGGTCGAAGAAAGAACAGTGTTGAAACAATTGGGTCAGACAAAGGCTTGGCAGCTATTGATGAAGTCTATCATCCTACTCTCAACATTTATATGGACAGCCCCACTGTCCCATTCAACAGGAAAGATCATTCTAACGACCAGGCTGATATCATTGAATATGATCCCAAAGATGAGGATGAATATGGGGGACTTGTCAAAGAATCATTCTTAGCGGCTGTTATGAGCGGGATGAATCAGGGCATTGCTTATCCATCTTAATCTATTTCAGTCTGTTAATTTATTTAAGGAGGTATTTGTCATCCCTTTTGTTAGTTGCAAGAAAGTGTGTGTCTTTAAGTTTATCAATTGTAAATTATGTAAGTTATGCCCAATGTTTATTTGTCGTGGATATCCTCTGTTGTATATTGTTCTGTTTCTCTGATACCATCGTGTGAATTATTGGAGTCACTGCTATAACTTATAACCGCCTCGGTTGGCCGTTGTATATGAGAGTGCAATTGCATTGGTAATGTTTAGTTTAAACTTGAAATCTTTCTGCTTTCTAAGTCCCACTGTGGCTGTACACACTGAACGATGTAACATGCGCTCATTGGTGATCAATATGGTGATACTGAATGTGTCGTAAAAGCTTAGCCAATGGGTGAATGATACATCAGTTGGTAGAAATAAATATTGTGATTCTATCACTATCTCTATTATTAATCTAACTTATAACTCATTACAAAGCTTAGCTATAGCTTCTGTACTTTGAATACATAGAGATGTGAAGTTGAGAGGGTTTTTGGGACCCATTAGATGTGCTTTAGAGGTGCAGAAACCCTTGCTTTGTGTGATTGTGGAGAGCCAAATTATTGTAAAGTTAGCAAAGTTAAAGAATAGATTCCATGGGAGCGTAAAGTGCCTCTGGTTGAAAGGGTTAGTTGAAGAGATATTCTGCAATAAAGATTGCTTTTTGGTGGTAATATGCCCTGATGTGGATGTAGGATACCTAACCAGAAAGGCCAATGTCTTTAACTCGTGCATTATATTTCAGAATTCTGGAATTTGATTGCATGTAGATAGATTTTGTACATTTTGCACATTTTTCTTACTATTATACTTGATTAGATTACATAATGATTAAGTAGGTTAGACCATCCAAATAAATAATAAGATTTCCGAGTTTCCTTGCTCGTTACTGGTTGTTGTTTAGTTAGATAATCGCGTTTCCCATTATTTGTCGTCTGGGAAATGCATTAGATGTTTCACATGTGACCATCATTTTCAATATGAAATCTCATTGTTTGTGAGTTTTCATTAGTTTTTTCTTGTTCTTCTCTGTCTTTCGGCCCTCCAACTATTTAGCTAAGTCCGAACTTCAAAGTCAGATGTTTATTTGTCGACCTTATTCTAGGAGTATCTGCAATGCAATGATTTGGAGTGTTGGATTATATTAAGCATTTGTTGCGAAGAGAAGTCAAATGTTTGAATTAAGAATTTGCTGCACCTCGGAAAGTTGCATGTTTGAGAGTTTGACATTAGCAACCTCCAGTGTCGGTGGCATGGCACTTTTTGATTTCTTCTTCTTAAAATAATATTGAATTCCCTTTGTCCCATTTTAGCAGTTTACTATGTTAACTAAAACAGTGTAACAAAGAAAGATAACTGTTAAAATGAGACGGACATATTAATAAAAAAACGAAAGAATGCTCTTATATTTTTTTTGCCCCTTCGAGAATGGAGAGTGAAATTTGACCCCCATTTATTTTTTTCTTGAATTTTGGTTTTGTCAACGAAGTCTTTGCCTTTCTTACATGTCGGGTAGCCTCTCTCTTTCGATGATGATAGCCAAACCATATTTCTTCAATGAATGTTGTTATTCATTTACATTTTTTCTATTATTTTCACTTCCTCTGTTCCGAAGAAAAAAGAGTTTACTTAGTTAAAATAAAACAGTATAACGAAGTGAATCATTTTTCTAAAACGGAGGGAATACAATTTTTCTGTTTTTCTATTTTGCAAGAAACACAATTTTGCAAGATGTTTGATGGCTTAACTAATGTGACAATGGGGGAAACCATTCAGACCCAACGTTGTTATTTGTAGACAAATGACAGGGTTGAAAGTTTAGATGGAAATTTGGGCTATTTGAAACTTTCATGCATGAAACTTTTAGATGGAAATTGAGCACAGTGAAAAAAAAAACAAAAACAAAAAAAAAACAAGTTCTTTCACAGTAAACGTCACTTAAAACACTTTTTGCTTTCTCAGCTTATCTTTTGGTTACTGCTCAAAGCTTTTTGTAACAATAGCCTAACGCGTATTCCTTTCAATTGAAGCTTGGAATCACATAATTTGCACTAAAATCAAGCCTTTCTTCATTCATCAAGGGCCACTCCTCATTTTCATACTTTCCCTCAAATGGGAACTAAAAGAGACACCCTTTTCACATTTACTTGAATGGCTAGTCCTCAAAAAGCACCAAATTTTAAGCAATGGAAAACTCAAATGATGGTTGTTTTAATGCATTTTTCTTGCATTGAAGTTGTTTAGAAAACATGGGTTTGTTATGTTGTAAGTTAGCTAGGGTAGGTCCAATGAAGTTTGACGAGTTGAGAAATATTTGCACAAGTCTTTGATTTTGGTTTATTATCATCCCACATGGTCTTGACTTGAACAATACTCTAGGAATTGAACAGGTTCATTCAATGATGTCATCTTATGTTATCTTGGATTCAGTTAGTCGTAAAGCTAACATTGTTTCTGACAGATAAAGACAGTAAATTCATTTTGTAAAAGACACTCTCTCATGCACCATTTTAATAAATCGAGGAATTATTCGATGTCTCTATCATTATTCGAAAATACGCTTGATCTTATGAACAAGTTAACTACCCGCGTTGAAGGTATGACTTTAGGTGTGCTTATTACATTGGACAAAACAACATCATTTTTTTGTGATATTGTGTGTGGAAAACATGGTATGGAAGGTGAAAAAGTGGAGAGAATACAACTGTCTGACTTCCTAAATCACATGCCCAATCCTCACTCCTCAAACTCCAAGTATATATAAATGTGTACCCTTTGAACATGAAACCTTATTTGCATGGCCATGTCACTCACACTCTCTCTCTCTCTCTCTTTTGTTGAATAGTTGAGGGGAATGTTGCCTGGTTCGAGACCATTCACATGGAGCCTAATCATATGAATGACTTCGGACCAGGCTTCATTCCCCCCAACTCAAACCTTAATTGTGGTTCATTGTGCTCAAAATCTTCACAGAATTGGTGAACTTTTAATGCATTGATCCAAGATATATATCCATCAGTTGATTCGACAACAACTCGGGATGCTACTTTGCCATCCTGCAACTGCGACTATACTCATCCGTTTCCCATTGTAAGAAGTTCTGCACAAACCAATATGTTTCAGTTTTAGTTAGCTTTTCTACAGCATATGCATTAGAAGTGGCTTTTGAATAGCGGTTTGGAACAAATTATTCGGTGTTTTGATGGTTTGAAGGATCTAAAAATTGTGGGTTTGTGACCAATTCAGAAAAGATGGATTTGGTGTAGAAATGTACTGAAAGGTTTGTTTCTTGCTTGCTGTTGAAACCATTGTTTTAGTGTGTTCTTGAAGGATTAATCTCAAACAAAGTAAGATGAACTGATTTGTTAATCCAGTCTGAATATCAAGACAGCTTTCTAGCCACTTCATGACGATTAGATTTGGTTGCAGAAATGATAAAAGAAGTAGTAATTTCTGGAGTCATGAATTAATGGTTTTTTTTTCCTTTTTTTTTTTTGATGAAATGAATTAATGGTTTTTGAGTCCATTGGGTGGCAGTCCTTTTCTTTGTTTTTTTGCATCTTAGAGAAATGCCATTTGATTTCCTCAGTTGTATGCTTTTTTTTTAATGAGGGGAGAAGAAAATGCAGCTGATCATAAAGAAGAGGATCAAAAAAATAGGCTGTAAAAATTGTAGGGTACCACAAATTTTTGCTTAAAACTCCGCAACTTTAGTTGGCTCTGCCTTTTATTTTTTCATCATTTCAACCTATTTCGTTAAATATATTGGCGTAACTCCCGAACTAGCCAAAACATCTAAGGGCTTCACTAACCTGTTATTGGCTATTTCATCCATAGACTCACCTAATTCGTTGAAATTATATAAAGTCTACATTGTGATATGGTTGGTGTGAAAACAAGCCTCAAAAGAGAGAAAAAAAAAAAAAACACATTTATATGAAGAAAAGCTAACAAAAGTTAGGTTTCATCTTTTCAGAGGACTTTGCTTGTAGATAGTAACAAAGAATATAATGACTAATGAGTCAATCTAATTGTTTTTGAGCCCTTTTTTTTTTTTATCTCACTTTATGGCGTTGTTTTTGCATGAGATTTAGATTAGAAAACAGTGAAATTCCAAAACGAATAACAAACAATCAATCAAAGTCTTTGTCTTTCAATGAAAATAAATAAATAAATTTACCATTAAGACAGCCATCATAGCTATCTATTTAGTCTTGGCCCCAATTCTAATCCTTTTTACTACAACGTGGGACATATAAGTACATGAAATTTCTACACCACCATGTGGCTTTGTTCTACACATTTTTAGCTCATGGTCCCTTATTCTTGCTTCGTGTTTTTAGTTCTTGAGATGGATTATGGCATTAGGCAAAGCATATTTGCCAAATTTAGCCAAAATGTTGACAGTTTTTCGAGATTTGTAATTCCCCCTTTAACTTAATCGGTGAGGTTCTCCATCTTACGTTATGTGCTTTAATCATATCATATTAGTGAATTAAACGTAATTTTATTGAAAATTGAATAAGGTGTGGACCATATTATATATAGTAAGAGTTTGATTGTAACCTCTACTTTTGATCAGACATTTGCATGTTACATGGTCACGAGCGGGATTAATGGGTATGATAATTTTGAAGGATATTGAATTTTAGTTCATTGAAAATACTCCTCTCAATCCTATAAATACGAGTACATTTAAAATATAGCAAATAAAATAATTTTCTAAAAAATGCAGTTGAAAAATGACTCCCTAACTAAGCCCTAATCATGCTAAAATAGTACTTATTCCGGTCCTTATTATCAGACATTTTGATTTGTCAGGTGTTTCATCTAGTATGCTTTTCGATTTAAAAAAAAAAATAGAAGAACTTTAAAATTATATTTTCACATTCATTTGTTCTTCTAATTATTAGAAAATATTTTTAAGATTTTTTTTCAATTGTAAAACATATTAGGTAAAACATATGACAAATCCAAATGCTTTACAATAAAGGAACGGATGGAGTATGTTCATAAATCTCGCACTTGTTTTGCGAATTTCGAATTATCATGGTATCAAATCTCGCAATAGCCAATAAGGGGTTACTCAAGTGGTAGTGGGCATGGTATCAAAACCTGAGGTCCCAAGAGGTCTCAGGTTCAAACCCCGCTAACAACATCTTTGTGTGTTGAGTTGTGCAGGTTATCTTGCACTCGCTAGGAAGGCTTTCCGAGTACCAGATCGAGGCGTGCACGCCTGGAGTCTCTCCCTCAGTAGTACTACCCCCTTCTTCATAGGTTTCACCCCACATATAATATACTAGATACTTATAATTGTGTATAAAAAGAAAAATCTCGCAATAAGGATCCAACTTTTTCATGTTCATGTTGTTCTACTTCTCCTCTTAATGTTAGGGCAAAAGCGCTCTTCAAAACAACTATCATGAAAGCACTTTATATCATTCCACAATGGATTTTGAACAATTCCAAACTGATAGTAAAATCAGGAATGTGTAATGATTGAAACTCCCATTCAATTGTGATGATTGCAGATCATGATATTATGAGATGAATGTTTTCACAATCTGCATAGGAAAAAGAAAAGATGACCACTAAAAATTTGATTTGATCTTTGTGTTTATGGTCTATGCAATGAATATGCACACACACACACACACACACACACGATTATCTGAAGTTTTTTGGGCAAAAACCAATGTGGAATGATGGCCTTACTCGACAAAACTTTACTTTTGACGTCCTTCGTCTTCATTGTTTTGGCCTTTGGGCCAATCATTTTAACCGTACAACCATAAAGTTTTGTTTACTTGACTACTGGAATTGCCCAATTGGGAATGTTACTCTGTCTTTTTTGCTTATCATAACAATACATACAATTAAATATACAGTTTTGTGATGGAGTGTAACGATTGAGAGCAGTGGGAAAATCACCAAGTAGTCATTTACTGTACCATTTCATTCGATCTTAATCTCTCATCTCAAAAGAAGAGCTTTAAATCAATGTTTGGTTGTAACATTAAATTATAGTTGATCTCTAATGAAAAAGAATGATACCATTCAGCCAAAATTGGACGCTTGATCAATCACGACATTCACGTCGAATGCTCTTCTAAATACTCCTTCCGGTCCTTATTATAAGGTATTTTAGTTTTTTCTGAGTTTTATTTATCATTTTTTTTGAAAATAAAACTTACATATCTATTCTCGCAATTATTATATAAAACATGTTTAAGGTCTCATTTTCAATTGGAAGCGCACATAAATAAAATTTAGAAGAAATCAAAATTTTTTATAATAAGGACAAAGAGAATAGTCACTCCGAACAATAACCGTTCAGAAAAAATTGATGAGAATTAAGAGATTATCAATTATAAAAAGCATGTAAACCATTTTTATGATAACTTTATGATAGAACTAATAACGTTTCGTATCATTATGTGCAAGGCACGTGACTCGAACCAAAAAGTTGTTTCTTATTTTAAGTTGATGATACAATTGTGCATAATTAGGAAAAAAAATAAATGAAACAAACTTAAGAAATTTCTAAAATTTGAGGGCAAAATGAGGCGAAACACCCGTTTTAGGAGACTATCTTTGGTAAATCTAATGTATGAACTATTCATGAACAAACGAATTGATAATTTTTTTTTCCTTTCTTGTGATTGAATTCAAAAAGGTATTGTACATATTTTTTTTTTGTTATTCATTATAACAATAGAACTATCTTTTCCTCATTTTTTATTTTTTTTAAGAAAAATGAAAAAGCAAGGACGTACAAACTATATATACTCCCTTCGAAATGATTATTCAATTTTTATACTATTTTTAATATAATAAATTCAACAATCATTTTGAGTCAGATAAAAAATTATTTTTTAGATTTAATTTTATCTATATTTGTAATGCAGATTTTTTGTATGGAAATTCTAAGTACGTAGGAAGCTTAAAGAAGAAAGTAGTAGACAAGTAGAATCTATGTACACAAGATTAAAGTGTAAGTCTTCAAATATGCTCCCGAAAAAGCAATCACCAAATGGAAAGATGGATTGTTCAAAGTTCAAACACAATATTGATGATGATGATGATGATATACTTTATTTGTGACTTGACTAAACCCATAAAAAAAAAAAAAAAATCTTAAAGCATTCAACAGCGAACTTCAGAAAAGATAAAAAGGAAAAGTCCATTTGAAGACTTGAAAGAGAAATTTTGGTAATAATATGTAAAAGTGATAAACAAAAATCCTAAAAAAAAAGTTTGATTTCTTACAACTTTAATTAATGCTTAATTTTCATTTTGTGAGTTTATATATTTGCATGCAACATTCAATATTGCATCAGCCTGATGTGGAACATCTTTTTGTGAACACAGAAATGTTGGATATGTGAGGTGAACAAGTTCAATTTGCTTCTTGTGACTCTAATTTTGAGTAGGAAGTAATACCAAAAATATTCATGTACAATGTAAATTATCCTTGCAGTAGGTTTTGATCAAGTCAGTCACAACGTGATCTACCAGTGACAACTGTTATTAAATAAATTTGATCTTTTGTTCTGAATTCTGATTCAATTCAATTCAATTGCACGATTTAATTAGTGTTACATAAGATTCGGTCAATTAATACGACAATTTTTCTATTTGACCAAAAAAAAAAAGAAGAAAAGAAGAAGAAAATCAGATTAAAAAAGAATAATTTCATCATAAAATAATTATTCAGTTTAAATTTTTATTTTTAAAACAAATTACATGTAAAAATCTTCACAATCTATTTGTGACAATGAGTGCATTTCACTCACCCTTGGCGGTGTTGGATAATTGGATTAGGCCGACAGACATCGTTATATCATCTCTCATCTAGCCAATCGTCATAGAATACTGCCCAACTAATTTTTTTTTGTCAGCAGCCACTTTTAGCCCAAATCAAGGAGTGACTTATTTATATATATTAATGTGAATTATTTTTTTAGATAATGAAGTGATGATAATTTCTTTGTAGGCTTGCACAAAATTGCTGATCCGATTATAGCCAACTCGAAATGTTTAAACCAGTTTGTGTATTTATTTACTCATTCAATCTCAAAATAATACTCTATCTGTTCTTACGTACATTGAATTTTGAAATTTGAAATATAAGAAATAATACAATTTATTGTATTAAAACAAAGATAGCAAATTAAGGGAGACTAATTTTAGAGGCGAATGTGATTTGTCCAAGTATCTTTTTGATCTTCTAATATTGGATACCACTTCCTGCTAGCCATATTCCAAATTAAACACTTTGAATTTTGCACTGTATCAAAGAAGTAGAGGTATCCAATTTGAAATGGATCCTATGACAAATAAAATAAAATAAAGTGTAAATATCGAATCTTAGAATTGAATGAAAACTGTGTACAACTACACTGTTAATTCTTTATCCCTAAATAAATCATCAATTTTTACCAAGGATAAATGCATAAACGTGGACTAATTTAAAAACAAAATGTAAAATCTTCTATGTTCGACCTCCTTAAGAAAAATGTACAAAAATTACTAAAAAAACAACTTTATAATATTGTCAAAATTTCAATCAAATCTGTCGTGAGAATTTTAGAATTGTGAACACCGTAATGCTGTTAGGTTCAGGGTAAATCATGTGTTATACTAAGTTCTGGTTTTTCAATATCCCTAATTATCACTGTTATGATGATTATCATATGAATAGATTTAAAAGTAACAATTTTACTTCTATAGTGTATGTAATAAACTTATGAGTGAAGAAATCACTAAATAGACAATAATTATGGGACGGAGGGAGTACATGACACACTCCTGACATTCAAAAGAGAATTTTTTTTATTTTTTTATTTTAACAGATTAAAAAAAATTAAAAAAAAATTTACTTCATAAATACTACTACAACAATTATCCACTATCCACTTTCCCACTAATTTTTTTGAAAAAGATAAAATCCATTACAGCTCTCTATCTGCACGTTTCATTTTTATCTGCCAGAAACAGAAAGGAATTATCTTCTTGTTCTCAAACAGCATGACGTCCACGCGCCTAACATTCGCAACGTGATTCACAAACCCTCACATCTGACCGTTAATATCTATACCCACCGTTTAATCCAACGGCTGATAACTCGACATCTCACATCATTTGTCCACCAACTCAGTTTCTGGGCCCCACTTTTTGGTAAAGAAACTCTCTCTCTTTTATAAACTCCGCTCTCATTTGCCGTTTCTCCTTTTTCTTCCTTCGCCCGAATCTCCACCGCCGTCCGCCGCCGCCGCGAACGTCCGCGGCACCGAGATGACGTAATCTTCATCTCTATCCATATCCTAAAATTCGCATTTCGGACAAGTTTCATCTTCCACCTCCCAATTATATATAGAGATCGGTTTTCGGTCCAAAGAAAAAATGGACTTGTTGTGGTTGGAAACAGTGGAGGAATTCATCGGAAAGCAAGCGGTGATGGAAACATTCGTCGACATTTTACTCTGCGTCGTTCCGATTTGGCTGGCGGTCATGATCGGATTACTAATTGGGTGGACTTGGAAGCCGAGGTGGACCGGGCTTGTGTTTTTGGGCCTCCGGTCAAAGCTCCGGCTTGTTTGGACCTTTCCTCCGGGATTTGGAGCTCGCCGCTTGTGGCTGGCGTTTACCGCTCTCTCTGCGTTCTCTGTTGGACATAGGTTCTTCTTTGGTTCTCGTGGATGGTACCGTTTTAAGAACTCTTCTCGTGGCCCAACTCCGGCGGCTGGAAATGGCGGGGAAACTCCTCCGGTGACGACTCATTCTGTTGGCTCGGAGGATGGCAGATATGTTATCAGGTAAGGGCTTCAGCTCCTTGCCTCAATCCTTAGACTGAAAAGGGCTCATTTCTGTCCTACTTTTTTTTTCCTCTTCTGTTGTTTTGAATGTTGATGAAAATGAATGTGTAATCTCTTCTGTAGTTTTAGGTATTATTCCATTTGATGTTGATTTTGCCTTGGAGTTGGTTATGAGTTCTTTCTTATTTTCAGTCTGCTTGTGATGTTTGGGCTTCTGCTTTTGGTTTTGCCATTTGCACTTACTCTGCTTCTTGTAGATGATTAATTTCGTATTGGAAATATAAACCATCTGTAGAGAAATTAAGTAGTTCAGGAAAAAGAATGGAAACTCATTGCAACTTTTGCACAGAGCAGGTGCCTGAAAGTCTGAAATGCTATGAGAGAATGTAGGGGGGTGATTGTTGGATCTGAGTGTTCAATGTTTTTAACTTTGTTTTCCAAAAAAAAAATTTTTAAAAAAAACTTTGTTTTCCTAGGAACTATAGGGTTTCCATTATTGTTATAGTCTTGTGGTGATTGAGCAAAAAGTTTGGTGCATACGCCTGTTGTTACATCCTGATGTCTGATAGACTATTTTGTGGTACGTGATATCATTGGACGAAGATGTGGTAATTCTGCTGATTGAAATCTGCATATTTTGCTTAACTCTTTGAGATGATATACATTTGGGAGTTCGTTCTTCGTTTTGTGATGATTCAAGCATGTTTAGGGTTTTCATAATTTCTTTAAAGATGACCTTTGAATATGGAATAAGTCTTGCGTTGCAATAATGGTGTCGGTATTCCCTTTAATATTATCGTTATTTCAGCAAAATGTTATCTTACAAATATATGTGCGCCCTACATAGCTTGTCCAATTAAATACATGGATGTGGCTGAATATGGTTGATGACTGATATAGTCATCCCCTTTTATTGCGGCTTAATTTTTCATCTTTGTAATGTAACACATTAGATTATGGATACGTGGCTGCACGCAGTTGACGACTGAACCAGCCCATCTTTTACCGACCTAGTTTGTCAGTATTCCTTTTAATATAAAATAGAACTACCGTTTTCAGTATATTTATCTCAAACTGGACTACTGTATGACGCAATGTCAAAACCTAGACTTGTTGCGTGTTATTAATACAAAAGTGACACTTTAGATGCTTTTAAGATTGATGTTGATAAGGAAATGACTGACTTTTGTCGGTTGCAAAGTGATCTTATGTTTCAATTTGTTCAAAATTGTTTTGTAAGTCGTTACTCCAGAATGCCTTTTTTCCCTAAAGATATTTCTGTGTTGCTGCGCTACACATTTTCTTCCTCTAGACCGATGATGAGTTAGTGGTGGCTTGGTTTATTATGTTCAGTAAATGGATCCAGTTTGTTAAGATTATATTTTAATTGTGTTTTAGGATGAATTGGTTTACAGCTTCACTGTTTATCAAGATGTGGTGCCATACTTGTCCAGCTTTGCTTGAATGAGTTTCTCTTTTGGGGAATGTATTTTGGGGTTTGGGCGTTAACATTTGAAAGTTATATGCACTATCTTTTCCAGCGAAGCTGGGCATTCGTATTGGGATTGACTTCTAGTGGGATATGCCTTAGATTCTGTCTGCAGAGTGAATACTGGAATGAATTTTAGTCTTCTTATCGTGTTGGATTTTGTCTATTTGTGACCTAGAAAGTAGAATGGTCTTTCTTTTCATGATTTAAGGAAAGTATTTCTAGTACTGCTATTCAACCTTGAAGAATGTCTTCAACTCATACTGGAAGCCTTCTAATGTTATTATGGTTGCTCTTCAAGGCCGACTTCAGGAGCTTTGGAGGCAGAAAAGAACGTTGTCACAGAGAATGATCTGGAGCACTTGCTGCATCTTCTCGATGGTAAAGATGGAGAGATGGCTTGGCAAAGTATGATGGAGCGGTCCACCGCAAACTTACAATATCAAGCTTGGCGCCATGAACCTGAGGTGAGTTCTCACCTTGAATACGATAATTTTTTATTTTTAGCAAACTCCGAATTCAGTTTCTCTGGTGAAGAAGTTTACACGATGACGTTATGGTTCATTTTGTCAATGCACGTGTGGAACTTTTTGGCCTTTTTAATTAGCATTCATGCTTTTCTTTCAAAAATTCTCTCATGTTGAGTATTATTAAAATTTCCTTCTGAGAGTTATTCTTGTTTTTTCAGAATGCACCCACTATATATCGAAGCAAAACTGTCTTTGAAGATGCAACTGCCGATGTTGTCAGAGATTTCTTCTGGGATGATGAATTTCGCCCAAAGTGGGATCCAATGCTTGCATACTTCAAAATCTTAGAGGAATCCCCTCATAATGGGACTATGATAATCCATTGGATAAAAAAGGTTTGTCAATGTCTCCAATTGCTGCTCTAATACTCAAGTAGTTCCACTTACCACAAAATAAAAAGTAAAAAAGTAGTTCCATTTTCCAACAGTTTTTACCCTGCTGATGTTTTATTTCCCTCGGTTGCACAGTTTCCTTTTTTCTGCAGTGATAGGGAATATATCATTGGTAGAAGGATCTGGGAAGCTGGGAGAAGTTATTACTGTGTGACTAAAGTAAGAGTTCTTATAAAGTTTACTCCATGTTACTGTGGTTGCATATTTTTCATGTAGCAAAATAGTATTCCGGGGTCTCAAAATGTCTAATAAGTAGAGACTATATCTGCAGGGGGTGCCATATCCAGCTTTGCCTAGACGTGACAAACCTAGGCGTGTGGATCATTACTTCTCCAGCTGGATGATTAGGCCTGGTATGTATCTCTGTACCTGATTGCCAAGTTTGTACATATTGACAATGTCGTGTAACTTTCTGTTTGCAACATGAATGTAGTGCAATCACTGAAAGGGGATGGCCAGATGTCTGCATGTGAGGTGACGCTTATTCACTATGAAGATATGGGAATCCCCAAGGACGTGGCAAAACTGGGTGTTCGCCATGGGATGTGGGGAACTGTGAAGAAGCTGCATGTTGGATTTAGAGCATATCAGAATATGAGGAAAACAGATGCGTCCCTCTCTCGATGTGCACTGATGGCCAGAATCACGACAAAGATAGCATCTGATGAAGGCACTGACCCCTTGGAACCAGAACGTAACGAAGAAGAGAAAACTGAGAATGTGAATATCGCAGTACAGAAAGGACAAGGTGGAATTGATTGGAGGTGGGTGGCTGTGGGAGGCGCCGCAGTTGCTGTTGGACTTCATACAGGACTGATCGGGAAAGCACTTTTAGTTGCAGCAGGCCAAAGAGCTGCAAAGAGGAGGGGGGGTTAGTTGTAAATGAAGAGTTTGTAGGTCAGGAAAACCCAGTTGGGATATGAGTTCAGAGATGTTTTTACCAGATTTCAAGTCATATCGCATGAACTTAAGTAGTATATGTAACATTACATTATGACAGTCGTTAAGTTTATTTTCGCATCATATACCAATACGACAGCTTCTTATACTCCCTGTACAGTTCTTTTTCTGTGTTTTTTTTTCAGCTGCCATTCTCATTGGTTCCATGAGAGAGAATCCCACAAAGTCCCCTTTTGCTCAAGGTGGTTGTAAAATCAAAAAAGCCCTCGCAGATGGGATTTGTTCAATTCATTGAAGCATCATTTCCAGGCAGACAGATTAGCTGAGCCTAAAAAGTTCACCAAATCCTCTTGAAATAAGTCATTCTTTTTGTCTCATCCCAGTTTAATAGTTCACTTTGGTATACTGTAGCGATAAAATCGCCACTAAATTTTGTTTTTATCCTCGATATATTTGCGAACATTGCATGCATGGATTTGAGTGGCATCAAAATAGAGTAAGGAAAGAACGATTTCAGTTTTGATTGTTTGTGTGCCATCATGGGTAGGCTATGAATGTGGTGCAGCTTTTGTATTTGAACCCAACTCAATCTTGATACTTCTCTGGTCCCAAAAAAAAAAGAGTTCAGTGATTTATTGAATTAAAACGTTATCTTAAACTTGATTTTCAGTTGGGACTGGAATGATAAACAATTAGAAACATCCAAAGTGGTAACTTATCCAAGCCTTTATGATGAAATTGAGCTTGTGCAATGGACCAGTTATCGGCAACTTGTATATTCCATGGCTCATATCTCTCGACCTATCAGAATTTGACAAGCCAAGTTTGGAAAGCTGGCCACATTCAGTCACAATCCAAAAACCCAAACAGAAGAAGATGATGGGAAATGTTGAGCTACGTAGCCATTGGTGGGTGATCACATTGGGTAAGGTTTGGATCAGACCCTTTAACCCCACCACCCCACCAAGACAAATCCAAAACACAGGTTAATGAAGTTATCCCATTTTTAGACAGGAAAAATAAATATTTAAACACTATTTTTTCACTCCCTGTATTGAAATAGTGATCGGTAATCTGGTTTGTACTTGAAAATAAAAATTTAAATTGAATATATCATTTCAGGTGGAAATAGTATCATTTAATGCATATTATATGATACAATTAGACAGTAAGAAAGACTTTACTCCCATACATGTTTACTAGTGAACTTTACCAAACTAATGAATGGGTGTTTATTATTCTCTTCGTCCTAAAAATAATTATCCGTCTTCTGCGTAAGCAAGATAATTATTTAACAACGGAGTTAAGCATGTATGTCCGATAATATAGCAAAGCTATATTCTTATTGTGAGGGATTTAAAAAACATTCATTTTTTTAAAATTCATTTTGAGACGGATTTGTTACGTGTTTTGAGAACATTTTACTGTGCTGATTTACTTTGGTTGTACAAAAGGAAGAAGTTTTTCAGATGCCGCCATTGACGTGAGTCGTCCCACTTGACAAGCATTATAGGTACAGAGATCACAGAAATATGTCTCAATCTCTGCGGTGCTCACAGAATTTGTCAAATTTTTTCACTGCAAAAATGAAAAATAAAAAATAAAATAAAATTTGTCTGTCACAAACAGAAGGCTGCTGACCCATTTCCAGTCAACCTGTGTGTCCAGGAACAGCTATTTTGCTCTGGCGGTGAGCAAACTGATGATCAGAAACGGAGTCAAAGTCCGTACAGTTGGATGTATTTATCTTTTACGTTGGAAAATTTTTAATAAAGATTAGAGAATTGTTGAAAGAAACAATAATAGTATAGAATTAAAAACGGCTGAAGTTCGATCGATATCCTAGGGTTTTACGTTTAAAATCATGTTAAAACCACACTCCTTTTGTCTCAAAACTATTATTCAGTTTAAATTTTCGTTTTAATTCATTTTGTACTATACACAAATATTCAAACTATATAATAATGATATCACGACGGAGAGAGTAATAATAATAAGCTACTTTCTATTACAAAATCAAAACCTCCCAAGTTAGACAGAATCCCAATCGGATGGTTTATAATAAACAATTTTGTTGAACTATTTTAATAAGTGCTCGAATTACTTGAAATTTTGTTCAAAAAACAGCTAAACCAAGCTAAATAAAGCAGGGATATGATCCTAAATCAAGTGGTAAGCAAGACGCAGTTCAATGGACCCTGGACTGTGGACAGAATTTGTATTTTCAGGAATTTGTTGGTTTTACTTGTATGGCTGTATCTATTTTGAAGAATCATTAGACCAACTTCATTGATTGGTCACTTTGGTTGTATCTGACATTTTATATATATATCCTTCCGTCCCATAATTATTGTCCAGTTTAGGTTTTTATTTTTAATTCAAATAGTACTAAAAATGAAATTTCAAACTGGATAATAATTTTGGAACAGAAGAAGTATATAATATGGACTACTTGAATTACTTGACATTTTATATAACAAGCAATATTGAATTTTGTATTCTGGAAAAAATTCTTTAACTTCAATTCGGTTCGGGTATGAATTAAAAATTATTAAGTGGCGTTTGCTTTAAAAAAAGAAAACATATAAAATCAAATGAGAATAATCATAATCAACTTACAATTATTGTCTTTCATGTTTCAAGGACAAAAAAGAACACCCTACATTTGCTTCCTGCAATTCAGGAATTAGGAGTACCATGCAAAAAAGTTACCAATGTCATATCTCCTAGAATTCCCTAAATTAGAAGTGTTCCCTTTTTCAGTACTACTTGTATAACTAACTAAAAATGGTAATAAGAACAAAAGATTCAGCTAAAGCGACATTAGTCTTTGATTAAGATTCCATTAACTCATATTTTATATTTATATATCCTTAATGTAGAGACTAAAAACAATTGTTAAATAATGCCTAATTATAAAATAGTAGATCTCCTTTTTCACGTTCTAGTTTCCAAACCCATGTAAAAAAAAAAAGCAATCTTTCTTAAAAAGATCCTCTTTTGAGTTCTTTCCTCTGGTCTTCATTTGCTTTTGAGAATTGATGAGACTCTGAACCTGATAAGAGAAAATTGATGCAGATTTTGAAGCTTTAAGAAGCAAAAACCCAAATCCTTAAATTTACAGAAAGAAGGGCAACGGCATGCAATGAACCACGTGGAAGATCTTGAACCAAGCAATCATCAAGTCTTCATTACAAAGTAAAATGCTTTCGTTATCAGGACAAAATGTGCTAAAATCCAGTGATTCAATTAGAATCTTTCTATTTCTCTGCCCAGCTGAATCTCTCTGACCTCAGTTTTACTGGGTTGTTCGGATTCTTTGTTACTTTGTTTTCAGTTTAGAAAAAAAAAAAAAAAAAAAAAGATTCTTTCTTTGTTTGTGCTTGGCTTTGGGCTTTTGTTTGTATTGTTTATGGTCCTTATGGATAAGTACAGTATTCCTATACTTCAAATGAAAGCAAGAAAGAAAGTGATCAAGAAAAAGTTGAGGCAATACAGTTGAATTCCAAAGGGGAGAGAAGCAAAAGGCTTTTTTTCATGGTGAAACAAGGAAAAGAGCTTTCCTTTGCATTGATCAGCCCCTTTTGTTTCTCTGTTAAGAGTATGTCCCTCAAATGGTTTCATGTTGCTTGCCTATATTATGATTGCTTCAGTGGAATAAAATGGCTGTTGTTAAAGTTTTTGTGCTTTCAATTGAGTTTCTGGGAATGTGTGTGAAGGTGAATTTTGGGTAATTTGCTCCAGATTCAATCCGGATGGGTTTTTCTTGCGTGTTTCTCAGCAGATGTGATTAGTTTTCTTGGATAAGAATGTTGTTGGATCCTAATCCATGAATTTTGTTCCCTATCATTCAGTTTTGTTGCTTAGTGTTTTCTATCTTATCTGAACTTAGTCTTTTGATGGAAGTTATTAGTCCAGAACTCCGAAGGATCATGGGTAGATTACTTTGGTCTGAAATGATAAGTGAATCCCACAGAAAAAAATCTGACCTTTATGTGATTTCAAATCTGCAGAATTAACTGGAAACTATAAAATCCAGTGCATATGATGAGTGCTGACAATCAAAACATGGATTTGGGACTTGCACTGGGATATTCCAGTAACTGCACCAAGATAAGGGGGAATGGAAATTCAGGTGCAGGTGTAAATGCAGGGTCATCTGTCAACTTGAAATTCCCGGCATCTGATTCTCTTTCTGAATTGGTTTGGTCCCCACAAAGGGGTTTGAGCCTGAAATGTGCTGAAGGGAGCTTGCCCAATAAGAAGGCTTTTTTACTGTGGAATGTGGATCCTTCACCTTCTGAAAGCATCAGCTGCAAGGAAATTGATGATGATGACGACAAGATTGTTGCAGGAAACTTGGTTATCTCCAACAAGGAATTGCATGTGGACAGTGAGGTTGCCCCAACAACTGGTCTGATCGAATCTACACGAATAGTCAGTTCAATCCCTGTTATAGATTTGGGTATGCGATTTTTCCTGTTGGATATGATTCCTTTTTCATTTTGCTTCTGTTCTTTATGTTTATTTTGCTCTTGTTTTCTATTTACTTTCGAAGTCATTTATCGAACAAAAAGCCTGAGGGTTTTACTTGTAGAAAGCAAAGATGAATCGGAGGGAGGGAAATTTGCGGAATGTTTTTGGTCCTTAAGTAGAAGTCGGAATGGTCACCCTCTTGGTGTAGATGAGAAAGGACCTTGTGCTATCGTAAAGCAGCAACAAGATTATATGTCTGGAAGTAGTAAAAATGATGCAGTTTAGCTTGGATTGAGAAAGGAGAAATGAGTATGTGCTGCAGCATAAATTATTGTACCGCTACTAAATTGTAAACTTTCCCTGAGTGATAAATGTTGCTTAAAAAGCTTTTTTCCGCTCGTTTTAGGGGTGATATTTGAGATTTGTTGAGAGGAAAGTATGCAGTATGATTTATCTTGAGCTCCAATGTTAACCCAATTGAATGATTTGCTGCAGGTCTTTCAGTGATGAATCTTTCGCAGCGAGGTCCCCCAGATTCCAATTGTGGCCTGGCGGAAGCTGAATCCTCATCTATGAATCTTAATAAGGATAGTCCAGCTGACCTGAATCCCACAAATGATAACGCTATCATTCCCTATCGGGTTCCATTACAAGATACTACAGCTGTTGAAGGCTATACCGATGAACAGTCTGAACCTCATCTTAGTCCATTGCAAACATTGCCATGGCTAGATATACAGACTGAGGAACTGAAGAGTGCTAATAACGAACAGGAAAAGAACACTAGCTGTACACGTGGTGACATGATGCCCTGTGGGGAAAAGCTGGAATATACTGCTGAGAATTATCTAGCATGCACCAACGATAAATCTGCTTATGATCAGAACAAGGAGAAGAATAAAGGGATAGTTGTAAGAGGCTGTTCTCTTCCCATTGACCCTGATGCGGAGAATCGAAGCAGCTATTTTCATTGTTTAAAAAGCAAAAATAAAGCCTTGTCTGAAGGAAATTCCAGCAGAAGATTATTAGACAATGGGGATGATAGTCAAGAGAGCTTGGAAAGTTGTAACAGTGCTGGATTAATTGGCAAGAAGCGGCTCAACCTTAATGAACAGTTTGTGGTCGAGAGCAAAAGGATGAAGACAGATGTGGAAGGAAATATTGCCTCAACATCAAGACATGGCAGCTCTTTCATGAATTGGATATCCAATGTGGTCAGCGGTTGCTCAAATCCTAACCATGAAGACAGTCCATCTCTTGAATTGACTCTTGCTCATTCTAGTCATGATGACAAAAGCACGTTCCAGGACAATATTGTATGCAGCAGACTGCAGGATCCCAAAAGCGAGAACATGGGATTCCAAACTCTTTTTCAGTCCCTCTACTGTCCAAGGACAAAGCTATTAAAATCTGGAACATCAGAAAATTATTCTGCTCCCCAAGGACCACATGTCGTTGTGCAGGTTGATGACACAGCCGGTCACATTTCTACAAAAAGGTTCTCTGAGCAGAATGGTGCCTCTTGCAATCCCAATGATATCTCAGATGGAAAGATTCTGCCCTCTACCGTAGAAGATGTAGTGGGTAAGTCTGATAAAGCTCTGGTTTTGTATCGAAATGCTGCGATGTGGAATGATTTTAAGACTGGGTCTGCAGTGGACAAAGGGTCGAATGATCAGGAATGTGGTAAACATGGAAATGAAACTAGTGCATCTGTTTCTCAGGCTGATCAGAAGATCAGCTTGCGCAATGAGGGGGACCCTCAACTTGCTTGTGATGGGAGAGCTACAGGTCAGTTGAGCAAAGTGAAAATGCCTGGTAGCTTGTGGATAACTCGGTTCATAACAAAAGTTGGCAGTACTCAGTTGATCTTAGATAATGCAACGAAAGAAGATTGCCTTGCTGATGGTCTTACAACTCAGAATCCCCAAACTCAGATCAGTCAAGGTTTTCCTATGGAGGGGAGATGCCCACATAGCAGGAATAAATCTCACAAAAACTTGGCTCGTAGAGATAAAGAGTTGCAGACATATGCTGCTGATGCTGAGTCCTCTCTTGACTCTAAGAAGATGCAAGAAAATAACCATGAAAATGTTGTGGTTAAACTGAATTCTGTCCAAGCCTCCCATAAATCCAGGTGCTCTGAAGCAATGGCCTCCACGTTTGCTAGGAGATTCAATGCCCTCAAACACATTACACCTACCGCGGAAGAGACCATTACATCTTCCCGATTACCCACCAGTTTTTCCGGTGGAAAGCGTTGCCATGTACGGACTTGTTCGAAGGCGACTGAAACTGAGCTGGTAGAGATCGCGAGTAACCATCGAAATTCTTGCTTTGTTGAGAAGGAAGAGAATCTTAAAGCTGCGGCATACAAAGGAGAAAAGACCTGTATAAATGCTTCCCAAGAATTCCTCGTAAAAGAGTCTTCAAGGAATAGGAGTTTCAGTTCAAATGAAACTAACAATCAATTCAAGTCAAATTCCAGGGAGAACAAAACAAGTAATTGCCGGAATGTGCCTTTAGTTGATTTGGTTAGTATAAATATTGGTGATATACCAAAAGGTGTATTTGATGCTGTGAGGCGGCTTCGACTTTCGCGTGCAGACATGCTCAAGTATGTGAATACCAAGTAATGACTCGATGTGAACATTGTTACTGTTACTCTTTTACCCCCAACTTTTGGGGTATTTTCTGAATGATTCTTTATATTGCTTTTAATCTGGTGAATATGTCCGGCACGTAAGCATTACATTAGTTTGTATTGTTTCAGGTGGATCGGCTCCAACGTATCACTATCCCTTCTTGAAGGTCTTTTTCTGCGTTTACGATTGGGAAGATCTGAAGCAGGTTTAGATGGAACAGGATACTACGTTGCTCGTATATTAGGTATATACATATGGAGTATATCTATTTAGTAAACAATCCCACTCGATTCTCCACTTTGAAACTGATGTTTTCCTTTCCTTGAAACGTATATGTGGTTTGTTTACAGTAGAGGAATCCGGAGAATCATCAAAAGATTGTAAGTCGATATCTGTGAATGTTGGTGGTATGAAATGCTTGGTTGGATGTCAGCACATCTCAAACCATGATTTCTTGGAGGTAAATTTATTTATAGGTTTTTACATTGTTATTTGATGGTATTTTCTTGATTTGGTTTTTTAAAAAAAAAAAAAAATGAAACTGAATTAAGATTTTAGCTGTAGTTTAGACAATAGTATTGAAATCCACTAACGCCTGCTGTTGTTGGCAGGAGGAACTTATGGTCTGGTGCTGCCGAATTCAGAAAAGTGGTGGCAAACTACCATCTAAAGAGGATTTAGACTCGACATTCGAAAGGAGGATCGCATTAGGCTTCTAAACATGTACGTGTGAAGTGTACCTAGGTTTTGCTATGGCGAACTGGAGGGTTTGAGGTTCCTTTTTTACTCTCTTCTGTAAATAGATGAGTTTCGTATGTATTGCACCCTCTTGTTTTACGTATGCGATCGCAAAAATTTTGATCTGCTTTGAGTTCAAGAAGGGTGTTGTGTGTATGTTGTGTTAGTAAAATGTAGTTGAGAAATTTTTTTTTTTTTTGTTTTTTACTAACACAGTAAAAGAATTTGTTGTGTTTGTGTAGCAAGAATTAATGGCTTCTCAAATGATTGAATTGCTAGATTTTCTCATATCTCAATGCGTACTTCCTTTATTCTAATCTAAAACGATTAATGTGCGTTGATTATTGTTTGAATATAACAAATGAGACAATTATTTTGAAACGAAGATAGGGATGCTCGCAAAATTCGTTTTGGTCCACCTTTCTTTCTTGCCCTTATCTAACTGGGCAGATTTAGCAGTTGTTGCATCTATGACAAAGATCTTGGTCCCTGAAAAAAAGGGAGAGAAAACAAAGGAACTATTCCTGGATTCTGCATTTAGTCTAGGTTCTGTGTACTCCTTCCATCATAGAAGGAAAAAAAAAAAAAAAAAAAGTCATGTATGTTTGTTAAACTTCATTTCTGAAAGGGAAAGAAGGATCATTCTTGTCAAACGAGGAAGAGATTAGCATTTTTTGTGGGTAATTTATGATCACCACTGTGCTTGTTGTTTTAGAAACAAAGATATCAATTTGTCATTTCATCAAGTAGAAATGGAGAGTCCTTCCATTTCAAAATAATGTATTCCTTCTGTCTCAAAATTATGTCTAGTTTGAGATTTTACTTTTAGTATAATTTGAACTAAAAATAAAAACTCAAACTGGACAATAATTATGGAACGGAAGGGGTAATTCGTTATTAAACACTCTCACATTAACTAAAAAAAATTCAAAATGATCCATACAAGTAAGGATAATTATTTTATGAGGGAATAAATACTTGATATTTTGTTTTTTAAAACTATGCCGTGGAATAATAAAAATTAAAAAAAGGAGGAGTTGGCTCCACGTCGTGTGGTCCTTTGGTTCGAAAGATGGAAGTGCATTCGATCTATAAAATGGGCAGAATTGGATTCAAAGCGTAGATGAAATTTGACATTTGGTTTTTCTCATTTATGGTAAATACCAAAACAAAAGAAAACACGCAGAAAAAAAAAATCCGAACTTTAATCACAGGGCCGGCCGATCTCTTAGGCTGCTAAATGTAATGCTATGGCAATTTAAAAATTAAAACAGGAATGAATTCAACAGAAACAAGAAATTAAAAAGGAAAATTAGGGTTCTACGAGAAGAAAAGAATTGGGGATCTCAAATTTCTGAAAAACTAAATCAACGCATATCTATTCCATAATAATATTTTTACCCCAATCAGAATATATATAGTCGGCCCTATTCTATTAATTTAAGTCAAATGAATCCCTGATTCATGACAAACTCCCCCACTAAAAACAGTATTGTCCCCAATACTGCCTTTACAAGGTTATAACCAAAACTGAACCAGAGTAAAATGGCACCTACGCCTTATTACTTCACATCTACTACTCAGTTTACCTTACAAAAAAAAAATAGACTGAAACCATTCGACACTAGAAGAAAACATTACCAAATATATTATGCTATCTATAATTTAAGCAAAGCTTGAGCAAATCTGAAAACCTCAATCCACCACACTTGTAAACAGCAGCCATCTGAACTTTTTAACTTGCACATTGCCTTTCAAATATTGCGCCGAACTTCATGATCAAGTGCCAGATCGTTCACATCCACCATGTCACCGTCAATAGTCCACAAAGCGTTTTCAGGAGGGTTTGATTTTACCATTTCTTCACAAAGCAGCACATTCACCTGCCCAAACTTGCAAACATGTCCCAACTTGAAATGTTCATCACATCGGTAACAAAAGTGGTTGTTGGCTCGATACTGAAACTCCTAGGGTGAAATTTTTTTGATATATCTATTACTAGGGCCTTTATAATCATTCATTTTGATACCATTTCTAACTTTAGTTCCTAACACCCCTTCTCTGTCCTCTTTACCCTTAACCATCTTATCAGCAAGGTCACCAATGGGTATCCTATTACTATTTCCTACCGGAGACTCATTTCCACCCCTCACACTTCCTGGTGAGCTAAGGGGAGAATCAGTTTGTCCAGAATCACGCCAACCTAAACTACTGTTGACAGACAGAGATTGCTCTTGATAGAGCGCAATTTCAAAAGCAGCAGCAATATTTTTAGGGTGCCACATTCTAACAGCCGGTTTTAATTCAACCTTAAGTCCACTTATAAAACAAGATACATAATAAGTATCATCAAACTGGTATCCCATCAACAACAATCTAGAACGTAACTCCTCAAATTGTTCCTGATACTCAGTTACACTACCAAACTGAACCAGTTTACTAAACTCTTCAATACAGTCCTGATCATTACTACTTTCAAAACACTTAACCAACAATTCAGCAAATTCAACCCAAGTAGGCTTACCATAAGCATGTTTAATACCTTGATACCAGGTGTCCGCCTTGCCGTCCAGGAACAATTCCACAGTATCAACGAGTTCAGCTTCTGGGAGTTGGTGCATCTGAGCGTACTTACAGCATTTGTGCAATCAATTCTATGGATTATCACCTGTAAAGACCGGCAAATCCATCTGGGGTTGCTGATACCACTGGTAGTTCTGTTGTCCCCAATTGTTGTTGTCCTGAAACCCCCCTAAATTCCTGAACTCCGGCAAGGGACTGTTTCTATTGAAATTGCGACGCTTGTCTGGTGGTCGACGTCCACGCGCACAGGGTTAACTGGAGATCGATGATTTCCTTTTTCCAGCACCACTTTGAACGAGGCTTGATTGTTTTCAGCTCTACCTTGTGCAAAAGGCCGCCGGCAGGGTGCTGAGAGATCGGAGAGGTTGCTTCCGTCACCGGCGCCTTCTCGGGATTTCTCTGCTGCATCGCGCCGACCAAATCCAACATTTGTTCCATTGAAGCAGTCAAAGAATCCACCTTTGATTCCAAGGAAATGAAACGCGGGTCGAGATTGGAGAATTTCGACTCTAGGGTTTCAATCCAACCGGAGTTGGCATCACTGTTGGTTTCCTTGGTTGATTCCTCCATCGCAGCCCTTGTTCTTGTCATTTTGTTTTCGGATTGAAAGTGCAGAAATTGATTGGGAATGGAGGGTTTCAGAATTTGGGGTCTAAAATTCCGAGGAAAGTCTAGCTCTGAGGCCAAATGTAATGCTATGGCAATTTAGAGATCAAAACAGGGATGAATTCAACAGAAACAGGAAATTGAAAAAGGAAATTAGGGTTCTACGGGAATGAGAAAATTGGGGATCTCAAACTTCTGAAAAACCAAATCAATGCATATCTATTCCATAATAATATTTTCACCCCAATCAAACTATATATATTCGGATAGTTTGAGAACTTACAATTTAACCCTTGTTCTATTAATTTAAGTCAAATGAATCCCTAATTCATGACACTAAAGCCTCAAACCAGGGATTTGATGGACCCAAAAGTTGTTTAAAAGTGTTTTTATATGATTATATATATGAAATAATTCTAAAATTATTTAAAAGGTCTGGCATTTACGTCCAGAAAACATAAATATAAAATTAATACGGTCAGAGTTAATACTTCCTCCAGTCCATATTATAAGACATTTTGATTTGTCCTAAGTTTCACCTAGGATGTCTTTCTAATTGAAATAAAAACTTTAAAAACATTTTCTAATATTAAGAAGAACACAAAAAAAATGTTAAAATATTTTAACGATTTTTTTTTACAATTAAAAAAAACATTCTATGTGAAACCTATGACAAAATCAAAATGTATTATAATAAGAATCGGATGGGGTATAATTTTTTCACTCATAATAATTTCTCAAAAGTCTCAAATGTTAAGTCCCGTGAAGATCTCGATAAGCTCCTTGATTCTTGAGGATTTTGTACAAAATTAAATCACATATTCATCCATCCATTGGAGAAACAGAACCCGATTGGTCGCGAAACGGGGAAGGAAGAGGGATGGCTGATTCGGCGTCTTCGTTTGTTGGTGATGGTCGCCGGAAAATGGCCGGACGGCTGTGCTCCTCTTTTTTTTTTTTCTTTTTGGTTTTATTAATTTTTTTTTGAGGTCAAACTTAGTAGGTTCCACAAACAGTCTTAAATGAATATAAAAATTGAGAGTTGACGGAAACTTGACACAATTCGTTAACTCTTAAAATTTTTTGTTAAATTGACCAAAATCGATGAGAAAAATATTTTAAAGAACTTTTTTTGTCAATTAAAAATTCATGCTGACTCGATCTTACTACCGTCAAAAGTTGGGGGACGAAAAGTATATCTGGTCCTTTGTCGAATATAAAGGTACATTACTATGGTGCTCCCTGATTTGATTTCTTATGTGCTCAATAAACGCTGTTATATTATTATATTATATCTATAATTTAAAGGAACAAAATCAGTAATTGATAACTTCAAAAAATGGTCAACTCACTACTTGTGGAGAATGGATCTGTAAGAACTTGAGATACTCACTAAGAGATATAACTTAGTGTATCTTTGTTAACCAAAAAAAAAAATGGTCAACTCAGCTCAACTTGCTGCTGATGATAAAAATGGTTGTTTAACACTCTAAATTCTGAAAGCGTGAAGTCCAAATCAATTATAAAAGGAATCCATTGTCTTTGTCCTCAGTCCTAAGTTCTAACTCCTAAACTCTGTCTCCTCCAGAGATATTTTGACTTTAACCACATTTTATTCTCAGTTCTGGGTTGGATTTTCTTTGGATAGTTCAGTCATGAATCAAAGTAAAAAAAATTTCCCTTCAAAGATGCTGTTAAGTTTACTCTCATTTTTTCTCTTTAATGTCTTCAATCAGTTAACTTTCTTTTTTCATCACAATCAATTGTTTTCACTTTTCAGGTGATGATGGGAAGTTTTTTCTGGTCAAACTCCTTGTTGCAATTTCCATTGTAATCATCTCATCAGCTGCTGCTATATACTTCCGGAAGAGAAAGTCAAAATCTTCACCCAAAGATCATCACTTTAATGATGTTCTTGTTCCATCCTTAAAGAGAACTGAGTCTGGCCGTGTTGGGAATCTGGAAAGATTCTCTGATTATGTTGGTAACTCCATAATAAACTCTTTCCCACTAAAGTTCATTCTTAGTTTGTTTTGAGTTTTATTTGGCACCCCTTTTGGCAGCAAGGCAAATTGGGTTCAAAGATGGAAGTGAGTGCCCTCAGTTAAGCAAGCTGGTGTATGACTACTTGAAGAGGTCCAAAGGTTGGGATGAGAAGATGTTTGAGTATTTTGCTAATGAAGAAGATCCAGGTTCTCTGTATGTTAAGTTGGTTGAAGAACTGGAAAGATGCATTCTTGGATATTTTGCTTTTTTCTGGAGTCAAGCTTCTCTCATGATCACTCAGGTACCTAAAATCGTTGACTTTTTTTTTCATTCATTCATTCATTGATCATTAGTCATTGCTGAATTCAGCTGAGCAATCATCACTCAATTGTTCTTTTCTTTGGATTGCTTTTTGTTCTTATTTACGGTTTCTGGGGTGAACCCAGAATTGTAATCAAGATTAATGGATTATTAAGTGGTTCTGAATCTAATAAATTGCAGGTATTGAGTGTGGAAACTGAGAAGAAAAGGCTTAAGAACTTGGTAATGGCTGCAACAAGGTGATTTTTCTTTTTTCTTTTCCTGTTTTTCTTCCTTATTAATTTATACGCTGCCAGCTCAGAAGGATGTAACAGGGATAATATTTTATATTTCTTATCAGAAAGAGATTGCCACTCTGAAGCAACTAGTTATGATTAATGACATTTATAAAATTGGATCCTGAAATTAAATACTGCCCACTACTAAAGCAAGTAGCAGATTTAGTTGACTTAAGGATTCTTCGCTATCGTGGGTTCCGTTATCTGTTTGTAGAGATGTACATATACAATGTGTACTGTATTAGTTGTTAATGATACTCTTTCCATCCAAAATGATTGGTTCAGTTTTGATATCATACAATAAATAAGACAATTATCTTGGGATGGAAAGGACTGTGTTTGTTTTTTTCCTCATAAGTGCATTTTTCAATGATGTGGGGGACTGTTTCCTGTTGTAATTTAGAAGTTTTAATGTTGAAAATGGTTCGAGAGAAACTAGATCTAAGTTCTTGATAATATTCCATTTTTTGCATACACTGATGAGAGAAGACCACGGTTGGCAAGATTTGATGAGAAACTCTTTCATATCTGCTTGGTGGCCCGACAAAAATATTGGTCTTGATAACCCACCAAGCCAACTTTTTTTGGGCATAACCATCAAAAAATCAGTGTTCCTCATTATAATTGGCATAGTATCATCACTAAACTTGACATTTTCAATTGGATAGTTTTCCAAAAAAAGGACATTTGGCTTGAAACTGTAGAAAAATGTTGCATATGCTTACTTTTTCTCTTTGCTTGATATAGAAAGAAACTGACAATAAGCAGAAAAGTACTTGTAACACTGATGGTAATTGTGTTGCTCTGTGGTTCCAAAAAAACTAGTCCTGTGTGTCTAACTATTACTATTTCGTAGCGGAGGGAGTATTTCTTAATTTTGACTACGCTTGTGAAGTGGATCTTTGCTAAAAGGAGAAAATTAGTTGCTTCTTATGTCCTGTAACTTGTAAGAACAAGTGATTAGGAGAAGGTTGGCTTAGGTGGCGTAGGGTTTAGTCTTAATTTTGAGGAAGAAGAAAGCATGGCTAACAACGACGCACACATACATTGTGTACTCGAAACACTACCCAGAAATGAACCAACAGAAAGTTCAGCAAAAGGTCTCAATTGAATTTTAGAGCATAGGTAATCCAGTTATTCACAGTAGAGGTATGCAATATGTATAGTTGATCCCTTGTAATAGAATAAATGCTTGTTCTTTTCGGGTTAACAGTGATTGAACTGTCTTGAATTCTGCCATGCATCATGCTTCTTGCTGCTAAATTTTACTACCTCCACTGGTAGGGAGCAGAGATTTGAAAGGATCAGCAAGGAGCTAAAGATGACTAGAGTATTTTCGACACTACTTGAGGAGATGAAAGCAATCGGTGCTGTTCCAAATGGGGAATCGAAGTGTACAGAAGTGATGGCTCCAGTGGCTCTTTGTGACAGAAGTCCTGTTCTCTTATTTATGGGCGGTGGAATGGGAGCTGGCAAGAGCACGGTCCTCAAACAGATTCTGAAAGAGTATAATTACATTATCTTAGCTGAATTACGTCTTGTTGCCAACAACTAACATCTACCTTGATGACATGGCGAACAGCATGAAGATGTTGCTAAAGTCAGTTTGCACTAGTTTACCATTGTTTCGAAAGGATAACTTAAGTTCCAGAATATATATCATTGCCTGTAATTGAGCCCAAAAATGAACATGAGTTTCGAGTTTGGATATCTGATGCTACATTTTGTGATAACAAGTAGGTGGCATTTTCTTTGACAGATCATTTTGGTCAGGAGCTGCAGCAAATGCTGTGGTGGTAGAAGCAGATGCTTTCAAGGAGACTGATGTTCTTTACAGAGCGCTTAGTTCAAAAGGCCATCACAGTGACATGCTTCAAACTGCTGAGTTGGTAAATATCCCCTTTTATATTTAGATTAACCAACATACACCAACTGCTGATGCATCAGTATTTCAGCAATGCAAATACTCAATGTTAACATTTTCTTACTGAGACAGGTGCACCAATCTTCCACTGATGCTGCATCGTCGCTCCTAGTAACTGCTCTTAACGAGGGTCGTGATGTAATTATGGATGGTACGTTGTCATGGGTTCCCTTCGTAGAGCAGACTATCAGAATGGCAAGAGATGTCCACAAGAATCGCTACCGAATGGGAGTAGGATATCAGGTTGCAGATGATGGTAGTGTCACTGAGAATTACTGGGAAATAAAGGCTGAAGAAAAGGAAGTGCCCATCAGAAAACCGTACAGGATAGAGTTGGTTGGAGTAGTTTGTGATCCTTATCTGGCTGTCGTAAGAGGCATCAGGTATGATACAATTGTGACTTTATACTCGTTCCGCTAATAATGCAGACAAGTTTTGATTGACAGTGTCTCCGCTATACCTCAATTCACCTAAAACCGCTTACAAATTGATGCAGGAGAGCCATACAAACTGGAAGGGCAGTAAGAGTGAAGGGGCAATTGAAATCCCACAAGAGATTTGCACAGGCTTTCCCCCATTACTGTCCGCTCGTGGATAATGCAAGGCTCTACTGCACAAATTCCATTGCTGAACCACCTAAGGTAACTTTTCAGCTTCTTTCCCATCCCCTCAAACTACGGAAAATGGCCTCAAATGCTTTTGGGTTGCTATGCTCTCACTGTTGTAGTAATTTGAAAGTTACGTTTTCTGCGAATGCAGTTGATAGCATGGAAAGATGGAAGCAGCAATCTCCTGATTGATCCAGAAGAGTTCAACTGTTTGAATGTGGTAAGCCATGTGAATGATGAAGCCGAGTCCATCTATGAGCTTTACCAAGAGCCGGAAGACCTGATATTTCAACCTGGTGCCATTTGGAAAGACGTAGTTTTGCTCCCCACAAGACCAACTCTCCAACAAGAACTCAAAACTGCCATAGCCAGAATTGAAAATCCAACATCATAAAACCTTTTCCTCATTTTTTGGGTTCCACTTTGTACCGATTACAGAATTTGAATACTTCCAAAGTTGAGTTAGTATATTATCAATCAATGGATAAGAATGCCAGGAAATTGCAAGTCTATTCGTCAAAAAGCTTGAGTTTTCATATTGCTACTGAACAGAAGAATCAATCAAAAGTACTAAAAACAGATTCAATCAAACATATAAGATTAGAAATTAGAGATTTCCATTGTCTGAATTGAAAGCCAAGCATCCAGGGATAAACATACCATCATTCTTTTTTAATCTAGACATCTTTTGCTAATATACTAATCACTACCAAGCCAAGCCACAATCTGAACACTAAAAACAAGCCTTAATAAAAAGGGAAAAGGGGGAGGGGGAACGAAAAATTCCTGACTTCCAAAGACCAAATCAGAAGGAATTTACATCTTAAGAACTTTCTAACTCCAACCAAAGGGAAGCCCTCATTTCTTCATCTTCTTCGCCGGAGACTTTAGGCTCTTGGGCTTCACTACCTTCTTAGTCGGAGCCTTCTTCACTGGAGTTTTCTTCACAGCAGTCTTCTTCGCTGCAGCAGTCTTCTTAGGCTTCTTCTCCTTATCATCAGCACCGGCGGCTCTCTTCCTCTTTGGAGCTTCCTTCTTGGGGACGGCGGCGGCTGGCTTCTTCTCTGCAACCGGCTTCTTCTCCGGCTTAACTGGAGCAGCGAGCTTGTAAGAGTTCTTCACCTTTGTCAATTTCCCAGAAGCCACAAACTTCTTCAACTGGATGAACAAAAGCTTCTTGAAATTCGGTGGCAAATTCTTCCCTTCTTTGTCCTCAACGAACTTAGCAATTGCTGGAACGCTTGAGCCAGTCCTTTCCTTCAACGTAGCAATCGCTTCCTTAATCATCTGAAAAAAAAAACACACACACACACAAAAACCCATTAATTAAAATCAATCAAAAACGGAACCCAGATACAAAATCGGACGACATCGATGGGGAAAATGTCAGATCTATACCTCATAGTAAGGAGGATGAGAACGGACTTTCTTTGAAGCAGCAGAAACAGGGGCTTTCTTCACTTTCTCTGCAGCGGCTTTGGTTTTAGTCACCGGAGACTTAGCAGGTTTTCCGGCGGCGGCGGTTCTAGCAGGACGAGCCATTTTTGAAAAGATTAAGAATTTGAAAACGTTTGAAATTTTTCTGGGGATAAACGATAGAGAGGGAAAATGAAAATGGAAGAGATTTTCAGATTTGATTTGTGTTTGAGAATTTCGTAAAGAATCATTTTATAGAGGTGGAATGATAAAGGCGTTGCTGAATTCTGATTGGCTTAAAGCTTTCGTCAAGGATTGTGATCCGCAACTGAACTCATTTGAATATTGTCCGTTGGATTATTTTTTATCGACGGATGGAAATGGGTCTTGAGACAATGACACGGATCGAGGCTAAAGGAGAGTAAACGGATGGGAAAATTCGAGAAGTCGGACTTTTTTGGGAGTGTGCTTTTGTTCATGATTCTTAATGAGATATCTTGGAGTATATTGAATGAAAATTCATGAAATTTGTTTTGGTTGGAAGATTATTGAGTTGTGAGTTTGAAATTTGTTTTTAATTTTCGAAAAGGTTAAGGTACGATGGAGAAATTTCGTCAAGTTTGGGGTTTGGTGTAGATTGGTTCATAGTGAAGTGTGTTTTTGGAGGTTGGGTCTCTAGTTGATTTTTAGGGTAATGATTCTTGTAAAGTTAGAAGTTCGTATCTAATTTGGATCTGTACTCGTGTGTTATTCTTCAATTGACAATAGATTTACAAATTACAGATTCATTATCACCATATCAATGACTAATGCAGGAGTAATATTTATATGTAGTTGTATCAATAGGTAAATATCGATTTCATTGCTCACATTTTGATTTTATTATCGTATGGATAAATGTCTCAGGAGTGTGTAGTTGAAGTTCGAATAATGCAATAGTGTCTCAATTTTTTTTGAGGGTAATAATAATATCGTAATAATATTTACATAAGTATACAAAACAGCTATAAATAAATTTGTAACGATGTTGTATTTGGCGTCTCAAATCTTAATTTGAGTATCATATGGTGAATGAATGATGAATTATGTTTCTCGAATTTTGACTTGATTATCATATGGGTAAATTGTGTGTCAGGGCTGGTATGAAAAAGATGGATGAATTCTCACGGTAAAAGTTCGGGGTAAGTTAACATGTGTGATGTGTATACATGGCTCTAATTAGTTGGTTGTTAGGCAAAAGTGAACAATGACTTATAACCACGCACTTGCTATTAGATGAATGTTATAATCCTCGCATAAAAATAATTCACTTTATTGAATTAAGAATCTACAATGATATAATGAATTGAATTAGTTTTCTTGGATGAAGATAAGAGTAGTTTAGAATTCTAGATTGTGATGCTAATGTCGAGATTAATACATTTCTAGGGTATGAAACTCCTAAAATCATGTTCTAACCATGGTTTCGATCCCCCGATGACAGAGGTTCGAAATATGATAGACTTCCTGAACCTCGAGCCGCCAACAGAACTGTATAATTCATTGCAAAATTAGCTTCTTAATATGTATGATCAAATTCCACTGTCCAATCTCGCTTTAAAAGTTCTTGAATTCCATGTACTATGTCAGCATTTGTCCCAAAAATCTCATATTCACCTTTCACCATCGCTATGATACTCTTATTATCAACTTTGGTCAGAACTCTTTTACCGCCGATATTCCATACTAATGTCAAAGCCTGAAAAAAAAAACCCCCATAATTCAGCTCCCGTGATCGAACAAAAGCAAATATTCATGACTGAGTAAAAGATGAATGAGATTGCAAGAATGAGGAATTGTAATATGTTTAAACTTTTATGGAACGCTAGATTTTCTTAACCGAAAAAGGAAATTGAAATTTTATATTTAATTTGCTCTAAAATAATTGTTTAGTTTGAATTTTTATTTTTAATATAAATTAAGCTAAAATTAAGAATTCGAATTGGATCATATTTTTGGATAGATGAAATAATTGGTAGGCACAAAAAGATTACGAAAGTGAGAACTTTCACCAAATTATCGAGGCAAAAAAATGACAAAGAAAAAATACGTGAAATTTGACAAAGAAAAGTATTGATAAGAATCATGCACTTACTACTTACTAATTAAAGTTCATTTTATTGGCGATCTTAATTAATTATTTTGTCGAACTAACTATTTTTATACATATTGTTCTTCGTTCCTGTCCGCACAAAAATTTTTGTTGATTGTTCAACTCCAATACCTTTTTATGGAGAGAGAAAACCATTGAACCATCCAAAATCAAAACAATTTAAAAGTTGATAAAGATGAAGAGCCCATTTCTTTATAACAATTTTCAGAAGTTGGATTTTCGTTTTCGGTTACTACTTTTCAAAAGAAACCATTCTTACACCATTCGGAGTTTTTCCTCATTTCTTAATATCAATGGCCAAACATGAAGAATTATGTTACGACATAATTTGTTCCTCATAATTGTATGTTACAAGATTCAAAAATAATTTTTTTTATGAAAAGAGAGAATGATTGAATCATAAATAGCTTGTTAAGATTTTTTTTATTATTTTTTTTTTGTAACGATGATCAAAGATTAAAATCTAAAAATAAAAAATAAAAAACTGGACCTGCGTTTTGTCGATCTACTCGTCAATCTACCTATGTCGACAACAAAAGTCAGCCAGACCCCATCTATCTGGTCGTCGATCTATCTAAGTCAACGTATAAGTCGACGAAAAGCATTTCTCATTTTGACATTTTTCCTTTAAAATTTTTGAAGTTTCCAATGGTTGTTTTTAGGTCATAAACGACTTTTTAAATTTTTTTATTTAATATTTTATAAATAATCATCGAATGTGAAATTATCTAATTTTTAAGTAATTTGCAACGTAGGAAACTTCGAGTTGTATATTTTAGTAAATCATATAGTTTTATTTTGAATTTCTTGTTGTTTTGGCCATCCTATAAGCCTATAAATAAGGTCTTCTACATGGGTTTTTAAGGTATGATACACTGTGTCTTTGGGTTTTCAAATTATACTTGTGAGTGAATTTCTTGAAAATTTTGCATTGCATAGAGTTGTTCCCCTGTTTCAAGCTAACCATTCGAGTTTCTTTTTATGCTCACTCGAGTTTGGATGTTTTATTTTTTAGGTAAAATAAGTTCATATCAAGGGTTTTCCGTCTTAATAACTATTAACTTTTGTCACATTTACAAGTCACACATTTAATTGGTATATATATTTTGTTGTAATTTGGTCTCAAAAATAGAATGAAATAGAGTAGTTTGCCAATTTGTGTGCATGACGGTGTACTAAAGTTGTGATATGATCTTATTTCACCAATATATGATATATACAAATAAAAGTTAACAAACTTTGAACACCAGTAGGTGTGAATCTTAATTACTAGAGAAAACTTTTATACAAGGACACTTGTGAAATTGAATCTTAGTCAGGAAAAGAAAGAGTATATGAAGTGTTTAGCTTTTCTAATTCTAATGGATTCGAATCAATCAACACAACTGTTAACAACTATGAAACGAACAAATTGAAGTGTTTTAAGTATAAACAACGCATCCAAATTCGAGAAAATTCACCAAAATGTTCGAATGGTTGCTATCGTTCATAATAAAACTTCTAAAAGTTTTCTTAAACAAAATATCTGAAATCAAATAATTTATTGTAATATTCAAAATAGGTAATTAATTTGTCCCAAATCTAAAAAAAAATAAAAATTGAACCTTTGTCAAAAATAAGAAGACTTTTAAAAACAGAAAAATAAAAAGTAAGTAAAAATTTATATCGTCGACTTAATCGTCGAAATGAATAGATTGACGAACAGATCAACGGGGCTTCGTCGGCTCATCGTCGACTTAGAAAAGTTGACGAGGAATCGTTGACTCACAATGTCGACTTACATATAACGACGAATGAATATACGAAAGGCTGATTAAGTTTCTCCAATTTTTCATATATGGCATATTGATAACAAGACAAACATGATTCAAACCAAACATACTACCATCCAAATTAATGTAGTGAACATTTTTTGTTTGGGATAAAAATTAACTACAGATTTCATATTCTTATCAATTTGGTTCTCTTTGGATTCATTCTAACTTTGTGACAAGTGATACATATGTATAAGAGGGCTAAATAGAATAACTGTGTCTAACATTGATTAAAACTGTTAGGTATGTAAATATACATGTTGAGAAGGTCGACTCTTAATCCTGACGTTCTCATGTCCCTGCTAGCATGCAAAAAATACTGTGTAGAAATACTAAACACCTATGAGATCACAGCAAAGAGCCTAAATCATGGCTTTCTTGATCTACTAGTTCCAAGACCCGTATTTCTTTTTTTTTTTCTTTCCACTTTAATAGTTAGTTTTTGATATGGACTCTGAAAAGCCTCACCAAAGTGTCTTAAGAGCACCATTAGGAGAGACCTAAAGGGCTTCTTATATAGAGAATGGCTCTTAAGTAATTTACTAAAGCGAGAGTTAAGAGATTAGATTATGAAATATAGTTTTCTATTGAAATACTCCCTCCGTCCCATAATCATTGTCCAGTTTGAGTTTTCATTTCTAATTCAAATTGTACTAAAAGTAAAATCTTAAACTGGACAATAATTTTGGGACAGAGGGAGTACTATTCATCCATAAAACTAGCTAGAGGCATGTATCAAAACGAAGATTTTAGAATATCAACTGACAAGACATATCATAGTTACGTGAAATGTAATTGGTTTCGGATAGTTCGAACTAAATAGAGAGTGTTTCATATGTTGAATTCTCTCAAAAGACTATTTTTCAATAAAATTTAGTCATACACTCCATATTTAAACTCCGTACGTTTATATCTGAACATAGTGTTTCTTTCTTTCTTTCTTTTTTTCCCCCTTTAAAACCTTCATGTGTAATTATTAGTTTCTTTACTTTTAGAGAATTCTTTCAACCAATTATAATATAGGGATTTTAGGTACACCTAGCAAGGTATACCTAGTGTGGATCTCACGCGACTTAAAAATGGACATCTCTCAATATTTATAACAATCTCATTTAATTCTCCATTTTGTGCGATTTTTGAAATTTCAAATTCCACCATTTCCTCCTAATTTTCAGCCATTAACCATATCCATCTTCCACCCCATTCATCACAATCCGTCTCAAACAAAAAAAAAACTAAAAAATTAAATTTTCTCTACAGCGATTTGGCCAGAAAACCTCTCGTCGGCTAGATTTTTTGGACGGAATCAGATTGTGCATCAAATCCAGTGGAAATTATGGAAATATACTCTGTTCAAGATGCAATTTAAGGTAATACATGAACAAAATTCATCCACGCAGAAACCACCGATTGAGGATCCTGAACCGAACAGAAGCAGTTCGGAAAGTGAAGATGAACGAAGGTAATACTATTAATCTTTTGGACTATTGATGCGTTTTTTAATGAGTTTTATAGATTTACTGTATATGCATTCGATTATTCATATCTGTTCATCAAGTTTAAAGTTTTCTTCATATTCAACGATTGGTGTTTTTTTTTGTTTGGGTTCTGTAGATGTAAGGTATATTCACTCGATTGACGATGTTTGTTCATCAATTTTAGAGTTTTGTTCTTCTATTGGATGTTGTTTTTCTGGAAAATTGGTAGATTTTTGTATTATTCATCAGGTTGGTATAGTTATTCATTGTTGAAATTGTCATCGTTTACCATAACTATGTAGTATTATTTTTTTGGTGAATTAGTAGATATTTGTATTATTCATCGGTTTGGTATAATTATTCATTGTTGAAATTGTCAGATTCATCGTTTACCATAACTATGTAGTATTATTTTTTTGGTAATTACTAGATCTTTGTATTATTTATCAGTTTTGTATAATTATTCATTGTTGAAATTGTCGGATTCATCGTTTACTATAACTATGTAGTATTGTTTTTTTTGATAAATTACTAGATGTTTGTATTATTCATCAATTTGGTATAATTATTCATTGTTGAAATTACCGGATTTATCGTTTATCACAACTATGTGTTATTTATTCGTTAAATTTGTTCATCAATTTGGTAATTGGCATTCATCATAATTTGTTGTAAAATTTGTTTTGGGATAATCATCCGTAAATAGATGTTATTCATTGGGTCAGCAATTATTATTAATTTTCCGATTTCATAATCCCAGATTATTCATCATCTATATACATTTATTCATTAATTCATCAAACAGTCATTCATTAAGTTTGTGATACATCTGATACGTTGATATTAAGAAACACACTAAAAAATTCATCAAATCTGACAAGTTATTCATGCAATTTGTAAACATATTGTAGCATGAGCGAAGAATATTAGACAGAATCTGAAAGAAGCATGAGCGAAGAACAACAATCAGAAGCCGAAAGAAGCAGGATATCTGAATCTGCAAAAAGACCAAATTACAATAAGTGTAGACATTGATATAGAGGGTTATTCAGCAGTTTTGTAAATTAGTATTTTTTTTGGTAAATTAGTAGATCTTTGTATTATTCATCAGTTTGGTATAATTATTCATTGTTGAAATTGCCGTATTCATCAGTTTAGTATAACTATTCATTGTTGTATATCATCTACCTCATGAATTTTTTACTCCTTGTTTGCTACATGCAAATTGTTTCCAATATACAACACCAGATTTGGACATTTTCCAATCTTTGAACCTTTTAATTGAAAAAACAATGCACTAGAATTATAAGCAGCAAAAGCCTCTTCCTCAAAGTTGAAACATCGTCCAATTATTCATCAATAAGAACTCGTTATTCATTAATTAACGTAAGATATTCATCATAGAAACATAATAAGATAATACACCATCGGTCAGAAAACAACAATGAAATTCCTGTTCATCATTAACCATATAATACGCATTACCTTACGCATGTATATTCATCAATAAAACGAGTACATTCTACATCAATCATCTTTCAATAATTGCATAACATTATTCATTGTCTAAATGTTGGTTATTCATTACTGGAAAAATACACATTGATTCTCCATATTCATAAGTCTCAATGATTAACCATAGTCAATTTTACTAAAATAAAATCCATCGTTATAAAAAAATTATCTCATAAAATAAAATAATATAAAAGTTAACATGATAAGCAAAAAAAAAAAAGGTTTAAAATTAAACGTGCGTAAAAAAAAAAGGGATAACATCAAGGAGTTAAATGCCAAAAAAAAGGGGATAAAATTATGAGGATTAAATGCCAAAAAAATGGGGATAAATTTCGATGATTAAATGCGCGTGTGAGAACTAAAAATCCGGACTAAAATGATCACTTTTTTCTCCTAAATTTGTAATACACGCACTGCCTGAGTACACCTTGCAAGGTGGACCTAGGATCTTAATATTATTTGCCTTCTTTCAATTGACTGCATGACTCAATCGGATTTACAATACTAGATTGCAGACCTCATCGGTAAGGTATTGACTCTTTGGTCCATTGGACAATAGAATTGTTCTTAATTTTTGAACATTTTAAGCTTGAATAAAAAAATTTGAACAAAATTAAAATTTCATTCAACACGTTTTGAACTTTCAAAATTTTAATGGCTTCACTCTATGTATCTTGATGATTTGAGGGGAATCTGGTAATTACCAAAAAACAGTAAACTCTACTATGTCATTTTTATCGAAATTTGAGGGCAGGAAACATAATATAATACTAGAGAATTGAAGGACGGGAACCTAAAATAAGGAAAATCGATTGGGCCGAAACCCTTCCCATCTCTTTTACCCTAGACAACCAAAGGATATATAAATCTGCATAAACCTCCATTTACTTATTCCTCCCCATCAGAGAAGAGTAGCCGCCGCAGCAGCAGGAGCAAATTCGGTTCTGCAGTTCAATCAATTAAATCCTTCTTCAAGAGAAAATGGTTCGATTCCTAATCTGATATCTCGATTTCCTTTCATGGGTTCAAGCAATTTTGTCTGTTTTTTGTTTTTTTTTTGTTGATTAATGGTTTGTGTTTGGGATGTTTGTGGGTTTTTGATAGGCGGACGTTGAGACTGAAGTTGCTACCGGACCAAAGAAGAGAACGTTCAAGAAGTTCAGCTTCAGGGGCGTGGATCTCGATGCCCTCCTCGACATGTCCACTGATGATCTCGTGAAGCTCTTCTCTTCTCGCGCTCGCAGAAGGTAATTTGTTTTACCTTTTGTACTCCCTTTCCTTTTCTTTTCGTGTTTTTAAATCAAAAGTTTGGATTTTGTTTTTGGTTTATTTGTTGTTATCCAACGTTTTGTAATCCAACTGCTAGTATTTGGAATTGGGTTGCTGGGGTTTTCATAAAATGGACAATTTGGGCTGTTGTATGCTGTCATAACAATGATAAACTGTATAGGGAGGTTTTTGTTGTATTAATTGGTTGCTAGGGTTTTCATAAAATGGACAACTGGGCTGTTGTATACTGTCAGAACAATGATGAAGTGTATAGGGAGGTTTTTGTTGTATTAGTTGCGGGATGTAACATCAGGATGTGATTATGTGGTTGTTTTTATGCTGTTTGGTTTATATTTGTATGGGTATGGTTTGTCTAAGTAGTTTTAGCAGTAGTGCTTCTGATTTGTAATCTTATTCATTTTGTGTAGGTTCCAGAGGGGTTTGAAGAGGAAGCCCATGGCTCTGATCAAGAAGCTCAGGAAGGCGGTAAGCAATCTCATTGGTTTCTTTTGTTATTTCCCATTACCTGATGGTTTCCTTTGTTCAATACGAAATTTTGTTGACATTGTTGGAGATTTAGTAGTATTAATATTTGGCCATGAATGCTAGTCTGATACTGTGATGCTACGTGATGGAGAATCTTTTTGTTTTCCATGAGGTTCTTATTGAGACTGCTCTTAAAGAATAATTTGCACCCTTTGAAGGCCTTTTCTATGTGTGTTTTTTATAATCAAGATAAATGTATTTTCTTGTATGATATTATGATATACAATAGGTCACTTTGTGGTAGTTTATTTTTGTGAATCAAATTGGAAGTTAGCAATTTGTTGAGGAGACTTCTTTATGGTAATCAAATTGGAAGATTCAGACCCTGGTGATTGCCTTAGAACCATGTGAAAAATTGTTTGTTGACGGCATGCTCTAATTGATATGTGATGTTGATGTTGCATCCACTTTCCACCATCAGTTAGTTTATGAGGAACTTATTATAAATGAAAGAAAACAACGCATGTGTCACCTGCAAAGATCTGATTGCTGTCTGATTTACCCATTGCTGGAGAATTGATTACCTTCCTTGCTATTTTCTTCCTTTGTCCGTGCAAGTAATGTGCAGTTGGATGCAATTTTTATTTGCTACATTATGTGATGCTATCAAGTTTCTTTAGTTTCTGTTAAATGACACTGTATTCCTTATGATTATCTGGGAATCCATTCCTTTTGTGGAACCCTTTTAACCTTTATCTGTCTGATTATATCTCAGAAACGTGAGGCTGAACCCGGTGAGAAGCCCGGTCTTGTGAAGACACATTTGCGTAACATGATCATCGTCCCTGAGATGATCGGCAGTGTGGTTGGTGTCTACAACGGAAAATCCTTCAACACAATTGAAATCAAGCCTGAAATGATAGGTCACTATCTTGCTGAGTTTTCCATTTCATACAAGCCTGTCAAGCACGGTAGGCCAGGTATTGGTGCTACTCACTCTTCAAGGTTCATTCCTCTGAAGTAAGTCGTGGCTGCCTACCTGACTAGGAGTTTATATTGGTTTTGGTAGAGGTCAGGTATAGACGCTACTTACTCTTCAAGGTTCATCCTTCTGAAGCAAGTGGCGGCTTCCTACCTGACTAGGGAGACCAACTGATAGTTTTGTTTGCAAGACTCCAATTGGTGTTCCTTTCCAACTGTTTTTATTTTGGGATGTTGAGATTTTATTCTGAGTATCAGACATTGTTGCTTAGCTGAGTACATCTTAATGTGAGAAAACTATATTTAGTTTTTGATCATCTTAATGTTATAATACTATATTTAGTTTTTGAATGATTGCCTTTCTTTAATGTGTGTTTTCAATCTCCTACTGCTTGTTTTCTGGTGTGTTTTCCTTCTACGGAAAAACCAAAGATCATGCCTGAGGGCTGAGGGTGTGAAGTTCATGCCTGAGGGTGTGTTCTATTGCTAGCCAATAATGCATTTGGCAATTTTGATGGGATATCTATGTCGCGTTTATGCGTCCATTTGCTCGTTTTATGCATCCGTTTGCTCCCGTTTGCTCCTTGTTTTATGCGTATAGAGAGCCCAATTCCAGTGAGAAGTTGTTATGTTTGTGCAAATTTTCTCAGATAACAATTAAGAACACTTTAATATAGTGGAGTTTGATGTGCAAATTTTCTCGGTAGAGTGGTGAAGTGTGTTTGTACATATGGTGTGCCGTTAACTCATCCAACTTTGAACTTTCCTACCCCTTTTGTCCTGGTTAATATTTAAAAAGGTTTCTTACTTCTGGTCAATTCTACGGTTTCTTACAAAGGATATCAAAACTTCCTCCCCATTTTTTCCCTGATCAATCTGCTCTTTGCAAATTCGCATGATCAGTCTAGGCCATCATCGTCTCTAGCTCAATTTTCCCTTCTTTTAAGCTGTTGTTCCTCATTCCTTTGCAGCTGTTCTATTGCTGCTATCTGCACACAGAATTCTTGTCACTCTGGAATTCAAAAACCACCCAAAACTCTTCCGTGTCAAATACAGTTATTAGGAAGAAGAAGAAGAGGAAGAAAAGGAATGCTCAGCTTCAATTTAATGTATATTAGGCAGAAGAATCCTCTGCCATCTTTCCTGCGTCATAGTTAATTTCCCACTCATATTTGTTTCTCTTTTTCATTATCAAAAGATTAGAAAGAAAAAAAAAAAGAAAAAAGGTCCCAATAGACTATCGCAAACATGGAAAATAAGATGAAATATTTCAAAAAGAGAACTGTCAAACATATATCATTATGAAAAAAATCATAAGGAATACAAGATGATGAATCATCAGGTGATGATGATAATGATTTTATTCTTCTCCTCAGCTAATTAAAGAAACACCAATTCTACATTTTGAGGCAGCATTCTGCTAAGTTGTTCCTTGGCAGTGTCAACACGTCTTCTGTAGATCGCATCTTTCTCCACATCATCGACAGGAAGACCTTTATACGACGACACATCTTGAGGTTCTATAACTACTCTTTCTAGGGCAACTCCATTTTCTACGAAATACTTCAACAACTTCGAGTTCTGTTATACTCCCAACGTATCCCCATATCTCCACAACTTCAACATGTTTATCTTTTCATAGAACACGTAGTATCTATCTTGTCATGTTGGTCACCCTGTCGCTTAAGGACGAACTTCGCGTTTACCAAAGAAGTAAATGCAAGCAAGCTGTCGTTCCTTGGTTTCGACACAAACAAAGTTAGATGCTTCAACCTAGGTAATTGAGGAAGTGTTACATTTGATGAATCTATACTCATTCACAAATGGAAGCGCGTAATTTCTAAGGTAAGAACCTCCAGTTTCGACCAGCAGCTAGAAAAGCGAGGAAACAACACAATCAACCAAGCTTGCCACGAATCCGCCCCATACAAACATCCACAAGCATAGGGACATTCTTGAGCACCAGGCAGCGAGCTTCAGTGGTTGTAAGCGAAACAATATTCGCGTCGCAAATAGTGAGGTTGTAACAAAGGCAACAATGCATTATCTGAAGATGTTTCAGTGCGAGAGACGGGTCACAAACTTCGATTTTTTCGAGATGATTGGAGCTTTCCACTAGGAGATCCTCAAGAAAAGGGCAATTATGCAGCAAAAACTTGGAGAACTTCCCAAGTCACGTTTACAGAACTAAACGCCAGAGTCCTAAGTGACTTGAACCCAAAAGATGTTGCACCAGAGTTGATATCAAGAAGCAGGTTTCGAGGAAATTCATAAACAACGTAAGGAACGATTCTTAAATATCCAGACAAATCCAACTCAAGCATTTGCAATCTCCTCCAAACAGCGTAACGGAGCCATTTCTCGATACAACTGGGAAAAGAATCGGAGAGTTTGAAGCGAATTCTGAAGACATCCAAAAGGGCATCAATTGCATCCGGTTCATCCGAACAATTGCCGGGGTTTGAGGAAAAGGGCGAAAACCAGAAAAGCTAGAGCTTCTCTAGACTTGTAAGTTGTATCATCTTTTTTAATATTAATAATAAAGTGCAATTCCTTAAAACACCTAGATCAGTAGTGGAAAATGTAAACAGGATAGCTAGAGCTTCTCTAGACTTGTATAATATTTTTTAATATTAATAATAGACTCAATTCCATTTAGCGATGGTACTAGGTATGAAAATTGGGCCATTTAGTTTAAGCTCTAAGCTTTAGGAAATATCATGCTCATAAAATTTATCATACTTGGAAGTTAATCAACTACCTAAACCTATTCTCATTAGTTTTAGAGAAATAAGTTATACCACTTCTATATATAGGAGCTAAGGACGGTTCCCTTGTGACGCATTGATTAGCAACACAACTCTTTCTCCTCTCTTATTATTGCGGTCCTCATGGATGCTGTATCCGGTTCAGTCGATCAATTGCCGGGTTCCGGCAGCAAAAAGGCGAGAAGCAGTCGTTTCGATCAAGGTCGATGGAGGTGTAAAAACCAGGATGGCGATGATACTCCGATTGACTGCCCTTGTCCTCCAATTTGTTGTATACGAAACGCCATGGATTCTCGCGGACGTCGATTTGGCAAGGTTTGTAATTGTTTACACCCTGATTATGCTCCTCACATTAAAGGGCGGGATACTCTTGAATCCCGAATCCATCGTCGTACCTATGGATCAGCAGCCATGCAGTTTGGAAGAAAGTGGACTTCCGGTTTTAGCTATTGCCGTCCGAGACGGAACAATTAGTGATTTAGTCCTACATTATAGTGATTGAGGCGGTAGTGTTGCAAAGAAATGGAAATTGGGCCATGTAGCTTAAGTTATAAGCTTTAGGAAATAGTATCATATAAAATTTAGGCTATGAAAGAGTGGACGGATCTGAAATTTACTCTGGGATCTGACACATCATGGAGGAGAACCACTGATCCACCTGCAATAACTTATGTGAGTGTCTCTGTTTCTCGCCCTTTTGGAAGTGGCGCAATCTATTTCCTAGTTTTGCCAAGCGACAATTCCACGTATTTGGTCTCCTTTGATGTGGATCGAAGAAAAATGAGGTTCGATGAGACTCATGTTTATGACTCGGAGGCCCTTGTGGTTGGATCAGGGTGGTTAACCTGTCTCCCGTTCAAGCAGGCTTGTCGTGGTGTTTGTCTCCCTGCTGAAATTTGGATCTTTGGGGATTGCCTGGAAAATGGTCAAGTTTGGATCAAGGAAAAGATTCCTCTCCCGTCGGCCTTGCAGCAACTTGGCTGGAATCAATTCTACTCTGGAATTCGACCTTATTTTTTTTGTTTATGGATTTAAAGGACAAGGTCTTTGATTTGCTTCGATCATCACTTTCTTCATGACCACGTCGAAAACATGTATATGGTCGTGCCTTTCTGTTCTTTCTTGATTTTTTTTTTCTTTTTGTAATTATTACAATATTAATGTGGACTTCATTACACAATTGTGTTAGGCCGAAAATGCCTTAAAGGTCAAACTACTAACTTGTCTAACTTTTGTTGGCACTCGCATTTGTATTGTTTCTAGTATTCAAGCTTCGGGAGGAAACATAAAATTTACTGGTGGATGTATATGTATACAATAGAACATCTATACATTAATATTCTATAAATTATTTTTTTGATTCTCAAATAGAGACAAATATAAAATAATAAAATAAAATTTTTTCACAAAACCTCTAAAATGTTAAAAAAAAGAATATAAAGATAGTTTCTTTTCTCTTGAAATTTGTAGATAAGGTGATAAATTAAGAATTAAATCATATATCAAAAACACGACTTTATTGTAAATTGAAATTTTTTTTTTCATCTTTTTCCCGATTAAATACAAATTTATAAACTAATAAACTTCAGAGGCTATGAGGATATTAACGTATAAATTCTTCATTGTAGTTGAACACATACAGAGATCAAGTCCTAATTCCGCCTCCTTATGGAGAGTGAACAAGGATTCAGTTAAGAACAATAGTTAGAGATGAGGAAATCATCGTTTGATGATACATCAAATTAAGCCCTTAATTGTCAATTGAAGATATAGATTGCTCTTTTGATGGAAAAGAAAACAACAAAAAAAAAAAAAAACGAGGAAAAATAAGAAGCTGCAAAAATGCCAAGAAGGCAGATGAATCCGTCCGACCACTTTAGAAATTTACCAAATTTCGACTGAGTTTTTCATTATTAAGTCGTGACAACTTCTTTTTAGTTTCTCAAGTCGTCGATATGTTTTTTTTTTTTTTTTTTTTTAATTGAATTGACGACTTCGGTTTGGTTTTTTAAGAATTGTTGTAGTTTCCTGTCCACAAGAAAAAAAAAAATCCTATTTATTCATTTTAATATCTTCCTTTTTTTGTTTCTTTTTATGAATTGAGTAGTAAAAAAAAATAAAAATACATGAACTGAAGATTTTATCACTATTTATTTACAAACATATTTCAATAATTCAAGCATGTAATTTTAAAGTGAGGAAACTAAATCGTCAAATTACCACATAAAAGAAATTTAACAGCCTGTTCATTTAATTTGATAAAGACATATTAACACTTACATGCATGTGTACTAGTGATATTGAAGTTAAAAAACAATTTCTTTTTTCAAACGGCATATATTACAATCTTGCTTGGACATTTTTATTGATGTTTATTAAAACATTCACACTTCAGTGGCGAAACCAACTCTTAACATTTGGGGAACTTGCTGTCCATTAGACGATATTTCTCTCTATTCGAAAAAAAAAAACTAAATTTGATTTATTTATTTTTGAGGTAGAGAGAAGATCTTTTATTCATTCAAATAATTAATAATTTTTTTAAGAGACAAACTAATATTCATGGAATATATTATCCTCATTAACGAGCTTAGAATTCGAATTATTTGATAAAAAAAAGTAAACGCTAAAAGAATTTGGAGATGAGCTCTAATTTAATTTTAAAATCATAATTGATCCCTAAACAATAAAAAAATTGTTGAATGAAGGTTAAATGTTTTAATGTGAGCTTTCAAATATTATAGTAAGCGAAGACCAACCCAAAGAATGAAAAAAAGAAGAAGTTATTCATGTAATAAATTATGAGTAGAGAGACAAAGGTAACAACATATAACAAAAATAGTAAATTAAGCAAGAAATCAATATAAAAATTAGCAGAATATCTTAATTAGGGCAGTAGCACAATGATTTGATAAAATATTATTAGATTCATATTTTACAACTTCTGAACTTTTTTTTATTCATATTTCAAGTCATTATTGATTTATGATATTAATCGAGCCTATATTTACATATGAGCTTTCTAAAAATTTATTATCTTATCATTTTATTGATTCCATTTATTTTTTGTATTAGTCACGACTTGGAACCAGAGAAAATTATTATAATTTATAAATGTTACTCCCTCCAGTTTTTAATATAAACCATTTTGATTTGTCGTAGGTTTCACCTAAGTACGTATTTTTAAATGACAAAAAAATTTAAAAATATTTGCTAACATTCAAGAGAATACAAAAAATGTGAAAATATATATCTTTAAGATTTTTTTCGATTAAAACTATATCCTAGTTGAAACCTAGGACAAATCAAAATGTCTTATATTAAGGACCGGAGGGAATATTAATTTGTCGATATTAATTCATAGAGATGTTGATGCGATCCTGGATGGCTCGTTGAGTGTCATACCTAACTATGATGATTATTACATTGATTGTGATCACATAGGGAGTGTGGTATCATATTGAGGTTAGATTTAAGGATGATGGAAGATTGAAACCAAAATATGGTTCACGTCAACCTAGAATAAAGTCAACAATGAAGTCAAAAGAATCACATCGACATAATCGTCAAGCAAATGAGGTAGAAGAGAAAACTGACAAGGTGCGCATCAACGGTTTAGCCGAGAAGAAGTAATTAGTAAAGAAGAATGATGTGGACATCCCAGGTGATAAGCTCAAGGACAAGTCGTTGATCATAATCAAGTTCAAGCTCAAAGAGTGATTCAAGATCCACTAGCTAATATTGGAGGTTTTATGACGAGGTCTCAAATGAAGAAAATGAATGAGTCGCTCAATAGCTTGTTCATGGATGTTCAACCTCTCAATATGGATTCAATTCTATGGGTTCATGCTTATATTAGAGTGGAGTTGAAGCTCTTGGTGCACGTCGAGCTCTTGGTCGAGAAGAAGAAATCAACAAAGAAGTGACAAGGTGTCGTCGAGTTCAAGGCCGAGCCAAAGAAGTCGACAACAAAGCTGACAGGAGTGCCTCGAGTAGGTTGTTGGTCGACAACAAAGTCGACAGGAGTGCGTCGAGCTGGCTGTTGGTCGACGAGGAGGTCGGCGCGCGCTGCTGAATTTTTCTATCTTCATATTTCGATTAAGAAAAGGATTTTTCGGTAATTTAACCCTTTTAGCTGATCCTCCTAGCTTTCTAGAAGATTCTAGTTAGTTTTAAATAATTGTGACATGTGTAATTATTTATTTAATTATTATTTAAATCAATATTAGGAAACTTAGACAAATCCGATCGGATTTCTTTTTGTCCAAGCCAACCTTTGCCTATAAATAGGAGGCCGGTCGAACATATTACATAATACTTTTGATGATTATTGAGAAGAAACTCTTTGTTCTTTTTCTATTCTTTTCGAAGATTAGTGCATTGCACACTTGTTTGTGCTTTGTCGATGCGTGCGCGTGATTTTAAGTGTTCTTCACGTGTGGAGCTTTATTAGTTTTGTTCATTGGAGCCTTTTTGCTAGCCGTTATATTCATAAATCGAAGAGATAGGGTTGTTAGAGAGGAACCGATTGGGTTGCTAACCAAAACACAATTTCTTCATTTTTCCAATCTTCCATTCTTTTTTGTGCAAATTTTTGTAGTTTGTATCTTTCTTCTTCGTTTCTTCTTCTTTCTCGCGTGGATTGGAGTATTATCCATTGATATCGCAAGTTATCAAGTCTTGGGAAATTCATAACTTCCGCGTTTGAGGTAATTCAATCATCTCAACTCAAGATTCGTATCAGATGTTCTAATGAATTCCGAATCCATCGTACCTATTCCTCCTTGCTCCTCCTCCCTGGTGGAGGATCATCAGCCGTGCAGCTTGGAAGACAGCGGACTTTCGTTTCTAACTATTGCCGTTCGAGACGGGGTTGTGGTGGCTGCTAAGTGCTAATCATCCAACACCGAGAATTTGGAAGAATATGATGCAAGTTGGTGTTTCTGGCATGATTGCCGTTGTTACTGGAGGGCAGATCGAGGACTGCAGAGCATTGCTGCGAAATATGCGCGCGAAGATCACAAAAATATCAAGCGGAGGAGACTCCTTATTAAGGAGGCATTACTGTTGATGATCGACATTTTGTCTGGTCGCGACGAAGTGGGAATGATCGCGGGATGGGACATATGTCCCCGCCTTGTGTCGCGTGGACGGTATTGGGGGACTGATGGAAGCGCAAATACTGATAAGCGAAGCTGGATTTCGACAAGGATATGCATATATAGACTTGTCGGGATGGATCCGGTCGCGAAAATAAACCGGTGTTTTTTCATGGATGAGTTATCTGGACCAACTGGACGAGCCGTCCCGATACAAGAAATATTCCGCTTGGTCTGCCTGGTCTGTTGATGAAGCTTCAAAGTGCGCCAAAAAAGCCATGTGCTATATCGCCGGTAATACCGGAGCCGGGGAAGATTACGTGAGTGTGTACGATGTCGGACATGATCGGAAGGTGAATCGTCTCACTGGTGACGACGAAACTGTGGAAGAACTTCTGTTCAGCTTTGGGTTGCCTTGCTCCGTTGAGAAGAAGAAAGCTACGGGGATACTTATTTCATAGGTTTCACACCAAGAGATTAGGTGTGATATATTCATAATGATCGGCCAATATGTTTTTAGTTTTTACTGATCTTAGTTCCAAGAGTGTTAGTTTTTTTGGCTTGAAAAAAAAGACACTGGATTGGATTGGAAAATAGTGTACTACTATAGTATGTAACTATAGAGAATCATCCGATCAAATTATAAATTTACATTTTATGGTAAGTTAATGGATCAAATGAAACATGAGAATTTGTACATCCCGTTTTGAGTTTTAATTTTGTTTTATCAGGAAAACAACAGCTTCAAAACTAACTCATTCAATTGAAAACACAAAAGGCAGTGGCCGCTTAAAAATGATCAACTTCTGATTGATTTTCAACTGACCTACCTAATGGATAGAGGAATAAGGCCAAAAAGAAACGGGGAGCAAGCAATTGATTGTTAGCTCTGTCATATGATACAGAAAAAATGATGACTTTTTAAATGACTCACAAGTATGCAATGATGCTTCTTCCTCACAACGCAGAATCTCAATCATGACATCAAAGAAAATCAAAGTAAATTGTTAAGAGCTAAGGAAATTGCTTGGTTGAAGGCAGAGAGGAAGAAGAAGCAAAAAACCATGAAAGGCAAGACTGAATCCATCTGGGTCACTTCTAAAAATTTATGTCAAACCTCGGCAGAGAGACCGACTTATTTTTTTTCACCTACTAAAGTCGTTGCGACTTCTTTTTAGTTTCTCAAGCCGTTAATCACTATAACGACTTATGTTTTGTTCTTACCTGTAGTGCTCTCTCCCGTCCTTATTATAATTTATTTTAATTTGTATTATACCGATTTTAATTGAAAATAATATCTTAGAAATGTATTTTCACATGTATTGTGTTCTCTCGTTTATTATAAAATATTTTTAAATTTTTATTTTCAAATTACTACTAAATGAAACTTAGAATAAATTAAAATATCTTATAAAAAGGACAGCGGGAGTATTTCTTTTTCCCCCCTGAATTGAGTAGTAAGACTTTGGTTTTTGGTTTTTAAGAATAGGATGTAAATTCCTGGTCACTGTTAAAAATAAATCCTATTTATTTATTTTAGTATCATTCTTTTCTTTTCTTTTCTTTTTCATTTTCTGAATTGAGTACTAAGATCACTCAAGAACAATACATTTATTAAAAAAAAAGAAGAAAAAAAAACAGTACATTGACAGAAGATTTTAACACTATTTATTTATTTTCTTCAAAAATTATTTATTTACAAACATATTTCAATATCAATATTTAATATTTATTGTGCCATAAATCGACCCAAGAATCCCCAAATTTTTATATTCACAATACACTTTGTTTAGGATTTCAAGACAAAAGACACATTGTTTATATCCCCCTAAGTTAGGGTCTCTTTATTTGAAGTTTTATTGTGTAGAAATTCAATGAGATCCATTAATTTTTTTTTATATATATAAATATAATATTGTTGCAGAAAATAAAATTTCAAATAAGAATTATCTACAACGAAATTATGATTCTATTTATAACATCAAAGTGTCACAAAAGATCCGATCCTTTTGTTAATGGCTTGCTGCTACATTGATCAACACGAAACCTCAACTAGATTAAAAAAGAAAAAGAAAAAAAGCCATAGAGACTAAAAACACTACTACGAGGAAACTTCAATATGTGCAGAGAGGGATGATGATTTGTCATTAAACTCATCCAAACTTCCTACCTCTTTCGTGGTTGTTATTTGTTATAATATTTACAAATGTTCTTCTTCTTCTCCTTTCAATTTGTTTTTTTTTTTTTTTGGGGTCAAAATTGCAGTTAAGCTAGAGTGACGTTCATTTGCTTATTACCAGAGAAATCTATCTCTTTAACTGCCCTGTTTTTAATTAAGTAGCGCATCGAAATTTCCTCTCAACTTCATACAGAGCTTTCTGCACTTCCTTTTCTACCACTGCTGCTGATTTCTATAAATTGAAACAATAAGAAAGTGATCATCATCTTCATTTTAGTAAAATATAGAAGTAAGATCAATTTTTTAACTTATAATCGTCAATCAGATAATGTAGTTAAGTAAACACATATTTTTCTCCTCAAGCGGCAACTATGACCAGCCCACCATGATTTTCCTGCTCTCACGTGCAATCTAATATCCATTCCGTCCCAAAATTATTATCCAGTTTGTATTCCCTCTGTCCCAAAATTATTGTCCACTTTTAAATTTCACTTTTAGTATAATTTGAACTAGAAATGAAAACTCAAACTGGACAATAATTATGGGACGGAGGGAGTACTAAAATTAAAAATTTAAACTGGACAATAATTTTAGAAGAGAGGGAATACATTAAAATATTACTTCCTCCGGTCCTTAATATAATGTATTTTGATTTGTTCTAAGTTTCACTTAGTATTTATTTTTAATTGACAAAAAAAACCTTAAAAGTATATTTTCACGTTCGTTATGTTTTCTTGATTGTTATGAAATATTTTTAAGGTTTTTTTTGATAATAAAAAATGCAAACTAAGTGAAACTTATGAAACGTCAAAATGACTTATAATAATGACCGGAGGGAGTACATATGTGCCCCCCAAAAAAAAAAGAAATTTGTCCGTTGTACTATTTTATGATTTCATGCTATTACGTCAGGTTACTTGCGAACATTCCTGGTAGTGAAGAAATGTCAATTGTTTGCTCACTCTTTCAGCAAATCTCTCTTTCTTTTTTTTGATGATTAATGAGTTGATGAAATGCTTCACTTCAATCAAATACTCCTACTATTTGTTGCCTAATAATGCAATGGAAGTTGGAACTATCAATGTACTAATCATCGGGAAAAAAAAGAAGTTGGAACTCACCTTGGCTTGTACTTGGAGAACTGCTGAAAACTCTTGGGATGAAATGCTTGATTGTAAAGACTTGGTTTTTACGTCCATATGTTTAAGGGATTTCATAACCCCCAACAAAGAATCAATCCCAGATGAAGGATAAACTACCCTTAACCTGATTTTAGCTTCTTCCATTTTCCCCTGCTTTTTACTCTGTTCTTGCAAATTTGCTTCATCAGCCATGGCCATCATCATCTCCAGCTCTAATTTCCTTCTTTTAAGCTGTTCTTCACCCCTTTGCAACTGTTCAATTGTCTCAGCTGCTGTTTGCACTATTGAATTCTTATCACTCTGCAAATGATGGAAAAAAAAAAAAAAAAACCAACCCCAAATAAATCTTCAGCTCAAAATCGAAAAGAAAAACAGAGGAAAACAGAGTAGAATGCTAGAAGATGATGAGAACCTTGGTTCCATGAGGCAATAACTTATGCAATTCCACGTAACCTTGTCTCTGTTTCACTCTCCTCATCCTCTCATTGATCATATGCTTATGATTCCTTTCCCTTTCCGCTTCCGCCAACTCGGCGACCGCCTTTTCGGATTCCCATCTCTTCTTCAACATTTCCATCATCCTCTTATGCACATTCTGATCATTAGGCCTTCTTCCTCGATTTCCGACCCGTTTCGATTGAATTCCTTGAAGGGTTTCCTTTGAATAACTAATAAAATCACTCCTACGCTGACTCACAGCAGCTTGTTTAGGAAGAAGATCATCATCAAACCATAAAACATCATTCCCCTGAAACTGGAAATTATCCCAGTAATGGAAGAAGTAGTCATCCATGTTTTATTGGATTTCCCTCCTGGTGGGATTTAAAACATTTTGGCTTTGTTCAACGGTTATAACTTATATATAAACCGTCGATCACAGAGAAAGAGAATTGATTCATGTATATATATACCCAATAAAATAGCACATTTAGCATGTGTTATTTTCTTCAGTGTGGTTCTGGTCTTTAGTCTACGAATTCGACAGTATTGACTTGAAATTCAAGTACACTAAAATTTTATGTGTGGTGTTTAAAAATTAATACGTTCAACTCGTATATACAAACACGCCGAAGAACTTTTGAAACTAGTTTTTTGGTGAGGGTAAACAAGTTGATGGTTTTGAGTGGTAGAAGAAGAAAAGGTGACATAAGGTGTGAGGTGTAGTTTTGTTGGTTCGAAACTTCGTATAGAAAATAGTCTTTGGTCAAGGCTACCGTGTATGTACTCTTTTTTGTTTCTTTTATTCCTACAAAATGCTATTTGTTTGATTATGATACTAAATTTTTCCCATTTTGGATGTTCGATGTGGACAACGTTTTTTGTTTTGTTGTTTTAGTGTATAGATGAGAAGGGTGGATATAGAAAATGGAATATAGTCAAGAGATGTAAGGCGATTCGTTCGAAATTATTGTTAGGTTTGGGTTTTTATTATTACTAAAAATTAATATCAGTACATGAGAGTTAATTTGAGACAGAGTAAATCATAATATTTTTAAAAGAAGTGAAAAAGTGAATTATATGGAACATTTTTTTATTAAAAAATTAATATATTATTATTAAAATAAATAAAGGGTGTCACTACAAGTTTTTTTTTGGCAAATAACTGAATTTCTTTTTTTTTTGGGGGGGAATATCAATATATACGAAGTTTTTATCATCATTTTTCTGAAAAGAAAGCGTATAATCATTACATATTGTGATTTTTTTCTTGAAAAAACCTTTTGTTTGTTATTTTTGTAGGAGGTTATACCAAAAAAAAAATGTTGAATTTTGAGCTTACACAGAGTTTAAAGTCATCTGAAAATGTAGAAACTCAAAGTGATGATACCATAATACTATAGAAGATGAGGTTTCTATAAATGGAAACCGTAGATTTGCTTCGAAAAGGCATTAGTGGGATTTGTGATTTCGATCACGAGATGTAACAAATGAAAAAAATAGAGATGAGAAAAGGAGAAAGTGTTATGTGATTATTGATTTTTGAAGTTTATCCAAATTCAACGAGTTTCGGACCATTTCATCGATGGAAATTAGTGATGAAATCGATGATGTCATGTAATAATATATATATATATATATATATATATATATATATAAATATAAAGAATGAGAATGTTTCCAGTCTTTATTCCTTTATACGTTTAGCTTGACAGGCGTGTTTGCTTGGTTGAAAGCTGAATGAAACCCTTGGTAATTTTGTTTTTTTCCTTTATTTAATTTACCAGTAGTGAAGATTGTTCACACTGCATTTACCATATTATATATCCTGAAGGAGGAAGAATGAAACAAAGAATTGGATTTATTTATTAATTTTTGTAGATTTGTTCACACTAGAAACTTTATTAGTCTTATTACTACTATATTTGTTCAAAACCATGAAGTGAGACAAGTGATCAACTCAAAGATTCAAAGAGTGGCAGACTGATTCTGGAAAATACAGTATGATACCTCGAGAGCAGACAGTACTAATTGAATTTATTTATTTGTTTTGGGGATTTGTCACACGAGATTCAAACCATATGTTATAATACATAAATGATAGTAAATCTATTATATAATTTTATCTGATTCAAAACACTGAGGTGGTCAAATCAAGGTTGTAGACTAGATTCGCTGTGTTGCACGAGTGTATTGTATTCTTAAGAGTTAGAGGTCCTGTCTTATTTATTGTGTATTTATCGTGTATTAAAAATAATTCTCCATCCGTTTCAAAATAAGTGTCATTCTAAAGTTTGTGTATAGTTTAATAAACACTTAAATAGGATAGCTCAATCACTAGAATATCCTCAACCAACTTCATTAAAATCAACGCTCGCCAATAATATTATTTCTTTTCAGTGTATGTTTGGAAATTTTTGACAAAAAATGTATTGGAATCCAAAAACGACATTTATTTTGAAATTTCTCTATTTTGCTAAAACGACACTTATTTTGGAACGGAGGGAGTAATAAATATAAAAGATGAAGCTTTTGTTGTGTTTTGTTGCTTTGTATTCTCATCTTCCCATTGGCTTCATGGTAATAAATAGTAATAAATACAAATGCATATACTATTACTCAGGACTTACACTATAAAGGGGCTATTCTTCATGTATTTACTATTTTGGAATTTTGGAATCATGATTTTACACATAATCTCTGGCTTGTTTGTACAATATCAAAACCGATGATTCCATAAAGAAGGGGCTCGTTTACCGGCTTATGAATGCCGGTGGTGGTAATAGCACAAGGGCTACGAAGAAGCTGTCAAATGAAGGTTGTTAAGAACAGACCTATCAACTCCTTTGTCTTTTTGAATGTATTGTCAGCCTCCCTAGTTAAACTGTTCTGTATGTTTGCATTGTCGCATCTTTCTTTCGCCAAATCCGGTGGCAATGACAGTGACAGTGCCGAGATATTGGTGTCATGCTTCCACATATTCTGTTTCGGATACATCTTCAGAATCGTATTCAAAAAGTTCTGAGTGGCGATTTTGTATAGAATCGCCATTTTCATCAGAAATATCCATGTCGATGTCGTAAGTCACAAGGTCTACTTCTTCTTCTTCCTCCTCCTGTCAGCACAAAAATATGAAGAAAAGTCAGATAAGTACAAAAACTAGGGGCAATGCAAGAAGTCACTTGTCAGTGCATCATGAAGAAGTCACCCCACTGCATTCCACCTTTGGATTCAGCGAGTAATTCAAATGATCAGGGACAGGGTACTCTAGGAATACAAAGCTTATTAAGGAACTAACCTCACTGTCCTCATCCTCGGTAGGATAAGAAGAATCCAATCTATCATAAAGTTTTGCATCCCCCTGATCTTTCACATTTTCCATTTGCTCCTACATTTTTGCAGCAGAAAAGTGAGTCTTCTTGGGCTAGAAGCCAAAAATGAGTCATAAATATGGACCATAATACAGAAAATAAATTGTAAAAAATCCAAGATTAATCTAAAAGATGAATGAAGTAGAAGGCATACTATTTCAGATCTTATCTCGTCAACTCTTGCTAGAAGTTGTGAAATATGTTTCAGGAGAGCCTGTCAAAGCACATCGTCAACACGAACAATAAGTTCTAACAGGAAAAAGAAGCTACCAAAAGGTGAGAAGCACAGGAATAAAAATACCATAGAAACCAAATGTGTTACGGAGATTATGATGAACGAAAAGCAGGAGTGAAAAAAATGGTGCTTCATGCCAGATGACCATGTCATGTTTGACTTGAGCAATTTCTTTCCCGGAGAAAATAATCGGTCATATACTGGGCTCTTATTTAGTTTTCTTAGAAAATGTGAACATCATAAATTCATTAAGCTACCTGACGCCTCTGAAGCTCAATAGAACGAGCCAATGCCTTCCTTTTTGTCAAGAGATTTTTAGGCCTCAGACGGGGTGGCCTCTTGTAGTCCTTGCCCCGAAATACAATTATGGCATAACCCTTGGATACTTTGTCAACCGAAACCAGCACACCACCACTCTCAGCTTCAAGAGATAGGGCAATACTTTTGACTTCTTCCAAGTTTTTAGCCTTCACCAGGATCTTGACCAGCTCACGATATTTCCAATGCAAGTGCATATTCTCCACTGTACCATCAAAAACTCCACGTCTACCTGCAAAGAGAAAGGGGGTCACATAACACACTCTGGAAAATTACATGCATGACTATATATACGCATATCCTGACAAACAAGGTAACTTATTCTCCAAATAATTCTTGCCTAGAAGTAGATAGGCTTTCATCCTTAATCCAAGCTTTCTGAACATAAACCTCTCTTCGTCAGTAATGCTTCCTGGGTCCACTGAATGTTCAACAGGATTTAAAGCTTCCTCCACCTTTGATAGAGCTCGCTCTGCTTTCATAATTTTTCTCTCGGCCTAAACAGAGAAACATATTAGGAGTTTCTTGGAATCACAAATAACAACTATAAATGCAAACTAAGGGGATTTTAGCAGCTAAACTTAATTAGACAACAAGAACAACTCAATTTTTCTTTGAAAGAACTAGCCAAAGCGACACCCAAAAGAATAATGGACATGGAGGATAAATTATGGATTTCATGTTGTAAGGGGTTATGATCTTGAAAGGCACTACTAATCTAGTCCTTTATTCTTCTAGATGCAGATCTAAAACTTACAATAGTAAGCTTCCTTTGGAGCTTCCGGACTATGTTAGCGTGTCGTAACATTTCTGCTTCTCTCTTCACCTGCTCCTCGTGATCATCATCCAGCTTTTTACCCCATCTAGCATCGGCATCTAATGTTTCTCCAAGAGTGCCAGCTGTCCTGGATTCATCCGCTATTAGAGCACTTGAAGAGACCAAGGCAGATGCCCTTAACCTGGCCCGCTCTTCTTCATCTTGCAATGTCTTTGCCAGCCTCTCTTTTTCAAGTAATGCTTCAGCAACTTCTGGAGACAGAAAATCTTTACCTCTATAGAACACCAAGAAATCCTTGTTTCTAGATAGCAGGATACCCCCTGTCAATTTCTGCCCAAAAAAAAAAATAAAAAAAAATCAATGATTGAAAATCCTGCATTTAGTCAAATTCCATTAATTTCCAGAAAAGTTATGGTTCTGAGTAAAATTAATACACAGATAAGAAATGCTGCTTCTCTTTGGAGTCCATGTTAAGGTGTCTACAACAGTAACAAAAGTTGATCCCACGTTTATGAAGATCATAGAATATCAAACTTTGTACTTTCTTAAAAATGATTAGTATATTAGCAGGAAATAATAATCTCCAGATATCAAATGCACACCTATTTCTGATTGCATTTTGTCTGGCTACCATAGAATGTCAAGAACCTGCATTACATATTTGACTAGTGTGTATTGAACTAAGTATTAGTAATCCTTACCAACCAATTCTAAGATGCAAAAGCAATCATGCTAGCCAATAGTTACACGTGTACTCATGAAGTAATCTTGGGAACATTAAACTGTCATCGTCAACAGAAAAACAGATGCACAGCCATTCAAAATACACAAGACTAGTCAGAATTGCACTACTAGAAAAGGAAAAATGTGGTATTACATATCATGTTTCATCAATATACAGAAGTTAAAAATTATAGTCTTTTGGAACCAAAAGGAAAATATGGAGAACCAGAATAGTCTAACAACAGCTGCAGCTCCCACCTTGCAAGGAAAGATGATTCATATGGCAATTTTTTGTTTCATTCTTTCTCTAAGTTTTTCTTTCTTTCCATATTAAATTCTTCAAAGGTTGGATATAATCCAACATCCGCAAATTTATTAATAAAAAAGACAAGCATACTGTGTAGTAAGATCCAGATCATGGTCTTCAAAGTCGAATCCAACCATGAATTTTCTCATGCTTAAATTTATGATCACAACAGGCACCTACCTTGATATCTTCAGCCATCCTTTCACTTGTAGTTAGCTGGACACCACGCTTCAGAGCAACCTTTGCTATTGAACTTCTTTCCCATAGCTTAACCATAGCTGCAGCCAGGCCCTGGTGTTGCCTGCTTCTACCTATAGATTCAATCATATTGATCAAAACTCTCGCTTGAAAACCACAATGTTATGCATTAAAGAATAGTGATTACCTAGTGCAAAATGTGGGGGCAAAAGCCTGGCAAGCCTGCGCAAGGATGTTGCCTCCTTCAATCCAAGGTTACGTCTGACACCATAAGGAAGAATTCTAAAGGGTGGTTGATAACCAGGAAGAACCCCAGGCAGCAAATCCGCATCAACAGGTAGTGGTCCGTTTCCTGGCCAATCTGTGTACCTTGGGCCGAGACCATCTAACAATGATTCTACCTCATCTTCATATTTCAGTTCAGCCGATGATTGGCTGCTTTCATTCTCTACACTAGTAGTTGCAGATTCAGACAGGGGGCTTTTCGCTTCATTTCTAGAATTGAACTCTAAAGGACTAATGTTACCATCTACAGGAACACTTGAAGAAGAGCCTTGAGTTCTATTTTTGTTAGAAATGCCTTTTTGCGATCGTTCATAAGGTTCTTTGTACCCTATCCCTCTATAAAGAGCTACAGAAGTGCCAGATCTCCAAATTACCAATCCACCAGTTTTTCTCTAAAAATAAATAAAATAGAGGGTGAGAGACATTAATATTTTTTTAATTCTAAAACAATTACAACACTTCAAATATACGAAGTATCTACTGTTAAACTGTCTTTATATAAGCACGTAAGGCATAGTCATAGTTCTAATTTCTAAAAGCTGAATGTACCTCTTTCGTTACACACTGCAGAAATGTTGACTGAGAGAACAACTAGAAAGACTACTGGAAGTAATCAAACTCCAAAGGTGATGCCCTTTCTAAAGAAATACGTGCGACACAAGCGAGCTATCATTTCTGTTAAAAAATTCATCATTCCGTGCACATTTTGTTCCCATTTTATGGATTTAGAGGGAAGATCAGTGCAGCAATTTCTCAACTATTCCTTAACACATAAAAGGACAGTTACTTTAATCTACCACAAGAAGATATTTTCCTCTTACACAGGATTTCTAAAGCATTTTTCTTTATGATTCGGGAGAATTTAAATTCAGCTAATTTGACATCTCAAAACTCATTGAAAAGGTAGAAAGAATAAATAATTAACATAGTTCCCAAAAATTGGCAAAAAACAGTAGTCTTTGAAGAATTAGAGCTAAATGTTCACTATGCAGCAGTATCCAACTATCAAATATAACCTAAACCAGGAGTTACTAATCCTACCAAGCAATTCTAATAACACCCAATTAAATCTTTAAATAAACATGATCAGCGACAGAAGTTAATGAGAGATGCACTGTGAGAAGGAATGATGGAAAGCTAACCTCCAATATTTCATGCATTCGCTTCATATTAAGTGCAAGAGTCCCCTCAATTTTCAACCTCACAACTTCTGATGATTTCCACTTATCATGAATCTTTTCCACATTCTCATGCGTGATAATACCTTTAATCCTCATTTTTGTTTTTGTCCGAAAAGCCAAATTTCTCAGCCTTCGAAGCTCTGATTCAGGAAGAGTTAGTTCAGCAAAAGAAGTCTTGCTCTTTCTCCTCACAGAATTCAAATCATCTACCTTCACTTCAGGCTTCTCCCAAGGAAAGCTCACTTCACCATTCCTAATAACCATATTGCCATCCCCATAGGGCGATTTCTCGGAAAACCCACCTCTTGCATTGGGCAAAATACCCTCTTCAACATAAAATATGTCCTCAATAGACCCTTTCTCAATCTTGCTCTCCACATTCTCGTTATGATCACTAACATCATCCACATATCCAAATTTCTTCAATTTCTGAACAATCCTCTCCATGGTACTACCACTACCACTCTCTTCACAATCAGAACTTGAAGCCTCCCCATTATTCCTATAATCTAACAACGCCTGAGGCCTTTTTAACTTATGGGTTTCATTCCATTTACTCAACCAGGAATTATTAGACACTTTCGCGCCACTAATATTGGGCTTCAAATAAGATGCTTCACTAGCAAAATCCCATCTACTGCTCTTTGTTCTAACATCAAAAGTTCTACTCTTTTGGGGGTTCCCCTGCTGAATTGGGTCACCATTCATGCTACAAGCCTTACTGGTAACACTAAAAGATTGTTTCTTTAATGGAATTGAAGAACCATACCTGAGGAAGTGCAGCCGAGTTGAAACATGTAGTTTCAACATTGAACTCTGAAACGAGTCCATGAAACTAGTACTTCTTGTGTAGAATTGGCTGCTGGGCACTAAGGCCATACTTTCCTAACTCCACATAAAATCAACATAAACACAATTCTTCAAAAAATTGATTAAGTTATGAGGAAGAGGAAGCCAGGAAGGGGATGAAGATGAAGATTGAAGTTATAGCCCAGAGAAGAAAAAAAAAATGTCTTGATAGTAGTAGGATTTTGGCAATAACTTGGCTGGTTTTGGATTAAATTTTGAGAGATTTTTCTTTTTCTTCTTGCAATAGCAGCAATACAAAAAAAACACTTTGGAGGAAGACCCCTTTGGTAATATATCATCACAACCACGCTTTTAGGAGAGTTTTCCCCAGCTTTATAGCGCTTTTAAGTATGGCCTCCAACGCTTTTAAGTTGCTCTCTGAAGCTTAAAACCGGGTCACCCCAAACATATTGCCCGGGTTACCCCATTCAAAATCAAAATGGTAGATTTTGGAACTCTTGCTGCTGTTCTTGTGTAGCCCTTTCTTCCTGCAGAGAAATCCAAACCGCTTCATTAGTCTCTTCTTAGTTCTCAGGTAAAAGATTGAAACTTTCATTTGTGCTGTTCAATTTCTTAGTTTAGACTATGAACTTTCATGTGAAGAAATGCCAAAATTATGTCCTTATTTTTGGTGCTTTAAACATCCGGGTTCTTATTTCTTTCTTCCTTTGCACTTGTTTTGGGATCGTTAGTTCTTTTGGGTCTATTGATCTAATAAATGTGAAAGCATTCTGGTGTGTGAATGATACTTTTTTTGTCTCGCTGATCATGTTGTTTGTTCCAATGCCATAATTTAGGCGTTGGGCAGACAACCAATGACGTAAGGCTGAATTTTTTTCTCATATGAGCAGATACTTTCATGCTTTTTCTAGTGATTGCTGATGAACCACTGTTAAGTATTCGTGTTTACCCGAGTTTTGATGATGCCATTTTTCTTCTTTTTTTTTTCCCCAACTACAAGATAGATTGTTGAAGGAAGGTGATTTGTGAATCCAAATTTACAATGAAGTAGTTTAACTGGTTTGGTATCTGTTTGGTGGTTAACGATAAATTTTTTGGATAATTCATTGATATGCTGGCGTAGAGTTGATTTGCCTTCGGTTTTATTAGTTTCATTTGTACGCATGAATTAAAAAAACACATAGAAGCAGATATAGGGTGCTGAGAAACCCCCAATTATTTAGACTTCTGGACTGAATGTCGAATAAGAGAGGAAATAAAAGTACAGAGATATTCTGTAAACTTGTTGATGAAAAGGTAGCATTAGTACTACTTTGTTGTGATCATTATGCTGATGTAATTAGGAAAACATGGGACTGAGCATGGTATCCCTAATGTATGAATATAATTTTGAAGAATTTACAATTGAGATTTTGGTTCCTTCAAATTTTACTTTTTTGCATTTTCAAGTAGGAAAATGCTTGAATGATCTAGAAATATCATATCAGCATGTTCTTGGTTTTGTTGCATCATTAGTGATAAGTTGGTTTCTTCTTTTCTACCATCCAAATCTAGAAAATTGGAAGTGCGATGACTGTAGACCCTTCTTTGTGTATTTATGAGGAATTGATCCATCTGTTGAGATCAGTTGGTCTTCTGCAAACAATGAACAGGTTAAAAGATGAAGCCCGTAGATTGATGTTCCATTATGGCTGTACTTTTCAGAAATTTTTTTTTAAAGAAGCACTGGTGCTAGGGTGAAACCTCGATATTATCCATCCAGAAAGACGACATATTTGTTTACTTATGTTGTTCTGTGCAAAATCACAAAATTGCTTTACTGCCAAAGGTAGGGTTGGTACTGAGTCTTATGTTCACTTTATGATAACAAAATTTAGCAAAAGTAGGAACTTAATAAATGATAAATATCATTAACAAGGATCTCTAAATGGTGCAAGTTTCCATCTCCGTAGGAATCAATGAGAAAAGTGTGTTGCTTAAGGGGTTAGGCCTTCTATATCCAATGGTCTTTCTGTTTGGAACGTCATTTAGTATGTGTTTTTGTTTTGGGAATGTAAAAAATTGTATTGGAAATGTTCATTGGTGGGTAAGAAATCATTAAAATATGAAAAAATACACATGAAAACAAGAACCAAACAGAGAAACTTCGCCTTGTATTCTGATGATATCCCTTTCTTCCCGTGTCCACGTGGCTTAGTTAAGGAGATGTATTATGAAATTATCTGCAAACACACTGGCGGCGAGGTTAAAACACACTTCTGAGATTGTCTTCAAAGGGGACCACAGAGGAGATCCTACGACACAATCATCTTGTTACAAATGTTCTGATTTGGCAGGGAAGAGCATTTGCTTCTGGACTGTTCTTTACATAAAGAATTTTTTATTTTTTATTTTTTCCCCGGAGTTTGGGGGTTGCAGGGGACTGTTAGTTGTCTCATTTGTTCGCCAGTTGAATCGTGGCACGATATTTACCTATCATATTCTGATTGTCGTGTTCCCTTGTAGAGTGAATCTATTATTCTTGTTGTCCTGGATTGAGTATTTTGATCTTCTAGCAGTCAATAACTCCTTCACTTCTTATTTTCCCTCTAAGCATAGGAAATTAAAAAATCAAGTATTTCTCTCTTCCCCTGACTTGCTTCTGTTTACATTGTTACGTGGTATATGCATATTGTGGCCTGTGTATGGAATAGGAGTCTTCTCTCTTAGCACTTGGACTGATTGCTTTTCGAAGAATACATATACTTTTCATATTCTCTTTGCAATTGTCTGGGTTAGAAGGGTTATCTCCGTCACATTTTCTTTCTCTACCAATCATGTGGCTTCTTGTTCTAAATTAAAATGTAAAGATACATTGTTTCCAAATTACTGAGTTATTGCCTTTCACAATTATGCAGACATTGAGTATGCTGCTTCACATTAAATTTGAAATGACTGTGGTTTTCAATGTCAAGAGCCTGGAGAAAGTTCGAATTGTTCCCAAAAGCCTGATCGCTGCCCGTCTTTTGCATCACTTGTCATATATAAGGGCCGAAGAAAAGCACGGTTACATCCTTGCAGTAACCAAAGTGGTGAAAATGGGCAGAGGGAGGAAAGAGCCATCATCCCAATACATCCATTTCCCTGTGACCTTTTGGTGTCGCACTTTCCTACCCAAGGACGGCGACATAATGATTGGGACAGTCTATTTCGTGACCACAAGTGGAGTGTTTCTAAAGTGTGGACCGATGAGCCATCTTTATCTCTCAGCGCGAAAGATGCCAAATTACTCTTACGTTGATGGAGAGAAGCCACATTTCTTGAGCAATGATCACTCCAGAATCGAAAAGGATATTGTGGTCCGGTTGAAGGTGTTTGCTGTTCGATGGGTGCGCTCTGACAGCTGCAAGCAGTTCCATATTCTTGCCACCATCGATGAATCTTCTCTCGGACCAATTCAAACCGCAGGATGTGATGGTATGGATTTGGAAAATCCCTGCCCGGATTAATGAGCCCCTTTATAGAGGATCTTTCTTTCGACAACTTTTGCTGGGAGTAAATCTACAACTGATCAGTATACGAGTGTTTTTAGAGCTGGCTGCCTCTTCTCATATTGTGTAGTTTGTTAATTTGTACGAGTAATGCAGGAAAGTGAAAAAGCTGATGTAAAGAGTACTTGAAAACCATTTGTTATCAAAATTCAGACACACTCTTGTTCAATGCATTCACAAAAACTGTATCAGAATTATTACATATTTAACATCACTAGCTTTTGATTTCCTTTTTCTTCTTTGAATCTGTTTTCCTAATTATGATATATCGTGTTCCTGTTCATACAGTTAGCAATATTTGAATTAACGACCTCTAAGATGAATATAATATATGGAGATGAATTCAACAGGTTAGTTCTCCTAAAAATTCACAAAAACGCTTGGAGAGAAGCATATTTTGGGCTGGGAACCAACCAACTTCATTGACAAGATACGGACAACCACTGGACACGTTATAATTTTCATAACTATTGATTGAAACTTGAAAGAACAAAAGCATACGTTTAAAGGAATGTAGTGAACATGACAAGAAACATAAGTTATCGAAACTTCGCCTTTGTATTTTATGTTTACTCGTTAAACTATTCCCTCCCTTTCAAAATGTAATTCGTTTTAGATTTGAAGGAATTTTTCAAAATGTAAATCTTTTTACCTTTTAAAGTAAATTAATGACTATTTTTTTTAACTTCACCCTCAATAAATAATGTTAATCTATTTTTATTTAGTCTTGTTTATAGTTCAAATATAATTAATCAGGGGTAAAATAAATATTTAACACATAAATTAATTGTTGAGTGATTGTATCCTTAGTTTACGTGCAAAATTTAACGTGACTTACATTTTGAAATGGAGGGATTACAATGATTTAAGTTTAAGGTAAACTAATTTTATTTTAGGGCTAAAGAACTTGTAAAATAAATCAATGATTTCTCTTTGAACTGGTTTAAGAATCTCAAGTCAACCCCGTCTCAACAAGAAAATTTCTAATAAAATTTTCAGGTACAATAAGTTAAAAGTCCAACGACCAACAAAAAAAAAAAATTATAAATTTAGAAAGGTGTGCTAATAATACAAAGAGATATTTCGATAACATAAAAGTGCAAAAACAAATGAGTTGTCACAAAAAACTTTTGAGGGCTTTAAGTTTTAAATAATTTATTTATTATATTAGGGCATGATTAAATGCCGCATTACTGTTTGGCTCTTTCTCTAGTATGGAACCAATTAAATGGATGTGGAACATGACAGGAGTAAAGTATATTTCATTTCGGTTTGCTTTTCTCCGTATAGAAATGTGTTTTAAACAAATACACACTCTCTTTAAACAAATTTAATCTACCTAATACAGTTTTATTTTAATTAAGATAAAAGGTAACTTCATTTATAGATGCTGGAAATGGTCCGGCTGCCATTGATTGATAGACTCCAATAATTACGTCTAATAAATACATTTAACATCACTATTTTTTACTAGAGCTGCAAGTTCATTAGCTATTTTATTTTCACATCTTCGGATCCAAAAAATACTTACGGGCCGGAATAGACTGACTAGGGAGGAACTAAAAGTTCACCAAAGTTTACCAAATATCTGAATCTTAATCATCGATCGAGTAAATTTAGTCACAAGATATACAAATGAAGTCATGTTGTTTTCAATACATATTCTCATTAACTGTATATCTAAGTAACATAGTATTTTACGTTGGATGAATTATGTGTAGTTTTGTGTTTGTCCAAGCAAGGCATTGATCCTTGGATGCTCCATTGGAAAAGACGATGGTTAAGCAAGAAAAGACATATTCCTTTTCTTGAAGGGATGGATGTCTTCTTAAGGCTCTGAGCTTGATGAACAGATCAAAATATGTACGAATTATGAGAGCTTTGATAATCCAACGATATATTTCTTCGGTCTTTATTATATGACATGTTGATTTGTGTTAAATTTCACTTAGTATACTTATAATAAGGATCGGTGGAAATACTCAGAAGGAATACTCAATTTGTGATAAATTAAAAGAGAGTAAGAATTACACAGAAAATACTTAAAACTTGGAGTTTTTGTCCTTCCTTTTTACTGGTTACTTTTTCATATGTTTGTTAATGGTTAATGCCTAATGGTTATACCTAAATCTAGTCATCATTAAGTGGTCATTTTTTCGATGATCTTATTATGTTACTGCTAATGATCATACTTAAAACTAGTAATAATCAGAGAGGCATACACTAATTAAGGAAATCTTATGCCAAATAAGGAAGATTACATAATAATTAAGTCTGTTAGCATGATTAAGTATAAGTAAATTGGGATCAACGCTCTTAACAAGCCTTTCACATGATTTTAAATCGGGCTAATCCTACTTATAAAAATCATGGTCAGTCTTAATCACTCTTATCCCGGTAAAATTTTACTTAATTAGTAAATTACCTTTCTTCATTAAGAACATAACTATGATAATCCATGTAATAACATCATGTTATCCCAATCACCAGGCTTATTAATCTGTCATTATGAATAAACTAAAACAAAACGAAACAAATACTTACAAAGATACCCACAAAGGAGCTGAGCTCTTTTTCTTCAAACTTCAAACTTAAAATATATTACAATGAGAGTAGGAGAAGAATAGAAAGAAAGCAAGACAGAAAACTGATCGGTGTTTTTTTATGGCTTATGACACCCTTATTTATAACTTATCTTTTAGTATTATTACGGACTCCAATCAAATGGTCATTTTCTTTGATTATCTAGTTACGGTTTAGTTAATTTATCTTTTGCATGTGAACAAATTATGCAATTGTACGTGACAATGAAATTTTCAGTTCAGGTCTCTACATTTAGATACTGATATGCTATGAGAAAAGGAAAAAAAAAAATGCATGACACAATGCGAAATTACTGTATTGTATTATGTAGAAGTAAAATGGCTAATAAAAAAATATAGAATGGTACAAAGATTCCCTCATCACCACTTTCAAGTTATAAATATATGTCACATGTTAGATTATTTGCCAATGGCATCATACACCTTTTCAGAGTTTTGGAATTTATTCAAAGTGAACATTTTGGTGCACCAACTTAACTTTATTTTTTTCTTAAAAAAACATAAAAATTAAACCATACTTTCTCCAAATCTTCCAAACTTTGTCAATAAGAAAACTTTACAATCTCTAACTTAAATTAATTCATATGATTTCCACTAGTTTTTTTTTTCTAACAAAAAAACAACTCCTAGAGCATTATTCCCTTCTAATTCATAAATCAACATGTTTTACTTGGAAAAGCAAAAGCTCTAATCACTAATCTATTAATAATTGTATTTAATTAAAGAATTTAGCATTTAAATATAATAATAATTTTATAATTTCTTGGTGAAGGAAACTGTGGTTGTATCCCACTAGATGTCCCCCTTTTGGATTCTGTTTTATTTTTATTGTTATTATCATAAACCTTTGGCTTTGGATACTTTTCTTCTTAAAGAGGTATAAGAAATCCTTCAAATCCATCATTAATTAATTTAATTATTGTAAATAAATTTAGATTTTTGCTTAAACAAATGAAATTTGTACTCTGAATTCATAGTTACAACACAGTCGATTTTATACTCAAACTTTATGCGTTTCATAAATTATGATCTTAGTGTGATTTTTATTTATATTCTTTTCGTCCTGATACGGATAAAAATATTGTGTGCCATAACTATTAGTAGTAGTAGTAAATTAAATAAAACGAACATACATATACGCCTCCATAATTTCAATCATGAGGAGGAAGTACGGCTATTCTATTATTTCTAGACTTCTTCTCCAACATACCTTCTTCAATTTCATTTTCTAGAAAGTATAAAAATATTTTCGGTTAAATTAAATTAAAAAAATTCACCAGAAAAAATCAGAAAAATTATAAACCACCACGAAAAACCACCCCAATCACCGATCTCGTTCTTCTTCCCGAATACACTCTCCCAACCCTCCGGAGCTCCGCCACCTTCCGGCGCTCCTCCGTCAGCGTCCCCCCCCGGAACCACCAAGTTATCGAAAAAGCAAACCACTCCACTCACTCTTGTCCCAGGTCAGATCTTTGTTTGGTGCCATTAAAGCGAATTATTCTTCTTGTCGTTGTGATTGATTCGGAGCACGTAAAGTTTCTTTGTCGAAATCTCTTTAGGTTTACGAATTGTCTAGTTTCTGAACTCTCTGCATTTCGTTAATTCAGTGCATGTTATACTCCGCGTTACTGTTTGTGTGTTATGTCATGAACTTGTGCTGCGGTTTGGAATTGAATTTCTGCTTTCGTTGATTTCAGTTGACGCTGTTAGTTATTTATGGCTGTTTTTTGTTTCCTTTTCTTTTCAGGTGGGTTTGGATGTTTTGTTTCAATTCTATTGGGAATTTTGTGTGGTGAAAGGTTTTATAAGGTTTGAAAGGGACAGAAGGATTGAAAAACTAGGAAGTTATGCAGAAGGATAGTGGTACAGGAGGTGGAGGTCAGGTACGCAACCGGCGCAGGGGCTCCAACGAGGTGATACTTCTCTTTAGGGTCTAAGTTTCACGTATTCTTCATTTATGTTTTCCTGGTTGCTATAAGTCTTTATGTGTACTTGGTTCATTTGGCTTTGAATTTGTATGCTTATATAGTGATTTTGGAAAGTTTTATTCTACGTTATTTGGTTGAGTTGATGCTTGGAGCTTTTAAAGGATTTACTTTTGCTCTGCCCAAAATAGCCCGTTGTTGACGTCAGCAGCATTTGATTTTGGTTTATGATTGTTCGTAGTTTTAATAAGGTTGTTTGTAATGAGCATAAAAAGGGCTTAGAAATTTGAGATGCCTTTTGTGGAAAGTTGGTCGCGGTAGATTTTAAAACTTCCTTTTCCAATTGTAGGCTCCTGCTGACGTCAGTAAAGCAAATGGAGGTCAGTTACTTGTTAATGATCACAACAAGTACCGGTCCATGTGGACGCGTATTAAGTCATCGATTTGGATGATCGGTGGATTCGCCTTAATAATCTATATGGGCCATCTTTACATTTGGGCCATGATAGTGGTAATTCAGATTTTCATGGCCAAAGAGCTTTTCAATCTACTTAGGCGGTCGCATGAGGATAAACAGCTCCCAGGGTTTCGGCTACTGAATTGGTAACTACAGCAACATCTTTAATTTCTTCTTATTTTGTTGTCCTTTATATCAGATATGTTTTGGGATGCTGGTTTCCTTATTGAGTTTTCTTGCTTGGGCTAGGCATTTTTTCTTCACAGCAATGCTCTTTGTTTATGGCCGTATCCTGAACCAAAGACTTGTCAACACAGTCGTTCAAGACAAATTCTTGTACAAGCTTGTCAGCGCATTTACAAAGTACCATATGGTCACCTGTTATTTCTTGTATATTGCAGGTTTGTTGTCTATACATTTCTTTCTTTGTTTTGTAAAATTACTTTTTGAATCTGCCTCCTGGTGAAGTTTGAACTTTAAGCAGAAGACAATTTAACTGCTGTATATGGTAATTAACATAATTTTCGTTTTCCACATAAATTTATTCCTGGAAATGGATTAGTAGACTCTCGAAAGCTTCCAACTAACAAGGAGATTGACTAACTTGTCTGGGAATCAGGTTTCATGTGGTTTATTCTTACTCTTAAGAAGAAAATGTACAAGTATCAATTTGGCCAGTATGCGTGGACCCATATGATTCTGATTGTGGTGTTTGCACAGTCTTCTTTCACTGTGGCCAATATTTTTGAAGGAATGTTCTGGTAAGTGAGTGGAAAATGCTTTGTTTAAGTTTGATTCATGTTTGAATTTGGAATTAATTAAGACCTGTGTTGTTGCAAAGAACTTTAACATGAACTTGCTTTGGTGCAGGTTCCTTCTTCCAGCATCACTCATTGTTGTTAATGACTGTGCTGCTTACTTCTTCGGGTTTTATTTTGGAAGAACCCCTTTGATCAAGCTTTCACCAAAGAAAACCTGGGAGGGTTTCATTGGGGCATCTGTTACAACTGTAATTGCTGCATTTGTGGTAAGCATCCTGGTCTTGACTCTGATAGTGATAGCTTTACAGATCACTTTTTCTTTTTAGTAGAGTTATTGTGTATCTTCTTAAAAATGCTAAAAGTTTTCGTGATCTATATCCTTTTTAAGATAAAATTACAGCAGAAATATTCCTTTTAATCTATTGAGGTTGATTTCATTGCAATTTTGGAATGTGCACATTTCCTTTTTGGAATGAGCTATATTTTAGGAGCCCTGACTTTTATGGATTCAAACCTTTTTTACTTTCTACCTGGGAAAAATTTGTGGATTCTAATTTGAATTTGTGATGCACATAGCAGTGACTGAGCCTTTAAATCATGCTGTTAGTTATTTTTTGGATCATCTTTCTCATGGCTAATGTTAATATTTGTTGTGGGCCTATAGGTGGATTCAGGTGGATATTCAATTTGTATTTATGGGTGCTAGTGAATAACCTTGAGTACTACTCATGTTTTACTTTGTCTTCTGCAGCTTGCAAACTTCTTTGGTCAGTATCAGTGGCTTACGTGTCCTAGGAAGGTGAATTTTTGCTTACCCTGCTGAGTGTATGTACGGTCATAGTCTTCTGAGCTTAAACATAAACTTAAGTTCTTTAAATGGCTAAACATGCAGGACTTATCCACAGGGTGGCTTCAGTGTGATCCCGGTCCACTGTTCAAACCAGAGCATTTCACTCTACCAAGATGGGTTCCGGTATTTTTATATCTCATTAGTTTACACCTCACTTGCTCTATCTTTGTAGCAAGGGATAGTCCTTTTTTACTGTAGTTTCATTTAATATTGATGGATGCACCCATTTGTTACTTTATCTCGTGCATTGCTTTATACTTATATCAACAGTCTTGATCACTTTTTGCTTGTTTGATTGAATGGAGCCTATTTGTTACTCCCTCCATTCCAAAATAAGTGTCGTCCTACACTTTGCACATAGTTTAAGAAACTCTTAAATAGGGTAAAATTACTTGAATATCCTCAACCAACCCCATTATAAAATTGTCCACCAATAGCATCAACTCTTTTGAGGGTAATTTTGGAAACTTTTGACAAAAAGTGCATTAAAATGTGAGAACGACACTTATTTTGGAATTTCTCCATTTTGCTAAAACGACACTTATTTTGGAATGGAGGGAGTACTTGGTATTGACTACTTAGTGGAATATTCCCATTTCTCTGTTCATTTAGCACAGATGTACGGTTGCTGATGATGTTATTCATTTTCAAATCAAACAAATAGATTTCAGGTCTACATATGCTGTAGATAAAGTTATTACAGAATTTAATTTGCTCCTATACTGTGAAATCAGATAGAGCTCTGTGGCCCATGCAAAATGATTAGATTTCACCTATTTTGTTTTGGTTTCTGTTTCCTTTATATTGTTCCACCTTTGAGCCATGTTCCTTAAATTAAACTGTTCTTCAGTTTAATGCCCTGATACGTGCTTTTTCTGTCACTTTTTTCAATGGAGTAGTTCCCGTGGAGAGAGATCCAAATTCTACCAGTGCAGTGGCATGCTTTGGGTCTTGGTCTATTTGCATCAATTATAGCACCTTTTGGAGGGTTTTTTGCTAGTGGCTTCAAAAGAGCTTTCAAGATCAAGGTTCAGTGTTGTTACTAATTTATGTTGTGCAGATCTGATGTTCATATTCTGTATTTGCCTCCCTAGCGAAATTTCTCATATACAATACATGCTTCAGGATTTCGGTGACAGTATCCCAGGACATGGAGGTATTACCGACAGAATGGATTGCCAGGTGAGTATAATTCCTGGACATAATTTCTTAAATAAATCTCAGACAGTTTTTGAAAGTTTGTTTTTCTGGCACTTGAAGTTGATACTTGATGGCACTTTGAAAACTGTTTTTTCATACTGACTACTGAGTGAACCTGTAACTATAGCCTGTATCTTTAGGACATAAAGATGGATACATAGTCTTATAGATGTGCTATTATAACTCTATAGAGGAGATTTTGTGTAGAATTTGATATTCTAAGACTTTGGATAATCTATATTTAAAGTTGTATCACTAACCTGACCTACCAGACCAGGCATGTGTTTTGGCTCATTGCATTCTTAGAACTTAATTCTTGTTGGATTTGTTTTTTGTGGTGTTATTTATTGCTGTAGATACAGACTGCAATTCCTTTCCTCTTTGTTGGTATGACATTTGCTGTCTTTTTTTGTGCCTATTCTCTCTACTGATTAAGGTGCACCTCTGTGTAGATGGTGATGGCTGTTTTCGCATACATTTATCATCAGTCGTTTGTGGTCTCTCAGGGTGTTTCAGTTGAGTCGATTCTAGAAATGGTAAACATCTTATAGATTCCATGTGTTTACTTTTAAATGAATCCTGAACTTGTAAAGTTTCTTAACAGTTTGTATGTATTCGTGATGTAGATTTTGATGAACCTCACATTTGAAGAGCAGCGCATGCTTTATACAAAACTGGGAGAGCTCATTCAGGAGAGGCAGTTTGGACAATCCTGAAGGATGCACATCTAACCCCACCCCCTCTGTAGTTTATGTAGCTCTCAAGTATGTGATGTACATTTTAGCTTTTTGCTGTTACCTTTTGTCGAGGGCCGGTGTTCGCCCATTAATGCATAAGACAGTTGCGCATTGTATAGTGCCATTTTAAGTTCACCGGCCCTCGGTTTTAGAGTATAGTGAGTGGATCAGAATTACATGCACCACCACAATACCTATTTGGATTAGTATTCTGATTGAAGATGCATCACATGTTTTGTTGCTCAATCATGCATCCAGTGTGTAAATTTTAGAATGTGATGAAAAGATTTTTCGGATGGGATTTTAGTTGAACTCCGTGATGTTTTGTACTTTTGTTCTCTTAGTACTAGATTTGAGACTGCATTTCCAATTAGCCAGCCGAGTTGGGAAAATCAACGAATAAAGTTGACCTCCTGCTCTCTCGGTAAGTCGAAGTCAATGAAACAAATGGCTTATTAGTCTTTATTTATTGAGCTGGCTGAGTTATAGAGAAGGCTCTATACATCGTCCGAGTTAGGGATATCGATAATAAGAAATTTGGACCATTCAATACTGGAAAATAACTAAAACACTATAACTATGAAATACAAGAAGCAAATGACTACAAATTTTTAAATTCTCACCAAGTAACTAGGCCTAAATATCCAGATACTTTCTAACTTACTGATCTTCTTCCGAGTCCTCGGTCGGCTAATAATCGTCGACCCTCCCCCACCGGCGGTCGGATAACGATCGGCGAGCTTCCTCCATTAGTATAATAGTAAGGATAACCATCTTGGGAGGGATAGGACGGATACCTTCCTTCATTAGTACAACAGCAATCATCTTGGGATGGATACCTTCCATCATTAGTACAAGAGCAAGGACGACGATTATTTTGGGAGGGATACCGAATCCCGAAGAAGAATACACTAAACTCAGTAAACACACCCGTCCAACACTTCCTTGGTAACGCCTGAGCCAAACCAGCAGTTGTTGTTGCATTACCCTCCGGCGAAAACTCAACCTTTAAATCACCCCAAACTTGCAATATACGAACTTTCTCCTTGTCCAGTGAATAATTTCCGGCCTTCTTCTGTGTAACCTTGCCGGTTAACACGACATGGAACCGGGATGATGAGCCACTACTGATATCTTTCTCCAGCAGCTTAGTCACACGATGACACGGGTCAATTACCACATCCTGGTTCCAATCAAAACCCACATTTAAAATCTCCGTACTGTTTTCCGCCTGATCGAAATCGGGAATATCCTTAACAACCCACCACCAAGGAGCACTCATCCCGTAACTGATGAGTCCGGTCAAATTTCTGTAGGATAAAACGTAATCTTTAGACGGGTTCGTGACGGAAAAGTTGAAGTTCCAACCGGCGGTCACGTTGTACCCGACCGGAAAGTTGAACGGGATGTTTTTTCCGACCGGAGTGAATTCGAGGGGATAAATCGATCCAGTTTCGACTTTGAACTCAGGGGTTATGGTTGGATCGGCATGATGGAACACGAAACAGAGAACAACAATGATGCCGATGAAGATGGACAATAATAGTTTCTTGTGGTCACAAATCACTTCAAACAATTCATCAATGATTGAGGGCTCCTCATTTTTCCGGTGGAGAAGAGGGGTTTTCATGACTGCTGGGGTGATCAAATCAAACGTGGATAATTGATCAGAGGAAAAAAGGGTTAACAAGAAACTCTTTATTCTATTGGCTCCATTTATAAATTTTGGAGAAGATTTATATAGTCCTTAATTAATTATCTCGCCAGATTTGTAGTTGTAAACGGTTAATGAGATTGATTTCGAAAATAATTGGGTTTCTGTTTCTATTATTATTATTATTATTTTAAAAAAGAAAATAACTAACCCGCCCTGAAATTAGTTTCGCAATGGTATGCTTAAGGTGCACAATCCAAAATTCTTCCGAAGGGGGGAAAAAAAAAAATTCAAAGGAAAATTTTTGTTTATTTTTGGGTCCATTCACTTTTTCTTCATCTCTTATGTTCTATTTGTCTCAAAATGATTATTATGTTACATTTTCATTTTTAAAATGATTTGTACTATCAGTAAAAATCTAAATTGGACAATCATTTCAGATTTGACTTAGTTTCATGAATGCCATTCCATCACATGTTAACCCTTATTATTTATATATATATATATATATAAATACTCCCTCTGTTCTAAAATTATTGTCCAGTTTGAAATTTCATTTTTAGTATAATTTGAACTAAAAATGAAAACTCAAACTGAACAATAATTATGGGACGGAGGGAGTATATATATATATATATATATATTCTCCAAGAAAAATAGGTGTAATTTACAAATTACAATGCAAATTATGATAGAGAGAGTTTATGACATAGAGAGTAGTAATAAGTGTTGTCATAAAAAAGTTGAAACCAAATAACAATGCTCAAAAAATGTTACTAATCGCATTGTTCTGAATTCTGAAAAATTAATTTTTGTACTTCCTTCGTAAATTTTTTCTTTATTGAAAGAAAGAAATCTCATAATCTTATTTCGTCCATGATTTCATGAGAATTTCCTTTCTTCAAGTAAAATTTTAAGTAAATCGAAATCAATACTATTGTCTATGGTCCAGGGAATATTGCTTTGGCTTCTCTTGTCGACCTTCTCGTCGAGATGTTAAGGTCAACGTTATTCTCGACGGGACGTTACGTTGAGTTTTCCTCATCTCTCAAAGCGCTAAAACCTTTCACGCCTTCATGTTCGTGGAAGTAATATCTAAAATCTCTATTTTTATTTTTTTCACTGAAATAAAAACTCTATTAAGTAATCAGAAAAATTATACACGCACAAACACACACTCGGACTATTCTTCTACTCTGTGCCAGATTCTGATCACCGATGTCGTCACCGGCACCCCCTTCCCCCGCCACCCAACTCCGTCAACGCCTCCGTCCATGGCCCCAGTTCTTCGACTTATCCGCCATAAGCATCCCCATATCACTCTCCGACACCACTTATCGCATCAACCAAAACCTCCGCTATTTCTTCCCCAACTATGCCCTGATTTTCTTGATAACCCTTTTCCTCAGCCTTGTTTACCATCCAATTTCCCTCGTAATTTTCCTCATAATTTCCGCCGGATGGATATTCCTATACTTCTCTCGGAACAGGGATGACCCTCTGGTTCTGTTCAATTACGAGATTGATGACAAGATTATCTTGGGGTTCTTGGGATTGCTTACTTTGCTTGCCCTGATTTTCGCTAAGGTGTGGAAGAACGTCTTCGTTTCGTTGGCGATTGGAGTTCTGATCTTGTTGATTCATGGGTCACTGAGAGCTCCTGAAGAGGACTTGGAGTCTCCTTATGGGTCTTTGCTTTCTGACGTCACGAGCCCACAAGGGGATTATACCATGGTTTGAGCTCTTAGTTTCTTTATTTGATGCATTTAGGTAGGGGAATTACTTCAAATTGGAAGATGAACCATTGTAGTAAAAATTTTTGCCTTGGATTGTAATTGTACTCTCTGTTAGTAGTACATATTGGAAACCCCAAGTCTGGACTATTGAACAATTTAAAGTTGTAGCTGCAGTTATGCTAATATTTTTAAAGATCTGGATTGTTTCTTTTCAGTTGCAATATTATAGTAGTTCTAATTTGCAGTGTCTGTTATATTACGGAGGAAATAATGCTATCGTTCTTGTGAAGTTTAATGTGGGAAATCAAACATTTGTTACTGAATTGGAGATGCAGCCCATGTTCATGCTTCCTCCATTTTGAATTTCTGTTTATTAGGTTTTAGTTTTTGTAGTAGGACATTGAAGCAATTAGCTTGAAAATTAGGACTGGACATGAGCTCTACAATTCGAGCAAGTTGAAAATCGTTGTTGTTTCTATGAATATTGTTCTGGTATGTATTACGTCATAATTTATTCTGTCTAAGCATATTACTGTTTCTCATCCCTTTTGAGTCTTGATCTCACTTTCTTTGTTGAACTGTCGTATTCAAGATAAATGCATATGGATTTGACCTGTTTAGTGTTGTAACTCCTTCAGTTGTGTTTGTGATTATAAGCCCTGGTAGGATAGCACTTACCTGTGTTTATGCCCTTATGAACTAGTAAAGTTGCGAGAAAGTAAGCTATGCTTTATGATTCTCAGTGTGTTAACATCTTGTGGACTATGCTTGGCGTTTGATATTCTATAGTCCAGAGCTGTGCTTTTTCTAGGAAGTAAACAATATCACCGTCATCCTCTTCATGTTAACATTTACAGATGGTTCTGAAAATTCCATGAAGGAAATTGTTTTGATATTAGTTTGATGTGATGATGGATGTTTGAGACTCGTTCCAATGGTTTTTTACGGGGTGATATGGGTGAATTCTTTCAGAAATCATTTCAGTTGTTTTTCCTTTTGATATGCAATGCATTCATGATTCACTGATCCAACATGGAGCGGTAAAAGGGTTAGTTGTTTAATCTGATGTATTCATGATACATCAAGACCAATTTGCTGTCATAGAGTATTGCCTTGAAGTGTAGTTAAGATTATCCTCATGTCAGGTATCATTTCCAGTGGATTTGTCCTGCAGTTCCTTTCAAACTTGCCTGAAATGAACTCGGGGTTGTGTTCTCCGTAAAATTAATATGAGCCTGTTATTTAGAACTTGAGAGTCATCAAGCAACCTTGTTACTTGTTGCAAATTTGAAGATTATGCAGTCCACTATGAGATTTTAGTTTGATTTGGTTAGTTCCTCATTATCTACCATTGCAATGTTTTTAGATGTGAATTTCATCTGAGTATTCTGCTCCTTGGTAGTTTTACGAAATTTTGTTTCCTGGGTCAAACGTTGAAAAGCTATAGTATTGCATTAGTTTTGGTTGTATATATTTCTCATTCCAATGTCACTTGTGTTTCCCTTGTTATCTTTCCTTTATCTTTCTCTCGATTTAATGCTCCCGTTACTCTCATGTTTCACTGTTTCTGCCCTTAATTCGCTGGTTTTGACCTAAAATTACCTATCTGTGCTCAACACTGTTATGAATGCTGTTGTATTCAAGACCTTCTCTCATACAGTAAACTTTAGAGATGGACCAGTCTAGCTGGTTTTGGTGCTGCCTATTTTGGCCAAGAAAACATCATAATTAAGAGCATATTTGACACTTCTGTGGTATCAGTACCTGCCAAACAGAGAAGGTTGGTACCTGTTAATTAAGAGCATATTTGATCCTTTTGTGGTATCAATATCTGCCAAACAAAGAAGGTTGGTATCAGCTCCTACATGATGTTGACCCTTCATAATTCCCCCTGTATGTTGCTTGCACTGCAACTCCTTTCCCAGGATGTCGAAAAGCTGTCATTTAACTCTTATGCGATGGTTGGTAAGTTTCTAGTGTCTAGTTTTCTCATGTACCTGGCAAAACTTCTAATTACTCGTTCTCAATTTCCAGGATCTGTTGTGTCTATCCGGTCCACAGTATCTGTAAATCCTATATTCATTTGGAGTGAGTAATCTAGCATATTGATGTTATACTGCCTTTTCTCTTACACATTCTTGTTATAATGCAGTAATTTCTTTTCTTTATATTTTAATTTTGAGCGCGCCCTTGGATATAGTACATATACTTAATGTAAACTACCGCCATTTGTTCCTACTATTGTTTAGTTGCTAACTTGCCGTAGAAATCAAATAATTCGCAGCAAAATTCACATTCTTGATGACGCTTTCACTCAAAAACTATTACAAATTTTGACACATGCTGAAGGAATGAGGAACGAACGCCGATGAAAAAGATTCAGAAGAGAAGTTAGGGCTTAAAATACTCTCTCCGTCCCATAATTATTGTTCAGTTTGGGTTTTTATTTTTGGTTCAAATTGTACTACAAGTGAAATCTCAAACTGGACAATAATTTTGGGACCGAGAGAGTATATTCTTAGAAAAGTTCAGGCTAGAAAACAAAACCAGACAAAACATTTACCCGTCTTAATTGTTCTCAAAGGCTTGTAGTGGTAGAAAAAGAATTTTTTATCTTTGCATAGTTGCCAAAAACAAAAGAAATCCTTGCATGCTTTACCAAACTGCTGGATTGCCGGAAGAACTTAATTGAACATTCAACTTCGCGGTGGAGCTTACAAAACTCTAGTCACCGGACATGAAATTACTCGGTCCCAAAATTCAAAAACAATTAAAGCAGCATCCTCATTTGCTATCCAGCATCAGCCTGCTCGCAAAAAAGGGAAAAAAAAAAGAAAAAAGAAAAATTTTGAAATGTAATTAGATGTTTGAACAATTGATGTACTCTATAATTTCTGCCAAAGCTCCTTAAAACTGTGAAGAACTGGATCGCCAACTATAAGCAAAAACCATGATGAAATCTTCGCCGGGGCATCCGACCGCAGAGCTCCTTTTACCGTCGGATCTGGTGGCCGTTTCCACCCACAAACGCACCAGTTCATGAAGCTCGGTGTCGGGATGAATTACTTCACCCCGCATCCTTACCTCCAACTGAAATTTGATTTTATAGAATTACTTTAACAAGACTTGGGGGGAATAGATAGTTACGTCTTCCGTCTCAAAATAAAAATCGTATTTGCTGTAAGTAAATTAAGAGATATATAAAATAGATAGATTTACCTCATCTTCACTCCGAAGGCCTAACTTGACTACCAGGTATTTTTTTATGCAAGAAGCTGGCATGGTAACATCCCTACACCAATACAAAAAGAAAATAGAAATACAGTAAAGTATAAGAAGAAAAAAATCAATCTAAATTGAAAGAATTACGCAGGACTACTCCATACACTACCAGATATATCATGCACGAATGCATCTAAGCTAATTTTTTTATTTTATTTTATTTTATTTTTTTATGTACAACGGAAGAGGATTCGGTTTGTCTCATAAGTTTTTAAGAAAAGCGTAGCCGAAGAATGAGAAGTTTCAGATTCATTGTTCGATAATAGATATGTTTTGAGAATCCATATTCCTCCAGATATAAAGCTACAAAACAGATTTTATGATTAATATTAACTAGGTATCCGTACCAGAGTTTTGTAGTATACTAGGTTAAAAAAATATTAATTAAACGGAAGGATTTTGTTACATTTTCGTCGACACTTGCTATGTCTTTAGAGTGAATGCCAGATGCAAAACCACAAAAAGGATTTGTAAGAATGTTGCATGTTTTGTAATCTTAATACAAAGCTTAATTTGAGTTACAAAAAGCATATTACATAAGACACATGTTATTAATCCCTCTCTTATAATTCCAATCTACAGTTACAACATGGAAAACACGGCGAAATGACACGAAAATTCTTGATCCGAAGCTCGTGAATAGCACAAAAAGAAAGAGACAACAGCTAAGAATATGTGTACAACATTTATCCCTTAGTTTATTAGCAGCATTCTATCCTATTGGATTTACCAACAAATGGAAGCCTTCTATATGGAAAAGCCATACTAAAGTGGACTTGTTGTGAAAAATCCCCAATGTAAAATTTGTGCAAATATTGGACAAATAATGAACAGGAAGATATTTAAGCTGACTTACTTGACTTGTATAAAGTAGGGAGGCAATGACGGTAAGGTTCTGCGATTTCCCCTACAAAAAGTGTATCATCAGAGCTTATTATTATTCTAGAACGGAGAGATTTACCCGTAAAGTTTATTGTTATAAAAGTTAATAAAAAGTTTCTTACTTGACATTTGAAGCAACTAGTTGGAACCAAATTGGAGGATCTTCTCTTTGAACTTCTTTAGAGTCAATCACAATATGGGTAGGAATGTTGAGATCCTCAACCAACAACATTCTCTCTTCTTCCTTGGAGGGTTCATTATTATCATGATGATCCTCCTCAACAAATTTCTTCTCCTCTTCCTTCTTTGGACGCATTCTACCCTTTTTGCGCTTTCTCGAACGTCTACTCGCCACCGAAGACCGCCTTTTGCGAGATGGCAACTCAGACTCTTCAGTGGCCAAGTCATGATTGTCTCCAAGGTTAAGATTCATGAATGCATTGTTAGATGATTCATCAAGTGTCTCCACCAAGGGATTTATTTCATCCATTGACTCATCTTCATTTTCGTCTAGCATTTTCTCATTCGCGGGTTGATCAGGTCCGTGCATTTTTCGTGCTTCTGTTTTTCTTTGTCGAACACCTCGTGCTTTTTCTCGGGTTGATTTAGGTTCTTTACCATTTCCTTTCTTGTTTGAGGGTTCAACTTTATTTCTTCATTGATTTGAAGCTTTCTCCCGATCCTTGGTTCTTTGGAGCTCACTTGTCGGCTCATCCATAAGAATTTGCTTTCTTACATTTTCTCTCATTTTTTGCGGGTTATGGCCTTTCCTGTAAAATTTCTTTTTAAAAAGAAGTAAAAGAAATCAAATTAACCTAGTCACATACACAAAACAACTGAGTGTTCTATTTCGGAATTGCTATTTATATTAGAAGAAAAACGAATTTGAATGAAGAAATTGAGAGAGATTAATTCGGGCGACGAGTGTGATTTTTGAGTGCAAAAAAATTGTTTAGTTGGCTGTTAACTATCAGTAAATTTGCACAAATTATAATAAATAATCTTTGCGCTACAAAAATGAAGGCATGCCAAATGGACAACTTTTTGCACTGTTATATGAATATCTTCGAAATTAAAGCATGCATGCAATTTGGTTTTCGGAAAAAAAAAAAGAAGAAGAAATGAAAATTAGAAAGGCACGCTAAATGGACAACTTTAAGAAACCCTACTCGCGAGCAAACATCAATTCAAATTACAGAACAAACAAATCCAGATGAAATGGCATAAATATTTGATGTGCATAAAATCAAATTACTTTGTATAAGGTATGTCGAATATAATTGCACATAATAATGCAATTGTATTTTATTATTTAATAAGAAATGCAAAGAAAAAATCTTTTATCGCACTAACTGGACTAACTAACACCGTCGCACCAAACCTCACAATATTACTATAATAAATCTTTTTTAGGGCACGATAGGGAGTAATTAATTAAGGGTGGAAAAACTGAGAAGAAAGAAAGAGTACATACTGATAATCCCTCGCAAATGGATCGCACAACCAAAACCTTGCACCTTTAGCAAACAATCTATCAATCAAAGCCACCAAAAAACGAAAAAAAAGAAAAACCTAGAAAATATTAAACTCATCCTTAGACACAATTTCTGGGTAAAAAGAGATAAAATAGGTAGTGCTATATATATGTGGATCAAAACAGATGAATAATTATGGGTTTTTGTAAGAGCTATGAACCCTTTAATCGGGTTGGGGAAATGAAGAAGAAATTAGCCTTGAAATTCAGAGGAAGTTTTTTAGTCTTGTCTACTTATGATGACGATGGTTACAAGATTGAAAGCAAAAAATATGCTTAAGTTTTCTGAAAGTATAATTGTCATTTTTGATCATTTGGCTAAGAACCAAAATTCACAAGAAGACATGACAACTCAAAGCCGCCACATTTTCCCGGAAGATTTAAGGAATGATCACATGATAATCAATTGTTTCGAATTTTCCAAACGATATATTTAACATTTATTAATGTTTCACAAAAAATGCACAGTAGCAAACGCCAAAAAAAAAAAAGAAAAAAAAGGAACATTGAAAGATTTGTTAAAAGAAAGAGACATAATAAAAAAAAATCAGGCCATCCAAATGATTGATAGTTCATAACTCAAGAACTAGCATAACTATTTCAGTGCATTTTCTTTAAAAAAACTGTTGAGAATAATCAATCCAAACATGGAACATAAAAAAAATACACATAAAAAAATCTAAATTGAATCCAATTATCAAGGTGCGTGATGAGTTTCACACTATTGCATGTCCCGCTTTAATATCATGTTCGGAAGGAGAAAAATAAAAAATTAAAAAATTCTTTGTTACCATGTTTCAAAATGAAAAAAAATTCCATATCAATCAAAGGCCGTATCATGAAAAAAAAAACCAAAAGAATAAAAAGATCAATTCAAATCCTACACTCTTACATTTTCCTGGCGATTGATAGCTTTGATGTTCTAAACTGCACGAGCGTTACACTGATATATTCAATTGATGATTAATTGTCATATCTATCTAAAGAGATAAAGGCGAAGTGAATTTCAATAAAGAAATATTTTTGATGAATTTTATCTATGATATATGCAGGCGATTCGGATTCGAGTGGAGGATGAAGGAATCGGGAGAGAGGAAGACTAATTGGAGGTGGTGTAGTGAAAGGGGGAAAAATGGTTTTTCTTTCTTTTTTTCCCCAAAAGGGTAGAGGGATTTAATGCTGGGATATTTTTTTTCGCTGGCGAATGAGCGAATACATCCCGACGTTTACATTACTTTACTAATTCATCTCAATATTTTCATCAGTTTGTTAATTCATCGCAACATTTTAAATTGATTAATTATGTTCCAAAGTTATCGAAATTGGACAGATTCATTTCATGACTTGCAAAACAATAAGAATAACATGATATAACAAGTAAAAATCTACCGGGTCTCATATTTATTCTTTTTTTTTCTCTTTTTATTTTTTGTTTTTGTCATTTTTAGTCCATCAAAAAACAAACAAAATTTCTAGAGAAACTCGAAAAAACTTAATTAATTTATAAAAAATTAATTAATTACAAATGAAATAACTTATTATTTAGAATAAATTTTAAATTAATTAATTTTTAAATTAATTAATATATATATATAAAATAAATTAGATGTGTGTGTGTGTGTGTGTGTGAAATCTTAGTGCTCTATTTTTTTTTTCACTCAAAATAAAGGAATTTTTTTTGGGGGGAAGTTTCTTAACTTTTGTCAACAAATTGAGATGAATTAAACTAAAAAAAGAATAGTAGATTCATTAATAATTAATTGAATATTTTATTTCTCCATTCATTAATATTGTTTGTATTTCAATAAAAAATTATTTTCCTTTAAAAAAACAGAAGGCAAAAACATTGAATACGAGATTCAGATGATTTTTACTTGTTATACCAGGTCACTAGGTCATGGGATGCATCTGCTTAATTTTGATAATCTTGGAACCTTATTAGCCAATTTTTAAATTTTGGGACAAATTCGCAAGTTGGGTATAAATGTTAGATGTATACACCAATATTCCTTTTTTTTTTTTACCTTTCCAAAGTACATGATATATTCCATTGTATTTTTGAAAATTTTCCAAAATGAAATATTCAATTCGAATATTTACTATTGATGAAAGTCATTCATGCAAGTTAACCGAAATAAAAAATCCAAAAGTTATTAAATTTGACAGCATCCTCATTTGCAACATATGCATCGGCATGCTCCTAAGAGATGAGACGATATATGCTTAACAAAGTAATACAAAATTTAGAATAAGTTATTAACAAAAGGAAGAAAAGAAAGAAGAAATAGGAACTTAATACTACTTGTATTTGGAAGAACCAGGGCACCGACTATAAGCAAAAACCATAACAAAATCCTCGCCGGGGCTTCCTACAGCACAACTCCTTTCCTTGTCGGATCCGGTAGCCGTTTGCATCCACAAGCGCACTAGTTCATGGAGTTCCGTCTTCGGATGAACTGGTGCACCTCGCATCTTAATCTCCAACTATAAATAATTTCATAGACTTAAAAGTTGCAAAATTCATAATGTAAACAATTTATAACCATAGATAATTAATTTTGTAATGCCAAGTCTCGTGTCACTATAAATTATTCATTATAAAATAAGATTCATCTTTGTTGAAATCAGTAAATTGATTATAAAATGGATAGGAAAATGAAGATGGAGCATAACAAAATTAAGAGGGTAGGATGATGAACTTGTTATATGGATTTACCTCATCTTCATTCCGAAGGCCTAGTTTGCGTACCAAGTACTTTTTGATGCAGGAAGCTGGCATGGTAACATCCCTACACCAAAGATCATTTGCTAGGTTTACGAATAGTTGCAAAATATATTAGATTGCAAAAGAGGAGAGTGCCAAAGATTTGCAATATACTAGGTTATAAGAAAACCTTAATCAAGATTACAATGGATTCCATCGGCATTTTCTATAATGTACAAGACTCAACGCCGGAAATAAAACTACAGGGTTTCTTTTTACTAGGTAATGTCGGATTTCCCATTTGTAAGAACGTGCATGTTTTGTAATCTTAGTACACACTTAATTTATGTTATTAAATCAAAGGCACAATTGAGCAAAACAAGGTGTTATTTGTCATTCTCTTATATTTACGATTCACACAACAAAGAGAAGAATTTAGGAAAAATGAAAATATTGGATTCAACGATCGTGTTAATTACTATACCATCATAAGGTATACTACTATATATTATTATTAAGCATAGTAAGATGCAAGAATCATGGCAAAAAGAAAAGGACAAGAACTGAGAATTGCCACCCACAATAATCTTTTAGTTTAGTTGCATCTATTTGTAAAGAACTTATCGACTTTCTACATAGATTTACCAACACATGGATGAATATATTCAGAAAAGCGATATTAATGTGGACGGCTGCATGTGTATAAGTTTCAAAAGACTAAATGGTGTAACATCATTGTAAAACTGTGTAAATGTTGGACAAAATGATGAGCAATTAATTTAAGATATTGAAGCCACTTACTTGACTTGTATATAGTAGGGAGGCAATGTGACACGATTTTCCCTAGAGAGAATGTCAGTCAAATCAAGTTTTATAATTAAACAAAGCATAAGAAGAACTAATACACCTTTAAAATCGTATTATTAGTTCAACAATGTCAACTATTAACATAAGATCCGAAAGATTACTTCGTAGATTGAATATGTGAAAGTTATAAATATGATGCATCTTACTTGGGATTTGAAGCAACCAACCGGAACCAAATTGGGGGATCTTCTCTAAGCACTTCTTCGGAGTCAACCACCAAATGGCTAGGAATGTTAAGATCCTCAACCAACATTCTTTTTTCTTCCTCGGAGGATTCATTAACGTTGTTGTTGACAAGAGTTTCCTCAGCTACTTTTTTATCCTCTTTCTTCTTTGTGTGCCCTACCCTTTTGCGATTTCTCGAACCTCGATACGCTAGGTCATACACAGGCTCAACCAAAGGGTTTCTTTCGAGTTCTCCACGGGGATGAGTATAATCCTACATTTTTCAGATATCAGTTCAATGACTTACTATATAACACTAACTAACTTATAACGTATGTGACAGTTAGTAAGTATTACTCCCTCCGTTCCGTAATATAAGCTATTTTGATTTGTCCTAGGTTTCACTAAGTACGCACTTTTTTTTTGCATAAAAAACCCTTAAAAACTTTTTAAGGTTTTCTTTATCAATTAAAAATGTGTACTAAGTGAAACTTAGGACAAATTAAAATACCTTATATTAATTACGGGAGGGAATATTATTGAATCACGTCGTTTATACAAATCCAAACTCATGACTAATTGTCTAATAAACGTATTTTTTGAGAATAACATTACCGGCTCTTTGATCCTCGAACTGCGAGTCCTTTTCCGATATCTGGTGCTAGGGACGTATTCATCGTCATTGCTACTATCAACGCCAACGGTGACAACATCGGCCGAGGATTTACGAGTCTTTCTAGGATGAAGAGCACCTACATTTCTTGCACTCTTCTTCCTTCTTCCACCGCCACTGCGTATTCTTTCTCGAGTTGAGCCAACAACCGGAGTGAAAGACCTCTTCTTCTTTTTCTTCTTTCTTGTCTCGGTCGGAAAAGGAACCCGGATTACAGAAGTTGTGGTACCTTCATCATTTTCGGTTGGTTCATTCATAACTAGGTTTTCCTCACCTTCCGAAGCTTCAACTACCATTTCGATTTCTAGGGCATCTTCTTGTGAAGCTTCCGCCAGAGATGAAAATTCTTTACGATTTCCTTTCTTGTTTGAAGCTTCATTGTGATCCTTCATAGTACGTTGGAGCTCATCAATAGGTCGCTCAGAGTTAAGAACTTGTCTTTTTATATTTTCTCTCATTTTTCGCATTTCCTGAAAATTTTTATAAAGATGAAATGAAACTAATCTATAGTTTAATTACGAAAGCAAAAAAAAAAAAAATAAAAAAAAATGTTATAACTCGGAATGTTAGATAAAACTATTTTGAACATGCGTAAATTGGAGATGTGTATCATTACTGTTTGGGCAATGAAGATTAACTCGCTATAAGCGAAAAATAATCACAATCAGCACTAAATAAGCACTAATAATAAAATAATAAACGAGGCTATTTTTGCAAAAATGATATGAAGGCATGCAATTTTTGCGTTTCAAACAAGTAATTGTATGTTTCCACTGTCTTGTAGGAAGTCTCAAAGATTGAAACAAGCAAAACAGGAATAATACCAAAAACCCTTTTTTGAAACAAAGCTAGCTAGTTGGCTACCTTCAAGTTGAAGGTAAAATAACATAAATTTTTTCCAAGTGCAAAAAATTGAACAAATCGAGTATTCAGATACTAGGTACATATATAATATGCCAAAAAGAAAAAAAACAAACAAACATGTATTACACAAAATCAAAGCTACAAGGCATGGAAAAAAAGGCGTCAAGAAAATTAAATAAATGAACAAGTACGAATTCATACTTGATATAATCCTTTGCAAATGGAGTACAAAAAAAATCAATTTTGCAATTGTCGACCGTTCTGAGACTTTTCTCCGGTAAATTTCTTAGAGATCGATGCAGCTCCAGCAAATAACCCTATCAATCAAAGACATCAAAAAAAAGTGAACAAAAACGTCCTCTGAACCCATCCCTTTACACAATCTCTTGTTAAGAGAGATCGAGCGTTATCATATTTGAACGCTGTAGGAGTACAAGACGAAAACCGCCAAGGTTCGATTGAACTCTTGGAAATTTTTGCTGATAATAAAAATTCTGAGGGCTAATCATTAATTTAGTTGAAATGAAGAAGAAATTAATCATTCTTAAAAGTCATAGAAAGTTTTAGTTTTGTCGACTTCTGATGAGGACGATAGTTACAAAGATTGAAAACACAAAAATATGCCGCTAATCAAAGAAAAAGAAATGAATAAAAATCCTCGGTATCAAAGCCATGCAAACCGTGTTAAATAAGAAAAGAAAAAGTTAGGCCCATGCAACGCCCAGAATCAATTCATCACTCAAAAATATGATCAAAAGTGAATTACTCTGTTTCAAAATTATTATCCTGTTTGTATTTTTAATTCTAGTACAATTTAAATTAGAAATGAAAATTTAAACTAGACTATAATTTTAGGACGGAGGGAGTATAAAATCGTATAAACTCAAGTCAGTTAAGTTGTCTTCCACTTAAAAAAAAAAAAACACAAAAACAAAAACAAAAACATAAACAAAAAGAAAGAAAGAAAGATCATTGGTAAGGCTGGGAGAAAATTAAGGCTTAGTTACGTACAATAAAAACAAAACCCCTAAAATTCGAATCCCAACGCAATAATTGAAATGTGAGACTTAAATCAGACACTATACAAACACAATAATGTTTCAGCTCAAGCATTTTGGAGCATTTTCCCCCAAAATAACAGTGTACTTAAATCTAAATTAGTTGAGATAATAATTTTGGATATCAAATATGTAATATACAAAAAAATTAATTGAAGAATTAATCAAAATTCGTTTTTGATAGAAATTATACTAAGGACATCAAATTATACTAAGGACATCAAAACCATAATTAAATCGAATCCAATTACCAGGGTGTTGTCTGAAACTTTTGACTATTGCATGGCCCGCTCTAAAACAATCCTTATCAAAAATCATGTCAAAAAAACAGGAAAAGAAAAATGGTTTGCTACCATTTTTTAAAAAAGAATTACGCTCTCATATAATTCAAAGCCCATTCATTCATGAAATAATTAAAGTTGCATTCAACCTTACCTTTTTTCCCTGCGATTGGTTGCTCCGGCGATGCCTTTAGACGCAGAGACGTTACTTTCGTATATTCAAATGGTGATTGGATATAAAGAACTAATTAAGAGGATGGGAATTCTAAAAGGAATAGATAATGTAGACGATTGAAGATGAATGGATTAGTAAAGGATCGAACCAGGATCGAATTTCGTAACAGACAGTACTTGTTGTATTCTAAAAAGGTGGGTTTATGATATTATATGAAAAGAAGAGGTAGTTTTTTATGATATTTTATTTTAATTATCAATAAGGGAAGATGGATCTAATATTAGGATTTTTTTTTCTTCTTTCCAAAAAATGCAGCACAAAAAACAATAACGTCTCTCTCTCTCTCTCTCTCTACTCATCCGATTCGACCAAAAACAAAAAAGGAGAAAATTTGATACATGCAGAGAAAATCTGACAAGAAAATTTATAAAAATGAAATGATGTGATTGACTGTTAATTACTCCTAATATTCAAATGGAAAAATCTCAAAATGTAGGATATAAGTATAGTATAGGCTATAGACGGTTATAATTAATTCTTTATTAAAATTACTCGTGAGTTTTTCTGCACAAATCATTATCCGATTTTATTAAAATCTTTGTTTTCCGATCCTGTCATGAAAAGATTTATTCCTTGGCTTCTTGTAACCTATCTCGCTGGAATTAGTATTTGCTTTGGCTTTCTTTTTCTTTTTTTCTTTTTTTTTTACCTTGTATGAAACTAATTAATAAATGGCAACTGTATAAGTAATTGACAGATATTAAGATTTTTTTAGAACAGCTACTATGATTATTGAGTGCAAGATATTATTGATATGTCCGAAATGAAGAATAAGTCTTCATTTTAAGTCACATTCTTGCACTAAATAAGCTGTAAGCCGAACTAATTATCATTCTAAACAATTTCTCAGCGTCATTAGAACACATTCTTTGCTGTTTTTTTTCCCCCTTTTTCCTTTCCTTCATTCTTGTCTATCTCACTCTTTTGAGTAGCCTTCATGAGCTGAATGATAAAATGATGAACAAATTCTAATTAGAACAACAACAACTCAAATCCTATACAAAACCTACAAAAATAAGGATTGCTTCGTTTGTCTAAGATTGATGGAAATCCACGAATTACTCCCTCCGTTCCTTAATATAAGACATTTTTAATTGACAAAAAAATCTTAAAAGTATTTACTAACAATCTAGAGAACACAACGAATGTGAAAATATATTTTAAAGATTTTTTTATTACTTAAAAATACTTACTAGGTGAATCCTACAACAAATCAAAATATCTTATATTAAGGATCGAAAAGAGTATCACATTTTTGTCATTAGTGTACAAGTAATTATTCAACATGTCTCATTCTATTGAACTAATGAAACTGTGCACGTAGCGAGCCTAACTAGTACTCCCTCCGGTTATTAATATAAGACATTTTGATTTGTCATAGATTTTGCATAGTACGAATTTTTAATCGACAAAAAAATCTTAAAAATTTGTCATAACAATCAAGAGAACACAATAAATGTGAAAATATATTTTTAATTTTTTTTTTGTCAATTAAAAATACTACTAGACGAAACTTAACACAAATCAAAATATCTTATATTAAGTACCGGAGGTAATAATAGTTTTATGAAAAATGTATAAGATTTTCTTTTGAAAAAACCCAATAAATTAAAATTGTCGGTGAATGAATATGAATACTGTTGTATGACTTTCCATCTTTGTTTCTACATATTATTTGTAACTATTCAGTATTCACATTGATTTCTCTAGAGCTGTTGACTCACATAAACGTTGCTTTTAATCCTTTATAACAGACGTTCTTTTTACATTTTATCTTTGAGAATCCCAATTCATTTCATCCCCTTATTTAAACGACTTCCGTCTTGCCCTAGAAAGAGACAACAACCAAGAATACCACATATTTATCTCTTAGTTTATTAGTAGCATCTATTTGTCAAGAATGATCTCCTTTCCTATTGGATTTGCCAACAAATGGAGGCTTCTATATAGAAGAGCCATACTAAAAGTGGACGTGTGGTGAAAAATCCTCAATTAATGTAAAATTGTGCAAAAATTGGACAAATAATAAACAGTAAGATATTTAAGCTGACTTACTTGATTTGTATAAAGTAGGAAGGCAATGAGAGTAAGGTACCGCGATTTTCCCTGCAAAAAACACATCATCAAAATCTACTATATATATTATTATTATGGAATAGAGAGATTTATATGTATATATAGCTTGATTATGAAAATTACCCTTCAGTCCCGAAAAAAAGTTGTTTATATTGACTTTTAAAATTTGTATTAAAATTAGTATAAATCTTAAAACTTCATATTTTTTTTATACGAAAGTAATAAAAATATTCTTACTTGACATTTGAAGCGACTAGTTGGAACCAAATTGGAGGATCTTTTCTTTGAACTTCTTTAGAGTCAATCGCAATGTGGGTAGGAATGTTGAGATACTCAACCAACATTCTCTCTTCTTCCTTGGGGAGGGGGTGGAAGTTCATTATCATGATGATCCTCCTCAACAGATTTCTTTTTCTCTTTCTTTTTTTGACGCCCTCTACCCTTTTTACGCTTTCTCGAACCTCTATTTGCCAGCAAATACCGCCTTCTGTGAGTTGGCAACTCAGACTCTTCGATGGCCAATTCATTGTGTCCAAGGTTAAGATTAATGAATCCATTGTTAGATAATTCATCAAGTGTCTCCACCAAGGGATTTATTACTTCCATTGATTCAACTTCATTTTCGTCTAGCACTTGTTCATTCACGGGTTGATCAGTTCCGTGCATTTTTCGTGCCTGGGTTTTCCTTTGCCGAACACCTCGTGCTCTTTGTCAGGTTGATTCAGGTTCTTTACCATTTCCCTTTTTGTTGGAGGGTTCAACTTTATTTCTAGATTGATTTGAACCTTTCTCCTGATCCTTGGTTCTTTGGAGCTCACTTGTCAGCTCAAACTCAAGAGTTTATTCTCTTATATTTTCTCTCATTTTTGGCCGCATATAGCCTTTCATGTAAATTAAAAGAAAACAGAAACCAAAATCAAATTAACCTATGTCCTAATTCGCCTTGGTTTTATATCTTTAAAAAATCCACCCAATAGACTCCACTTAAATATGTGTAAAAATCTCCTTACAATCCTTGATGGAAATCGAACTCTGGTCTATTATCAGAAAGGACAGCAAACTAGTTAAATCCAAGAAGAAAAACGAATTTGAATGAAGAAATCGCGAGAGATTAATTCGGACGATGAGTGTGATTTTTTAGTGCAAAAACATAATTCACTTGGCTGTTAACTATCAGTAAATTTGCCCAAATTATAATAAATAACCTTTGCACAACAAAAATGACGGCATGCTAGCTTCTTCTTCCTCTTCTTCTATTTTTTTCTTTTTTTTTTTAAAGTTTCAATTCCCCCTCCAAAAAAAAAAAAAAACACTTTTGCCGTGTGATATTGAATATCTCCGAAATTAAAGCATGCATGATATTTGGTTAAAAAATGAAATGAAAAATAGAAAGACATGCTAAATTGGACAACTTTAAGAAACCCTACTCGCGGACAAATAACGATTCAAATTACAGAATGAACACATCCAGAAGAAACGGAATAAATTTTTTAAGCGCATATAAAATCAAATTAATTTGTATAACTCGAAGGTATGTAAAATATAATTACAAATAATAATGTAATTGTATTTTTTTTTATGAGAAGTGCAAAAGAAATCTGTTACCGCACTAGTTAACCGGACCAGCACACCCCAAACCGTATAAATAATATACTCGCATTAATATTATATAATTAAATTCTTTTAGGGCACGATCAGAAGTGATTAATTAAGGGGAAAATACTAAGAAAAAGAAAGAGTACATACTTGATAATCCTTTGCAAATGGAGCACAACCAAAATGAACGTTCCACCTTCAGCAAACAATAAATGAATCAAAGCCACCAAAAAACGAAAAAATAAAAGCCCAGAAAAGATGGATATTAACCTCGGACGTCATCCTTAAATTAATTAAGACACAGTTTCTGGGTAAAAAGAGATAAAAAGGTATATATATATATGTGGATCAAAACAGATGAATAATTCTGATGATTAATCATAGGTTTTCTAAGAGCTATGAACCCTTTAACCGCGTTAGGGAAGTAAAGAAGAAATTACCCTTGATATTCAGAGGAAGTGTTTAGTCTTGTCGACTTTGTGATGACGATGATTACAAGATTGAAAGGAAAAAATGTGCTTGAGTTTTCTGAAAGTATAATTGTCATTTTTGGTCATTTGGCTAAGAACCAAAATTCACAAGAAGACATGATAACTCAAAGCCGCCACCATTTTCCCGGAAGATTTCAGGAACGATCACATGATAATTAATTGTTTCGAATTTTCCAAACAATATATTTAACATTTATTCATGTTCCACAAATAATGCACAGTAAATCTAATAAAGAAAAACGCTAATGAAAAACGAACACTGAAAGATCCTTTTTCAAAAGAAAAGGAAATACTCAAAAGATCATGCCATCCAAATGATGGATGGTTCATCTTCATCACTCAAGACATGAAAACAAACTAGCATAACTATTTCAGTGCATTTTCTTAAAAAAAACTGTTGAGAAAAATCAATCCGAACATGGAACAGAAATAAAAACACGTAAAAAAACCTAAATTGAATCCAATAATTAAGGTGATGAGTAATACTTCACATTATTGCTTGTCCCACTCTTAATATCATGTTCGAAAGGAGAAAACAAAAACAAAAAAAAAATTCTTTGCTACCTTCTCTCAAAATGAAAAAAAAAATAAAAAATCCATATCAATCAAAGCCCGTTTCATTAAACAAAAAATAAAAGAATAAAAAGATCAATTCAAATCATACATTCTTACATTTTCCTGGCGATTGATAGCTCCGATGTTCTAAGTTGCATGAGCATTACACGGACATATTCAATTGGTGATTAATTGTCACGTCTATCTAAAGAGATAAAGGCGAAGTGAATTTTAATAAGGGAATAATGTTGATGAATTTTATCTCTGATATATGCAGGTTTTGTTTCGGATTCGAGTGGAGGATGAAGGAATCGGAAGAGAGGAAGACTAATTGGAGGTGGTCGACTAGTAGTGAAAGGGGGAAATTTTTTTTTTTTTTCCCTTTCTTTTCTCCCCAAAAAGGGTAGAGAAATTTAATGCTAGGATATTTTTTGCACCTATCCAAAATACGGCAGACATTCCATTATATTTTTGACAATTGTCCCAAAAGAAATTTATTTTCAATTTTTCTACTTGTTTCATGCAAGTTAACCGAAATAAAAAAAAAAATCCAAAAATTGATAGCAGCATCCTCATTTGCAACATATGCATCGATAAGCTCCCCAAAAGTGAGATAATATATCTTTAATAAAGTAATACAAAATTTAAAATATAAGTTATTAACAAAAAAAAAGAAGAAAAAGAAGAAGAAATAGGAACTTAATACTAGTATATAGAAGAACCAGGGCGCCAACTATAAGCAAAAACCATAACAAGATCCTCGCCGGGGCTTCCTACAACACAACTCCTTTCCATATCGGATCCAGTAGCCGTTTGCACCCATAAGCGCACCAGTTCTTGGAGCTCCGTCTCCGGATGAACTGGTGCACCCCGCATCTTAATCTCCAACTGTAAATAATTTCATAGATTTAAAACTTGCAAAATTCATGATGTGATGCTTTCTAGCAATGGGTAATGAATAATTAAATGTCATGTCCCGTGTTATTATATGTTATCCGTCCTAAAATTAGAATTATTTTTGTTGAAATCCCTAAATTAATAATAAAATTAATAAGGAAATGAAGAGGGAGCATAAGAAGATTAAGAGGGTAGGATGATGAACTTGTTGTATGGATTTACCTCATCTTCATTCTGAAGGCCTAATTTGAGGACCAAGTACTTTTTGATGCAGGAAGCTGGCATGGTAACATCCCTACACCAAAGAGTATTTGCTAGGTTCACCAATAGTTGCAAAATATATTAGATTACAAAAGAGGAGAGTGTATTTAACCAACCATCCGTACCAAAGATTTGTAATATACTAGGTTAAGAAAATCTTAATCATTAAGACGATGGATTTAACCAACCATTGGCATTTTCTATAATAATGTACAAGACTCAATGCCTGATATAAAACTACATATTGAAGGGTTTCTTTTTACTAGGTAATGCGGATTCCCAATTTGTAAGATTGTGCATGTTTTGTAATCTTATACTAGTACACAATTAATTTAAGCTATTAAATCAAAAGCACAATTGAGCAAATTAAATAAGGCGTTATTTGTCCCTCTCTTACATTTCCGATCCACACAACATGGAAAAGAATCAAGCCAAAATGAAAATATTGGATTCATTGATCGTGTTTACCATACCATTGTAAGGTGTACTATATATTATTACTAAGCATAGTAAGATGCAAGAATCATGACAAAAAGAAAGGGACAAGAACTGAGAATTACCCCCAATAATCCCTTTGTTTAGTTGCATCTATTTGTAAAGAATTATTGGCGTCCTACCTAGATTTACCAACATATGGATGAATATATTTAGAAAAGCCATACTATATGTGGATGTATGCATGTGTATAAGTTTAAAAAGACTAAATATTGGTGTATAATCATTGTAAAACTGTGTAACTATTGGACAAAAGGATGAATCGCATAAATTTAAGATATTGAAGCCACTTACTTGACTTGTATATAGTAGGGAGGCAAGGTGGCACGATTTTCCCTAGAGGAGAGAATGTCAGCCAAATCAAGTTTTGTAAACAAATCATAAGAAGCATTAATACAAGTTCAAAATCACATGTTTATTTCAAAGTCAATTGAATCCTCATTTCAAAATCAACTGGCAAGGAGTAAGATAACATAAGAAGCTTATAAAGTCTCAAGTCCTTCACACGGGCTCAATGTGAGATTCTTTGTCCGACAGATTAGTTCAATAACACAACATAAGATGAGAGATTAATTAGTTCTTAGAGAGAATGTAAAAGCTATAGAAATTATGCATATCTTACTTGGGATTTGAAGCAACCAACTGGAACCAAATTGGGGGATCTTGTCTAAGCACTTCTTCGGAATCAACCACCAAATGGCTAGGAATGTTAAGATCCTCAACCAACATTCTCTTCTGTTTCTCGGAGGATTCATTGATGTTGTTGTTCATAAGATCCTCCTCAATAACTTCTTGTCCATCTTTCTTCTTTGGGTGCCCTCGTCCCCGTTTGCGCTTTCTCGAACCTCTATACGCCACATAAGATCGCCTTGTCGGAGTTGCCAGCTCAGACTCTTCAATGGCCACTCCATTGGTTCCAAGATCGAAATTGGATGCACTGTCAGTTAGGTCATCCACAGGCTCAATCAAAGGTTTTATTTTGAGCTCTTCTCGGGGATGAGAATAATCCTGCAATATTCAGATTAGCAAGTACAATGACTTCTAATTTAACTCTAACTTTCTAACTTATAACGTACGTGACAATGATCACTCATTGTCAAACAAACGTATTTTTCTTTTGAGAATAACAACGTTACCGGATCTTTGATCCTCGAATTGCGAGTCCTTCTCTGATATCCAATTCTCGGGATATATTCATCGTCATTGCTACTATCAGCGGTGACAACAACAGCCGAGGATTTACGAGTCTTTCTAGGATGAAAAGCACCAACATTTCTTGCACTGTTCTTCCTTCTTCCACCAGTACTTCGTATTCTTTCTCGAGTCGAGGCAACAACAGAAGTGAAAGACCTCTTCTTCTTCTTCTTCTTCTTTCTTGTCTCCGTCGGAAAAGGAACCCGGATTATAGAAGTTCTGGTACCTTCATTGTCGGTTTGTTCATTGATAACTAGGTTATCCTCACCTGTGGAAACGATCTCTTGTGCTTCCATTTCCGCAGCTTCAACTACCATTTCGATTCCTAGGGCATCTTCTCGTGAATCTTCCTCCACAAATGATGCAATTCTTTTCTCATTTCCTTTCTTGTTTGACGCTTCATTGTGATCCTTCATTGTAGTATGGAGCTCAATAGTTCGCTCATAGTCAAGAATTTGTCTTTTCGTATTTTCTCTCATTTTTATGCAATGGATACTCTTTCCTGAAAATTGTTACAAAGATGAAATGAAACTAACCTATAGTTTAACAGCAGAAAAGAAAAAAAAAAATGTTATAACGTAATAAAATAAAAATTGTATGACTCGGAATGTTGGAGAAAAACATTTTGATGCGTAAATTGGAGATGTGTACCATTACTCCTTCTGCAATGAAGATTAACTCCTCGTAAGCGAATTAATAATCAGAATCAGCACTAAGTAAGCACAGATAAGCTAATAAACGAGGCCATATGCAAAAACGATATGAAGACATGCAATTTTTGCGTTTCAAACAAGCAATTGTATTTTTTCAGTGTCTTGTAGGATGTCTCAAAGACTGAAGCATGCAAAACCCTTTTTTGAAACAAACAAAACTAGCTAGTTACCTTCAAGTTGTACGACAAACACGTAATGGTAAAATCGCATAAATGTTTCAAGTGCAAATTTGCACAAATCAAGTATTGATTCCGATACTGGGTACATAATATGTGAAAAAGAGAGGGCAAAAATATGTATTAAACAAAATCAAACTTGCGAGGCATCGAAAGAAGGCGTCAAGAAAATCAAATAAATGAACAAGTAAGATACAATTCATACTTGATATAATCCTTTGCTAATGGAGTACAACAAAAATCACAGTTGCATTATCGACTTCCGACACTTTTCTCCGGTAATTTTCTTAATTAGAGATCGATGCAGCTCCGTCAAAAAACCTATCAATCAAAGACATTAAAAAAAAAGTAGACAAAAACCTTGGATGTCATTGCTTCAGACAAATCTCTGGTTAAAAGAGATCAAGGGATGTTATCTACTGTCGGAAATACCTGATGGAAACCGCCAAGGTTCGATTGACCTATTAGAAATTTTTCCTGATGAAGAAAAAACATAAAAATCTGAGGATTAATCAATCATCAATTGCTTTGCCAAGAACCCTTTGATCACTTGGTTTGTTGAAATGCACAGGAAATTACCCTGGAAATTCAAAGAAATGATTATTCTTGTCGACTTGTGGGGAGTACGATACTTACTAAGATTGAAAACAAAAAATATTCTGCTAATCTAAGGGGGGAAAAAAGGATAAAAATCCTCGGTATCAAAGCTATGCAAGCCGTGTTAAAATTAATAAGAAAAAAGTTAGGACCATACAACGATTGATGCCAGATTTAATTCATTATTCAAAATATGAAAGTGAAGTAAATAGTGTAAATTCATGTCAATTAAGTTGTTTCACACTGAAAAAAAAAGAAGAGAAAAATTAAGATTAATTACTAACACAAAAATCCCAAAATGTGAACTCCAATGTAAATCACTGACAAGTGAGACGATCCAGACACTATAATAGTTTCAAATATCGAATGTGTAATATAATAATTAAAAATCCAATAAAATAATCAATTCAAAACTAAATCTATGATTAATAGAAACTAAGACACATCAAAACCATAAATCGATTTAATCCAATTATCAGGGTGTTATGTAAAAGTTCCGACTATTGCTTGTCCCGCTCTATCCCATTGGAAATATCATGTCAAAGAGGGGGAGAAGAAAATTCGTTTGCCACAATTTTTGTAAAAATGAAACATAATTTCATACATAATTAAACACATCCATTCACCATCAAATCAAAGTTGCAACCACGCTTACTTTTCCCCGGCGATTGGTTGCTCCGGTGATGCCCTTAGATATGCTTTTTTTTTTCACCATCAAATCCGCAGAAAGGTTTTTTTCCTATTTTTTTTTTTTGTGAATAAAGCACAGATATACTTACAGTACTGGACTATTCAAACGGTGGTCGACTGTTATGTCGATCTAAAGAAACAAGGGGATGAGAATTCTAAGCAGAGTAAATGATTTTGATGTAGAATCGTTTTTTTTTAACAAGTATATTTCACTGTATGAGAGCGAAAGTGGAAGAGAAAATGAGGATATGGATTTTTTTTTTTTTTGGTTTAGTATTATTGAATGCAAGGTGTCTTGTACCATTGCCGAGTGGACTAAAACAGTATTTTTCTTTTTATTTTCAAAAAGAGGAAATGGATTTAATGTTGGGATTTTTTTTTGTTCTCCTTTCGGAAATGCAGCACGTCATTGAGTTTTGATAAAAACAAACCGGAATAACTGCACGAGATGAAATTTTAATTTAATATTTTCCTTTTTAGAGATTCATATTTATGTTCGTCTATATTTTTTCGTTAAAACATGACAACTGTAAGTATTGACCGATATTTAAAGATTTTTATAGTTTAGAAAATTGTTAAATCGGCATTTAATAATAACTCGTGCGAAATTATATTTAGACACGCAAGTGGGATTAAAAAAGCCCAACTTATATACTTCCTCAGGTCCTTAATATACGGCCTTTTGATATTCCATAGGTTTCATCTAGTACGTATTATTAATTGACAAAAAAATTTTAAAAATATTTCCTAACAATGAAGAGAATGCAACGATTGTAAAACATATATTTTTCAGCTTTTTCTGATTAAAAAATACATATTAAGTGAAAATAGAGCAAATCAAAATGTCTTATGTTAAAGATAAAGGGAGTATAATGAAAGATATTTGAACAACGAATTGAAAGGCATGAATTATCGCCACTTTAAATACATTCGCACACTTAATTTCGGGATTAGTTCTCTTTTTTTTTTTTTTTCCGAAAAGGGGATTATTTCTCATTTCTCTGTTTTTCTAAATTAATTTAAGATTTAAGACTTGACATTTTTCTCCTTTATGAGCATCGGTTTCCATTTTACATCTAGATGTTACTCTCAGTTTACCAAACAAAAACCTCGTGACCAGCTGGACCTTTTTTGGGGTGAAGATATCTCAAGAATTATGATAGTTAGCACAATATTGTCTTAGTTTAATAAAATATTTAAAACCTGTAAATTCTTCCTGATTAAATTATACATATTAAAGATTTTTTCCTGATTAAATTATACATATTAGATGAAACTAATACAAATCAAAATACGTTATATTAAGGATCAGAGGAAGTATAATGAAAGACATTTGAACAAAGAATTGAAAGACATGCATTATCGTCATTTTAAATACGTTCGCACACTTAAATTATCAATATACATCATCAGCTTATGCTCGCCTCAGTTGAATGCGAAATTAGTAAATTATCAATATACATCATCATCGACCTTCCGAGACAAGGTCTCTGCGGATAAATTTCAATAAGTATTAGCCTTTGCATTGTAAATACAAACTACCAGGTCTTTCTTCCATAGGAAGAAGATATAGATCCCTATAGATTTCCCTTTTTTTTTTTTTTTTTCTTCAGTGATGCCTTTGACTCTGATTCATGGCCCATTCAACTGTGTGTTTTTTACTTCCAAACTTTCATTTTTCTTTTCTTTTTGGTTTTTCTAAATTTTGTTAGGTTAGGGTTAATGCGATTTATACGTAGCATGATCGAGTCGGAAGGGTCTCTACTTTGACATAGAAGTTTTTTAGTATTATTTTTTTTTTTTAACCTGACAGAAGATTTAAGGTTCAAAAATGCAATTTCTGGACATTTTTCCCCTGACACTGTATATTTATTTTTATCTAAAGAATTAGAAAATAAAGTCTACGGTATCGAGTTAGGTTTACGTCGTCCTACATAGTATCATTTATGAAATGTTATTGTCATAATTTACGATGGTGTATAAAAATTAATGAAATGATGTATAATATTGGTCTTTTGGTTCAGTCGACTTCTTTCGTCTCCCTATTCTAAGTAAAAGTCGACACAAACAATTTTGACAAAAGTAAAAGTTTTGGGAGGATTTTCACATTGATAAAAAAAAAAAAAAACAGATAACACCAAGCATTAGAAAACTTAGTGGTCAAATTTAATGGATTTTAGGGTCATAATTTTTCAAACAATCATTTGTATTTATATGTGTCATTCGGTAAGCTAATTTATTTTGTGAGATGGTATTCAATAAAAGTACATTTTCGAATAGACCAAAAAAATAATTTAGATTTCCAAATTAGTATTTCAGATATCATAACCCAATAAAATGTTTAACAAGGTAAATCAAAATAATAAAAGAAATTAAAGGTTAAAAGATAGCTTCATTTGGTTAATGATCTTTCAAGTTAAAAAGTATTTAGCGTGCAAAACTGACTTCTACCATATTCAAAGTCACTTTCCTCAGCATTTTTCCTGTTACATTGATAATACATGCAAGTCATAAATTTTGCTATGCATTACTAATGTTGTACTGGTACTTTTCTTGAATAGCTTCCTCCTCTTTGGTGGTTGATGCACTTAGTGGGAAACAATTAGCGTTCAACCCAAAACTTTATGTTCGTCGTTAATTTTACCATATAAATTTTTAATTAGTTAATATTATCTTGTATGTTTGAAATTTTTGTCTGTTTTATTTAATTGGTTCAATTTCCGTCTAACTTAATGGGTTTTTGATTTTTTTTTTTAACAAAAATACCCTAAGATTCTTTAAAAAAATATAAAAACAACCCTTAAAATATGTAAAAATAACAAAATAACCTCTTTCCCTTTTTTTTTTTTTTTTTCTATTTCATTCTATTTCTCTTTACTACTTTTCATAACTATGAAAATATACTATATGATTTTTAAAAAAATATTTATTTATTTTCAAACTCTATATTTCACGCCCAAAGTATGTGAATTGCGTCCATGCATAATTTCGTCATTTTATATATTTTTTAAAATTCTCAATGTTTTTTATTTTCTTGTTATTCTTTTTTTTTAGAGTTCTTCTTCTTGTACTTCATGATTTGTATATGTTTCTACTATTATAGTTACTAAATTTTAAGGATTAATTTACCATTTATATTTCAACTTATAGATTATAAAAATGCAGCAGATAAGATTGTGCAGCCGATGCATAGAAGAATTTATCTCCAATCTGAACTCTCCTTAACTAGCCATTGGAACTGGTATCAGGAAGAACTGGTTCGCCCGCATCCTCACCTCCAGCAGGAATTTAACTCAAAATGAAAAAGTTAAAGATGATACTTAAGCATATAGAAGCACTTCAAATAGATCAAAAGTTTATCTTGTCTCACTTGAACGGAAACAATACTACTTAGTTTGGCTACGAGATAATAAAGTAAGTCGGCTAAATTGTTGGGGGAGGCGTTTTCCCCACTATTATTATAAAGAATTGATTTTTCACTATCAATTCTGAGTGCAATGCCCGATGTATATCCATGCACTGAAAACTATTGATTCTATGTGCTTTGGCCTTTGAGTTTCATGGTCGTAATTAATTTAAGACCATTATAACTAACGACATCCTCACGTAACTAAAGTCGTGAAAGTCTTCCTAAAAACGTATTTCACGTTTACAGGAGAAGGCGTGAATCTGATCAATTCTAATTCACGGTGAACTGTAAAACGATCGGAAGGCGTGTATTCTGATCGGTGACCGGCCTCATAATTATTACAATTTTTTTTATTAATTTAATATACTAATCGTTATTTATGGTGAAGAGAATAAGAAGAACTAAAGTTCTTGGCTTCTTGGTACCAAAATTGGTTAGTTAAAAATAACCTATAAAATTGAACAAAGTTCAACACTCACTTGCATAAATTACACTATTGAAAAACCCTGTTCCTTTTCATGGTTGGTACTGGTAAAATCACATTGGCTATAAATATTTACTGTCCTCATTCCCAATTTTAAGCTTCCAACATCCGTCAGCAAGCAGATATATATTCCATTTTTTTTTTTTAAATCTGGAATGATGATATAGAAAACGTACACAAATTACCAACGCATTATGGGTGGCCTTGGCCTGCAATGTTACTCTTTTTCTTTCAACGGTCTTCAGTTTATATTAGTAATCAACTGAGTTATCATAGAAAACGTACACAAATTACCAAAACGAATGATAATAATCATAATAATCATAATAATAATAATTAAAAAAAAAACATAATGCATATCCTAAAGTCATATTTCCTTTGGTCTCAGACAAAGATTCCGATCCATTAAATTAAAAAAGTGCAATTTTTTAAATAGATTTTTTATATTGTAGGAGGGAAAGATTATTATTTATGTGATACAAAATTCGAAAATGATATACCGTCTTAGGAAAATAATTCAATTTGAAAGACTAAGATACAAGAATGAGATGACTTCATCTAGCAAATTAAAATTTAAATAAAATTTTATAACTATTTATCAATTTAATAATAAATTTTAGGTTATACCAATCTCATAATCTAATTTTAAAATCATTATATTTAAATTGGACTAAATTTTTTGTACACCTTACTAATTATTAGTGTACAAATGCTGATGTTCATTACTTCCCAAAAAGTCGAAATAGAACGGACATAAATGGGATTGCCCGAAACGGAAAAAGAAACCCATTTACAATTTAGAAAGTAATCGGCCTACTTACTTCATCAGTTAATTCAGCCCAGCTAACATCATAACTGGGCCTGACTCTCGTCATCATTTACTCTTTCTTATAGAGTCCACGACATAATTCAACGTTGACTTCTTTTTGGAAATCATTGAACGTTGACTCCTGACTGAATTAATTGTGAACTTTCCAGTTCCTCCTATATAGATTTAGACATTCCACCCCCAACCGCGCCGCCTAACCAAACCTGGATTAGTATCATCATCATCAATTTATCATGTAATAAGTAGATAAAAGAATCACTTGTTGAATCTCAGATGGCAGAAGTAATGACGATGAAAGGAGGGATGGTGGAGAGGGAATCATTTGTCAGGCCTCGTAGGTCAGCCGAGAGCCTATTGGCGCTGGAGTAATCGGTGAATGATCATCATCCGCAGAATTCATCTCGAAACCATCGGTAAGTGATGTTTTCTTGAAAACTCGAGATTGTGTGAAGAGGGTTGGTTTTCTGCTGGTTAATTCATTGAAGGGCCCAAAGATTTTTTCCGGCGAAGAACTGATTAATCACTTGGATTTCGAGGCATTAGCTTCGGGGAGCAATCGGTTATGGAGAAAACTTGAGGGCCGTGTGGAGATTTTTCAGGAGCTACAACGTCAAGTGGACCTGATTTATGACACCCAGCATCTGCTCGACGATATTACCCGCATGTATCTCACATTTCGCGAGGAAAAAAAGCTTCTTGAAAGGTATGTTTTCTGAAATTGTTGTCTTCCAGTCGAAGTGTAAAAGGTTGATTAGGAAGATTAAGATTTTCAACAACTTGAGTTCTGACGATATGATGTCTCGTCACACTCTGGGTGTACCTTACCTCTGCATTATGATTTTGGCTTTGATTTTTCTCTGCTTTTGGATGACCTGTACCCCCATCCTACCCAACCAGCATTAGTCCAGGAGTTTGAAAATGAAAACACTATCCCTGTTCAAAGAAAGTGTATCAAGCAGTTGGAAAACATCCCTATGGAGGGGAAATTAGTGCAGGAGTTTGATAACGTTTTCAGACAAGTAGCTTATTCTTCTCGGGAAATTGTGGAGGCAATTGCTGAGGCTTTCAAGGGAGGTGCTGTATCTCGGTTCTCACACTCTAGAGAGGATGTCATGGCTACGTGTTGGCAAGTCTTTAGCGCAAACATCATTTCTCGCCTGTTAGATCCAGTAAAACAGTTTAGGGTTGTATGTATTTCTGGGGGGAAAGGGGTTGCTAATACTACCCTAGCTCAAGTGGTTTATCTAGACGACTCTTTACGGCGACATTTTGACTGCATTGCTTGGGCTCGGGTAGGAGACCCTTGGAAGGACTATTGATTTCATCTACTTGCAAGGAATGGGAACACATGATCCCATATTCTGACGATAAGATGAAAACATATTCTTTCATGGATTTGAAGCTAAAGCTTTCAAGTTTCTTCGAAACTAGAAGAGTTCTAATTGTTTTGGATGACATCAGGGACCTGACCTTTTTGGACGGCATTTGCCCTGGTTTGTCAATGTTCTCAAAAACTGGCAGTAAGCTGTTGTTAACCACTCGCAGGAGTGAAGCTGAGGTTCATAGATTTTTAAGGTGTTTTATGCGGCCACTACATGTGGAGTTATTCACCTATTAAGGCTTTCATCCGGGCACTAATTTTGGACCCTGATCCGGGCACTAATCCGGGCACTAATATAGGTAAAAGCATATATGGTCATCTAATCTGCGAGTTTTCTTCAACCTTTATATAAATGTGAGCACATCTAATGTTGTTAAATATTGTATTTCTTATGCTCATTAGTGTTTAAGGTCTATGTTCCCATAGTTTATAGTAACTGGTACTCCCTAGTTACTCTTCTAAATGCTGCCAGTTATTATCACCTTTAAAACGCAGGAAGAGCAATAGTCAGGGGGAATTTGAGCATTTTAAGCTTTCTTGTTTGGTTTCAAGTTGTCTTGATATGCATGGTGTGCTCTTAGGCAGAATGTCTGCGATATTGCCAGTTTTTTCAATTGGTAGCTTCCAAACAGTTCTCCAAACTTCATTCTTAATTTTGCTTTTCCAGTGCTACCTGCTTTTGTATTTGTCTTTTTTCTTGTGATCTACGCACTTTTGGTACAAGGTAACTGGATCTTGGGGTCAACATTTCTTTGCAGCGCCTTAGAGAATAGCCATTGCAGACTTGCCCCACCGTTTCGGGAGCTGAAAATCTTCTCACTTAGTTACGGATTCCATCTTCCCGTTAAAAGTCAAAGGTCCTAGGTGCAGAAAATTTTCAAGACGTGAATCCGGTGAGATAGAACCTAATATAAATCCTTGAGCTAGCAATGATCTTAAGTTTCAAGAATTACACACCATAGATTCATTGTAGAAGCAGGCACTAGTTTATGCTAGTTTCTTTGATTTGGCAACTTGTTGCTTACTGCATTCAGGTAGCACTCTTTCAGTTTCTTAGTGTCTATTAAAATACCTAAGTTTGTCCATTTCAAAATTGAAGGCCAGTCACCAGTGCTTCTGATGCCTGCTACATTGAGAGATGAACTAGTTGCTAAACTGTAATTTGATAAATCAGCTGCATGTACCATTGTCTAGTTATGTCTTGATCTGCTTGCTATATACTGTTGTCAAGTTTTTTTCTTTAATTTTTCTTTTTTTTTAAACATATGAGGGGAAACTGTTAATCAAACTATCCATAAGCACCTTTCTCGTAAACTCTCATAAACTCTCATTGAAAAGAAAACTTGAAAAGAACATCCTCATTTGTAATTAAAGTTCGAGAGAACGTGATAATTAATTGGCCAAATGTTGCTATAAACTCGAGTCTCTCTCTCTCTCCCACATTCATTGTCTACGAGTACCTATAATCATCCCAAACTTCATGGCAATTTTGTAATCGGGTTCTTCTCTCTTACGGTTCTCTGTTTTTTTCATATTCAAAGTCATTTCCCCGAGTATTTTGCCTTTTCAAAGCTGCATTACTATATGTAGCGCTGATAATTTCTTTTGAATAACACTGCTCTTTCCATTCCAAAATAAGTATCATTTTAGCAAAACGGAGAAATTTCAAAATAAGTGTCGTTTTTGGATTCTTAATTCATTTTTTGCCCAAAATTTCCAAATATACTTTCAAAAGAAATAATACTATTGGTAATCATTTATTTTAGTGAAGTCAGTTGAGGATATTCTAATAATTTAGCTACCATATTTAAGTGTTACTTAAACTGTGTGCAAGTTATAGAGTAACACTTAAACTGTGTACAAGTTATAAAGTGACATTTATTTTGGAATGGAAGGAGTACCGTTTTTATACTTTGAGATCTGCATTTTCTTCTATTTGATAAAAATTATTGCTTAATTTCAAATGCTTAATAGTGAAATTAAAAATGATGAATTTATTAAGCAGTTACAGAATAAACAATAAGCTAACTCTTATCGTTTATATATTGTACTGTATTTTCAACATCACTTATTTTATTAAAAGGCTCATTTTTTATTATCAAACATGTTAAATTCACAAAATACTTATTCCAATAATTTTTAAATATTAAATGGCTTTATCAAACAAGCCCAGAGTTCCTGAGCAATCGAGCTCATCATGGGCACGGCGTCTGCTCTATTTCACGCGCGCAACGTTTATTATATTTCTTCTTCTTTTTCCTTTTATTTATTTATTTTTCGGGTGGTATTAGTGTTTAATTTAGTAATTCATTCAACTTAATGAAAAAAAAAAAAAACTTAAAAGAAATGAAACATCCTCGCTTGTACTATCCGTATCACAAAAAAAAAAACATAAATCAGACAATTTCATCTAAAGTACTCCTTCCGTTACACAAAAATAGTACACATTGAGTTTTGAGTTTTGTACTGATTTTAGTACAAATTTGAAAAGTCAATGTGGACTATTTTTTTTGGGACCGAGGTAGTTAGTCAATCATTACTTTTGGTTATATTTTTATAAAAATTCAAAAAAATGACCATTAAAGTATTTTTTCTTTTTCCCATCTCTTTCTATCAAGATCTTTCAATTCAGTTTTGTCCTTAATGAACAAGTACTGAAGTGATTATTCAGCAGGTGCGCGGTCTCGTTCTGTTTAACAAAACGAAACCTTGCACTTATGGAGCTTGGGTACTGGTTTGTTTTGGGAAATATATTGGATTTTCTTTTGGAAAAACCTAGAAATTTGAAATCGGTGAACGAACACGATCAAGGAGCAAACCAAGTCAAATGTCTGAGCCGATACTGTTTCACGAATCTACCTTTTCACCATTGATTTCTTTAAAGCTTTTGGTTAACTGTCGAGAATGGCTAGTCTAAAGCTTTCATGGTTCAAATGATCTCGAAAATCTTCTTGTTTAAGATGCCACATAATTTTATTTTTTTTTATTATTAAGAATTCCCAACAATTTCGTCTCTACCTTAAATTGTAGATCTCTGTCTTTGAGAAGCCATTTTAGTTTCGATCACCATATTTTCAGGAGTTTGTAATATCATAATGTCATCATATAAAGGTTTCTTGTGGGAGAAATTCTAGAGGTAAAATAAGTGGGAAAAAAAGAAAAAGTCCATATGATGTCAATAACAATCAATCTTTGTTTGTGGTTTACTCATTAAAAAGATATTTCAACAGAAATAATAACCAGCGCAACAACTTTATTGCCTCCTGAAACGTAAATGGATTCATTGAAGAGATTCATAAGAACATCACACAATGGTATATTACGTGTAATTAGCCATTGAAGATTGGTGACTACAGGACAATCCCAATGTGTAATATGCATCATAATGTGGCTAAAAATCGGATGTATATCTAAATGTTAGCATCTAAAAACCGATTTACTGTCAGCTGACTAGAAAGCGTATGGATCTGTAAGATTACTCCAGTTGCCAGTGTGTAGGTAGATACTGTTCAATCTAGCATGAGCTGATGCATCGTTTATCCAATAAGTCCCTTATATCGAGCGTAGGAAACAATGAGCACAAAAGATAGGGCACAGAGGAAACCAGAGAATATCACCACCTGGGCAATTGTTCCGACAAAGTCTCAGTTACTGTAGAATTTGATTGATTTGGTAAAAGCATGATTACGATGTCAAGAGTCTGAAAACTTACCCATTTGAACATGTAACCGTGATCATCATTCCAAGTATATGGTATGTTCATGCCAAAAATTCCAGTTATCAAGGAGAACATGGTAATACATACAGTTCCTGAACTGAGAAAGAGCTCTAGCTGCAACAAACCGGCACAGTATCAGGAAATAGAATCACTTAAAAGTCGGTTGGAATCTAGCTAAAGGAAGTGAAAGAATGTAGATTCCACCACCAAAAAACTGAGATACAGTATGAATCGTACAAATGGTACAATACCTGAATAAGCTGATTTCGGTGGTTGTCAAGCTGAAAATTAAAAGACCAAAAACATAGAGGTAATTTCAGAACATTAGAACACATAATTTAAGATACACAAAAGATCAACTTTTGTTGCTTCACGTACCTGGATGTTAATGTAGTCTTCTGTGTTGTCAATATATTCACGTAGCTGAGAAATTACAATTCACAGATCAGTCATACATAAGAAACTTCACAAAAATGGCCTAATGTAAAGAATGGATTCAAATATTTCCTTGAAACATATAATTTCTTTCTCCTCCATGCAATTCATTTAGAGAAAGCACTCCGTATGGTCATTGACAATTGAGAAAAACCAGCATAGCTTGAACCAGTTACTGTACTGTACTGCATAGTATTATGAATGTGAAAACCCATGCAATTCTGGTTAAATAAATGTATCTTATCACCTTACACATGACAAACTAGAGTAATGGAAGAGTTTCACATACCGTTGTTAACTTGCTTAAGGTCTCATCAATTTGCATGAAATAGTCCTGCAAGAACACAGAAGTAATTAAGAGTTTATTCCTCATAAAACCCAGATGAAAAGCAAGGTAAGCTTCTCACCTCAAGTAACATCTCAAGCTCCTCAACATCATTCTCGTCATCCCTTATTGTGGCTATACTTGCTCTACTAGCTCTAGATATCTTAGAACCTATAGTTGGGGAGGCAAGAAACCAACCGGCAGCAGCACCAGATCTACTTGTGGGAGATGCACCAGCTAATTTTCTTGACAAGTACAGGTCTGCCATATCATCATCATCATCCAAAAGTTGTTCCAGCTCATCCCTTACCTACATGAAGCTCAATTTTTCAGAAACCTCTCTTGAAAACCACACACATGAAAATCAGAATTATCACCCATTCACATGTGAGGTTAGAGTTACAACTGTCTGGAAAAATTCAGAGTAGTCTGTTTTCCACAAACCCATTAATTCAGGCATAAGCAGAAAAAGCAATTCCGCCGTTGCGTGTTCTGAGAAAAAAGGACACTATGCAAAATTTTCAACACCTGTTCCATCTTTTATTTTTCTTTATTAATTTATCTTCCACATCGAACCAACATCACAAATTTAAATAAAAAAAAAAAGCGGAATGTGCAGAGACTGGGGTGGATCAAGATCAAAATCTTAAGCAAAAACTTCTAAACATAACTGTTTTATACAACTACCAACTACCTTTTGAACTCTAGCAGTCAAGCTATTCATCTGACCCTTCAACTTACGGACTCTGTCCAAGTTACGGCTACTAATCTGATAAGGTTTCAAAAAAACTACATTAGCCACAGGCACAAGTAAACATTTATGAAAGAAAAGCGATAGAAAGCACAAAGGTAAAGAACTGAGGAGAGAAAGGAAATAAACACCTTTGAAGTTAGTGTATCTAAAGCAGGGTAGAAAGCAGTTTCCAACTCTACAGTACGAGCTGCCAGATGACTGCATATTGCTTCCAGTGCAACCTCTAAGGCCCTAAATTCAAAAGGAGATTCTGAAAAGTGAAGGTAATTAGGACACATAAGACATAGACAGTCACATATAAAGTTCAACACAACAGTGTGCAAATCTGCAATTAAAACAAATGAGCAGAAAAGTATACCATCCTCTTCAGCATTTTCAGCATCATGATGTGCAGCCGACTCCTTGACATCCTCATTTGTTGGCTTCAATTTCCTTCTTAGTTCTTCAACAACAGGTATAACCTTTTCCTTCAGTGGTTCTCGAAGAAGAACCTGCACAAGAAATAGATTTCCAAATCCTATTAAAAATGTGCACGTCTCAAATGCAAGAGTATTTCCCCAGCACTAACGAAGAAAGAAAAAAGAAAAGGAAAGACCAAAATACTCCTTTCCAATGGAAGCTATTGTCTGATTCATACAATCAAACAACAGAACAAGCATCTAGTAACTATTTAGAGCGAACTAGTCAAAAATAACATACCTCTTCAGCAGTAATAATAGCCTTGATATGCTGTCAATGTCCACAGCACATGCACCCAAGAAAAAAAAAATGAATCAGCAATGCCATTTGGGAATGCAGAAAAACAAGCAAAGGAGTTTGAGTGTCATTTGAGAAACAAACAAATAACAAAGAATTAGTAAATGAAAGTACTCAGTCTCCGTAACCAAAATATTCACCCACGCTACAGCCCTTTACGTCTCTATTTTTGTACTAAAAAGAACTACTAAAGTTACTAAAAAGATTTGCCAAATACCAAGTGAACATGCTTTGGTACAATAAAGCAGAAACATTCCAACATCAAGCTTTCAAGGATTGAATGAAAACTGTCATTTTTAATTCAGACACATGAACCCATCCAACTCTCAAATAGAACAAAAACATGCATTCCCCATTCTGTTATGAGCAGAAAAAACAGCCACAAATTTCCAAACCTCACCAAAACAAGACAAGAACACTTCCAATTGTAACATCGTACAGACAGGGAAAACAGTGGTTCTTGTACCCATTAACCATTGACAAAGGTACAAGAAACACAGAGTGGATAATTAAAACTATCAGGAAACGCCACATTAATCAATGCCCAGATAGCCAAACAAAAACCCAAATTTTTCCATAAAAAAAATATATCAACCAATAGACGATCACAACTAAAAAAAAAATTAAATTACCTCTAAATTAAGCACAATGGCGCCCTCACGGCCGAGAATGGCAGAGGGATACTTCAAATCGGGGTCGAGAATACGGAGATCACGGGCATGAATTTGCACGCGATGCATGATTACGTGTTTGTCTACGTCCAACATCTTTTCTTCGCCAGAAGCATCGAGGAGAATCCAGCTCCGAGACCCGGTACTCTTTTTCTTCAACCCAGCCATACCCGGATCCGCAGAGACCACAAACGACCCGCCTCCTCCACCCATCATCATCACCTTACCATCTCCTACAGAGCATCGATGCTGTGTACAAATATATGAAGGAAATTGGTTGTAATTTTTTCTTGTGGGTCTGGGAGAAAAAGGAAAAGGAAAGGGGAAAAAAAAAAAAAAGAGAGAGATTCTAATCAGGGTTCTACATGATGATGACGATGGATGAATAGATGGATTATTCGATCGATTATTCGGAATTGGAATGAGAAAAGGAGAGTTGTAATTTGTAAAGGCGTGAAGACTAGAAACAAGAGAGTTGCAGAGATTTTACGTGACCCTCTAAAATACAGCACAAACATAGTATCCATGAAAAATACATTTTGCTTTGTCTCATAATTATAATCTAATTAATTTTAAAAGCGATTATTTTTTAATTAAAAAATAAACAATTACTAGTATGGTACTCCTTCTGTCTCAAAATTATTGTCCAGTACTAAAAGTGAAAACCCAAACTGGACAATAATTATGGGACGGAGGGAGTACTTTTTTTTGTTTATTTAACAAATTTTATCCTAACGAGAAAAGAAATTGTGGAACTTAGACTATCAAAATAGAACAGAGTCAATATTGCACAGCAAATAAATACTCCCTCCGTCTCATAATTATTGTCCACTTTGCGCAAAAAATTTTGTCTCAAAATTATTGTCCAATTTGACTTTTTATGGATCAAGTTACACATTTGTCCTCAGTAAAAAATATTATCCGTAAAATCTTAGTGGTTAACAATTACTTATGTAGGGGTATATCTGGTTGTTTAAGGTAAAATATAGCTAAGTTTGACCAAAAATAAAATCTTTCATTTTAGTAAAACTGGACAATAATTATGGGACGGAGGGAGTAAATAATTTATTATAATCGTCCAAATAATAATGTTATATGCACAAATAAGAAGAAAAAAAAAAACTGATGTTGCATGATTACGCTCACTCAAAAAATTTGCATCCTTCTCAAAAAAAAAAAAAAAAACAGTATTCTAGATCTAAAATAGTGTTCTTTTCCACATTTGGTATGGTAAATGGTAGCAAGAGTCCTGGAATTCGTTTTGAAACTCGGTATGGGAAATGGAGGAAAGGAATATGGCGCAAATGGTGTATAAAAACTATATAGTTGTCAGTGCGATTGAAAATTTTTATTACTCTTTCAATCCCAAACAAGATAGATTACATTAGATTTTGGAATTTATATAAAATTTTTAAAATTCAATTTTTAGGGAATATACCTAAAATAATCATCATCAATTAAGCGTATCAAATGTAATATGGCGAATTTGATTTTGACTTTACACCAATGGTGAATTTAACAAATCAATATCGAATTACACTGATATCGAGTGATTAGATATCGAATCATGTCTTCTTTTGAAGTACTCTATGATTTTTCCCTCTTCTTATAGTTTATGGCTCTGTTTTGGTTTGTTTTACTACGTTTTTCCAGAATTAAATATTAACAACTGTCCTATCCCATCATATCTTTTTATATTTTCAATACACTTTTTTATACTTTCAATAGAAAAAATACCTAAAAACACACACTAAAAAAACAATCCAAACATAGCCTTAAAGTTCTACTTTTTTCCGCTTTTACAGCATTTGGAAAAACAGGATGATATGGACTAAGGAATTTTGCTAAATACATCAATATTAACGAAAATATTTTCCTGCCGATTACTTAGTATCATTGGCTACTGAAAGTCTGGGAGGATTACAACGGTTGGACTCCCCACCATGCCAATTACTGTTTTGGTTGGAACAAGACGTAATACGAATTGCATATCCTAAAAATGTCAGATCTTAGGTTTTTTTCCTCCTTTTTTGTAACAGAAAAAAAAAATCCTTATACCTTAGGTTTATGTTCAGTTTGACTTTGTTATATTTGTGGATTGTTTAAGTAATTTCAATATTTTCATTTTTGTTTTCGGAATTGAATAGTTACAGCAAAATAGCGAAATCGTAGAAGAACAAAAAGAAACTATCAGATCAAAGTTAGAGTTCGGGAAAATCCCTGGAATGAGTCATTGTTTTGATACAACGGCTGAATCATAATGTTTGATAATGGAAAAAAGAAAAAACCTCAATAGCTCTTTTGCATCCAAGCACTGTAATTCTATTATTTTTATTATGATACTCTCCCTTCTTTTTTTTCTAATGATATTCTTAGATGGAGTTATTTTGCAGGATGAAATAAGCGCAAAGCTTATGTCCCACTACTACCTTCATCTAATATTAATATTGATGTACGGGAAGATGTTTGGGATTCATTGCAGACAGGTAAACATATCAAGGATGGAGGTCGATGTCTTAGTTGATCGTGTGTTGTACTATCTCTGTCCCAAAAAAATAATCCATATTAAGTATTTAAATTTGTACTAAAAATAATACAAAATTCATAATTATTTTTGTGAGACGGAAATATGTTGTGACTTCCAGCTCCAAGTCATTTAAAATTTCATGGATGCCTTTTTATCATAATTTCTGCAAATATGGATACTTTCTGAGCTTTATATTAGGTTTAATTTTCAAATTGAATATTTATTTAACTAAGTAAGCGTAAATTTTTTTGCTCCGTGTAGCGTAGGGGTCACACCTAGTTAACATCAATGGATTTAAACTCAAGCATACATATACACGCGAATTTTGTACATTATTTGGTATCATAATATATATCACTTGTGTTTTTTTACGATATACAAAATCTAACACAATATAATGCCTTTGCACTAAAAATTATTGGAGAAAGTCCTCAAATGCATTCTGCTGAATCACATAAAAAAAATTCTGATTTATATTATCTTTTTTCTAATTTCAAGTTTTCTTTCTGCACTATCATGCAATGACTGAATATGCAGGGAGAGGGAAGTGAAGTTTTTGCATTCTGCAATCTGAATCCAGAACTGACCTCATTCATGATGATCCGACAAGCCTTTATGACGAGAAACTTTCAGTTTTGCTTTTTATTTACTCCTTCTATCTCGAAAATGATTATTCAATTTGGATTTTCATTTATGCAAAAAATAAACATTTAAACTGGATAATTATTCTGAATAAAAGAAAATATATCCAATTTTGAAAATAGTTCACACTTCACATTACAATTTATACATATATTGATTTTAATATAATTCACAAACAATGTGGTTTATACATATATTGATTTTAATATATTCCCCCCGTCCCATAATTATTGTCCACTTTGGCCAAAAAATTTTGTCCCAAAATTATTGTCCAATTTGACTTTTTATGGATCAAGTTACACATTTGTCCTTAGTAAAAAATATTATCCATAAAATCTTAGTGATTAAACAATTACTTATGTAAGGGTATATCAGGTTGTTTAAGGTAAAATATAGTTAAGTTTGACCAAAAATAAAATCTTTCATTTTAATAAAATTGGACAATAATTATGGGAGGGAGGGAGTAATTCACAAACAATGTGGTTTATTTCTATGGGACAAGAGTATAATGATAAACATCAACAATTAAAAAAATAGTCTTAGTCTTTACATTGCCAAATTGAAAAAGGTTATTACTGTTATTATAAAATTAGAAACCGCATAAGATTACAGCCAAAGAAACAAAAATTCCCTAACCGTTTGTGAAAAGAGTCAGGAACAAAATTATTGATAGGAAAAGAACAAAGAAAAAGTATTGAAAGCTTTTGTGGTTTGATATAAAAAGGGGAAAATTAAATATGTTAGTCACTTTAAAAATCGAGTCGACGATATTTCTGTATTTTCTCTTTTATTCAGACGTGACAATGACTCATTTTCTCTTTTTTTTATTCAACTTGAGTTGTAAAGGCGTGAAGGGTAGAAACATGAGAGAGATGCTGGACTTTAACGTATTTTTAATGCATTGATTTTCGTTGTTTCAAAAAGACTTGTGAGAAAGTAATAAGAATCACGTGACCCCTCTAAAATACAACACAAATATAGTTAGATCCATTAAAAAAATCTAATTAATATTGAAAATAAATTATTTTACCTTAAAAATAAACAATTACTATTATGGAACACATTTTTTTTCGTTTATTTAACAATTATCCTTACAGTGAAACAAATTGTAGAACCTGAACTATCAAAATGGAACTGAACCAATATTGTGCACCAAATAAAGTTATAATTTGTTATACTCGTCCAAATAATAATTTACAATTTTATATGCACAAATAAAAAACAAAAATTAGAAAGACTACCTGGCATCATTGACTTCTCAATGATCCGTCCGGAGGACTACAATGGCTTGAAGTCTCCCGTCGAGTGTAAAGTCATGGTTGAAACATGATGCAAAAGGCGTGATCTATCTCTGAAATGCGTTGGTATAATTTTCGAGCAATAATCTCCTTTTTTTTTTTGTGAGTGAAAAAAAAAAATGAATTGAACACCAAATGTTGCATGATTATGGTTCTATAAAATTTTCTATCTCGAGCTAAAATAGTTTAACTTCATTTCCATGTTTGGTTTAGTAATTGGTAGCAGAGTCATGGAAACTCGTATGGGTAATGGAGGAAAGGAATATGGTGCAAATCGTGTAACATCAACGACATACTTGTCAATAAGATTTGAGGGATTAATAATGGCTACACGAGAACTATTTAAAGGAACACATATACATAGGCGAATTTTGTATATTATTATTTTTTAGTATCATAATTTCATTTCACGTGTATTTAAAAATATACTACTAAAATCTGCCACAATATAATGTTTTTTGCACTAAAATTGTTGGGACAAAGTCCCTGAAATGCATTTTGCTTAATCCCATAAAAAATTCTGGTTTATTTAATCTTTTTCTAATTTCAAGTACTCTTCTGCATCATCATGCAATGACTGAACATGTGGCTAGGGAAGTGGAGTTCTTGAATTCTGCAATATGAATCCAGAAGTGACCTCACTCATGATGATCCGACAAGCCCTTTATAACGAGCATACGAAACAACAGACATGAAGAGGAAAACACAAAAGGTGCCTGTTAGCAAAATTACCTGATAAAAGCATAAGAGAAACTTTTAGATGATCAATCATAACAAAGCAAACTATCACAAGATGACGAATGAGTAGAGCGAAATGTATACTTACCCATTTAAACAGGTATCCGTGGCCGGTTTTCCAGGTATAAGGTATGTTCATCCCGAATATTCCAGTTACCAATGCGAAGATTGTTAAGCTTACAGTTCCAGTACTTAGAAAGAAATCTAGCTGCAGCCGTGGAAGATGACCATGACAAAATGTATCAGCTATGGTGTAAATTCTGAGAAATTTATCATCGAAGCAAGAACAAAAATTGAATGGTAATAGAGTTGGATATACATTCACTACCTGAATCAGCTGATTGCGATGGCTGTCAAGCTGAAAGAGGAAACAAGAGTATCTTAAATTGAAAATGCATATGCAAGTAAATTCATAACTGTTGGCACTGATATACTTGCCTGAATGTTAATGTAATCCTCTGTGCTGTCAATGTATTCACGAAGCTGAAAAGGTATTCAAGCTCTCAATTAGTTACGCGTCATCCAATTTTCGCAAGCATGATTCAATTCTATGAATAAACTTGTGAAAGGTTTTTGTTCAACATCTGGAAGCACAGGAAAATCACTACTCATAAAGGCAACCATAATCTCTGTGCTATTATAAACATTTGTTTGGCGACCAAATTGTTCAGCTACAAACTTGAACTTCACAAGACTGTAAAGCAATGTCAATTCAGAAAATTCTCTGTGTATCTTGTCTGTTTTTGAGTTCAGCAAGTGTCATAAGCTTTCCAACCAAGTTTCAAGTTTTCTAATCTAACAATGACAACAAGAGTCATGAGAGATAAGAAGTATTGGTTGTCTCTTACCGTAGCTAACTTGTCTAGTGTGCCATCAATTTGGATGAAATAAGCCTGTGCAACATTATGAAACTTGATATTATCCAGGGGTAAGAAATCACAATGAACAAGTAAATGACCAAGTATACCTCAAGTAACATCTCAACTTCCTCGGCGTCATTCTCATCACCATATGAAGAGGCTAAACTAATCCTGCTAGCTCGAGATATTTTCGGTTCCACTGAGAGAGAATAAATAGATTGATTTACAGCACTCGAACCACTCATTTCAGGAATTTCACTGACTATCCTTCTCGACAAGTAAAGATCAGCCATATCATCATCATCATCTAAAAGTTGTTCAATCTCATCCCTCACCTGCTGTCCGTCATTGAAAATGAAGTTGACCATTACTATTTGAATAGTATGTATGTTAAGTCTCCAACCTGAAGAACTGGTTTGGAGAGACAAATTATACGGATAATATAGTTACAAAAGAGAGGAACACCTTCTGCACCCGAGCAGTCAATCTAGTCATCTGACTCTTCAGCTTACGAAGTCTTTCTAAGTTTCTACTGCTAATCTGCATCAAAAGTTTACATAAGCACCACATGTTATAGTACAGAATAGCCAGAGAACTCACAACTGATTTGTTTGGAATGGAAAAAAAATATCTATTAAAGAAAAGGGATTACAGAAACTAAAATGAGAATGGGGTCTCTAAATTTGCACCTTTGATGTAAGCATATCTAAAGCAGGATAGACAGCAGCCTCCAATTCTGTACTGCGGGCATTAAGGTGACTACATACGGCCTCCAATGCTACCTCCAAGGCCTTAAATTCGAAAGGCGAGTCTGTATTGAATGATAAACAAAGTACATCACAAATGAAAGAAATATTCAGAAAGAGAAGGAAAAAAGCCCTAATGATTTATCAAATAAAAGAACTAGATGAAGAAAAACACGAGCATGAAAGGATGCTAATAGAAATTGTTCTCAGACATCTCGCAGGACTGGATATTGATAACCGACCCGATGCCATACCATCTTCTTCTGCAATTTCCCTCTCATGTAAGGTTGATGATTCTCTTTTATCTGCAATTGCCCTCTCACTTTGAATTCGCCTTCGAAGTTCTTCAACAACTGGAGCTACATTTTCATCAAATGGAGCTCGAAAAAACACCTGTGTGTGAGGACCAACTTCAAAATCCAGCTGACAGAAGGGCCTAGCTCTACAAACTAAATTCTCCAAGAAGGATCAAAATTATGCTGATCAAGAATCTTTGCAAACTAAATTAGCTGACAGTTTGTCATCCATAAATACCATCACCTCATAATGGCTTATATTCAAGTTTTTTTTTTTTTTGAATGAAGCTTATATTCAAGTTAATTTGGCTTTTTGGGAATACTACTTTGTCAAAGACAAGACAAGCAGACTGTTGCATATAACACACTAATGAATGGTTGCCAAACACGAGAGCATGTATACACTCAGTACGTACGATAAATCCGAATTTGAAGCTATAAAGTTGCAAGTACTTCATAAAAAAATCAAGCCTGATAGCACTTCTCTGGTGCTCATTTGTCAGAACTACTAAATTGGTTCATATTCCAGTTAAAATCCATATCCCCACCAAACTCTTCAATTTCATAATTTTCACTATTCATGAAATTAGTTAGCATTATGAGATATAATAAACTCAAAAGAAAAACACTAAACTTTAAGTCAAATTACAACAAAGTTCTTACCTCTTCAGGTGTGATAATAGCTTTGATGTGCTGTCCTTGACATACAACAAAAACCAAACACAGAAAGAAAGAAAAAAAAAAAAAAAACAAAAGGAACTTTTAGCAAAAGTCCAACCTTGTTTCAATTGATGTCCCAATTTAAACCTAAAGTCCAAAAAAAAAAAAAAAAAACCAAAATGGATGTTCATACGAAATTACCTCCAAATTAAGAACAATAACCCTTTCACGGACAAGAATCGTTGATGGGTAGGACAAAAGAGGATCAAGAATTCGGAAATCACGAGCATGAATTTGCATTCGACGAATAATCGAGTACTTATCCGCCTCCAAAATCTTCTCCTGCCCAGAAGCATCTATAACCATCCATCTCCAAAACCCAGTTGGGTTCTTGTCCAGTGAAGAACCGCCACCATTTCCACCTTCATCTGCTGGAAAAACACAACCATTTTTCCGAGCCATCTTCATCTCTACCCATCCCCCATTTCAAAACCGCCCTGAAGAAACAGTTTATATCTGGAACATTTTGATTGTGTGGTTGACTTAATTCAGGCAAATTTGTATGGGGTAGTGGGTTTCCTGATCGATTATGCATTGGGGAAGGTGAGGAAGAAAGAAACTGGGAAGGTTGAATTTGGGCAGAATTATGTGTTTTTTTTTTCTCGGTTCTTGTTTCGAGACTCCAGAAATGAAGTTTGTTTTTTGGCGGGGAATTTAATTTTCTTTTTCATTTTGCTATACGTAAAAATAAATGGAAAAATTTGGTTAAAGGGCAGTAAAATATGTCAAACTAATAAAAGGAATATGACCAAGAAAATATTTTTTATTATCAAGAATCTCAAAATAAAAGATAATTTGAATAAATATTATCATCCGTATGATTTCTTACACAAAAACAAATATAAAAGCCTAAATCGGTTTAATGGAAGTTGACAGATTAACGGGGTAAACTTTAATCTTTCTGTTCGTGATTCGATGATGATTTTTTTTTTTTTCCGTGAAACTTAGATTTGATGATGGATGATGCCAAAAAACAAATTTGAGTTCTGATTTGGAGAAGAAGAAAAAGGACTTCCGCTCCATTGATTTGAAGAATTTTGTTTTGTTACATTCTTTTCAAATCAAAATCATTGATTCAACTTTCTTAAACTTAGTGGTGGTTATACAATTTTTTCCGAAGATGGAATGGTGCTCACATCCAGAAGAGTTCTTCCATTTAGCATTTTTCTTCTGGTTTCGATAAGTGGGAGGAGTTAGTAACATGATCTCATGTTGTTTAGGTGATAGAATTGGGTAATGCCTGTGAATATTAATATTAGGTTGTCAAACTCTGATGCTGTTCTTTTGAAATAGAAGTGTCTTCACAAATTGCAATCTCATGCATTACCTCTGATTAGAATTAGAGTGAATAATACAGCATGCCAAACATTCACCAGATAATATGAATTTCCATGTTCTGTCAAATGGTAATACATGATCATCATCATGCTTGCTACCGCAACACTATGTTGCTAATTCATGGATTAGCTGCCCTTGGAGCAAATGTGGTTCGCCTCCTTATATTGCCCAACTTGTAGACATATCTCTAAGACTTCTAGAGCCAGAGATACTGCTTGAAACGCAGAAAAACGAGATTAAAAGACATGACTCTTGGGGGTGTGTGTGTGTGTGGGTGGGTGGGTGGGGGGCGGGCGGGAGAGTGCTGCTGGCAAATGCATCTATGACAGGCTGAAAATATTTCCAACATGGATCCTATAGATTATAGATTCACATGCAAATATTTTGAAGACAAACGTAAGGATTATAGATTCATATGGATCCTATAAATGTGAGAGACGTGACAAGCCATTGGAGGAGCAACCGCCCTTGCAGAAAAATGAAAATCATGTTCCTCTAGTTCAATTATCTAACAACTCTGCTGAAATGGAAATTAACAAAACACCTGATTCTTCAGGGGGGACAAAAAAGAGCTGATTCAGCCACCAAATGTTGAGATAAGGTACCAAAAGAAATGTGGAGAACTTTCTTCTTTTTTTTTTAATTTTGTTTATGTAAGAAATTATAAGGATGATATTGTCAATTCAAAGTATTTTTTATTTTGTGATTTTGACAACTAAGTTACCGTCCTTCATAAAAAATAATTTTTGGTCATACCCGTTTTATTAATTTGACATGTTCTACTGCCCTTTAACCAAATTTTCCCATAATTTGATATGTTTTGATTTGTTTTAAATTTAATTTATTACTAGATGCTTGGCCCGGACAGATACCCGGGCGTCCCCTCTAAATTACTATTTTATTAAAATCTAATTGAATTACTATTTTTTGAAGAATTAATTTGACGTATATATCATTTATGTTATGGTGTGGGGCTTAAAAAAATATACCTATAAATCTGAGGTTATAAGGGAATAATAAATAATTAGTTTATAAGGCATTATTCTTAATTGCTGGATTTAGGTATTTTTATTTTTTTTTATATTAAGCCTGCAAAATTATACGATTGGACATTTGAATTTGAATTAATATATCCATTCGTTTGAAATGTAACTGATCCTTATTTGTAGTAAAACATGTGTTTTTTTTAAAAAAAAAAAATTATATAATTTCTAATTAAAAGAGACTTACACGTGGCAAAAAGACTTCTGAAATCTGAAATATGGTGCATTGGAGCCAAAACAGATGCATACGTCGTTGCCACATAAGCTTCATGTCTTCTGTTTTAATAGGGTAAAAGGGATGTTCTTCTAATCAATTAGAGAAATACGAATAAATAAAAATAAGGAAAATATCAAAAGGTAAGGACTTATAATAAAAACCAGAATGGAATACTTCATTGCAAATAGTAATTATTATCTCCTCACTGAAAAAATTAATGGGACTGATTAAATTAAACTCACATCCATTAGTTTATTTTTATTTTTTTATAATTTTACAAAAGAAAAACACAGACCTTAAAACATCCAATTAAGACATGAATGTTGTTCAGAAAACATTGATAATGTAGAATGTGTTCTAACTATTGATTTAATAACTCCTCTAATGATAGATCATACGTATTTGTATCGTCATTACGAATTAGTCCATGCTCCAAATAGTCCTTTGTGCCGAGCATATTCGACGATCAATATAAATACAACCGCAGTCAAAAGGCTTGAAAATACCACCACCTGATTAAACATCAAAATCACATCTATTAACTCATCAATTATTATGATACTCCCTCTGTGCTTCCGTCTCAAAAAAAAAAAAAAAAATCCACAATGAATTTCAAAATTTGCCCTAATCAAAACTACATTTATTAAATCATCAATTTATCATAATACTCTCTCCGTGACTCCATCCCAAAAATAATAATAATTCACATCAATTTTCAAAATTTGTACTAATATTGAATTTTAAAACTCAATATGAATTATTTCTTTAAGACACAGAGATAATACCACTTAAACTTATAAAAGAAAATTTAAACTATCTTATAATTATAACTGTGCAATTTAATAATAATTCACATCAATTTTCAAAATTTGTACTAATATTGAATTTTAAAACTCATTATGAATTATTTCTTTAAGACACAGAGATAATACCACTTAAACTTATAAAAGAAAATTTAAACTATCTTAAAATTATAATTATGCGATTTAATTTATTCTCATCTTCAAAACACTTTGTTTACTATTCGACTTCGCTAATACTAATACTGTAACTGGCATATGATCCATATAATCGATATATAATCCATGCATTATACATGCCATTCTTACCCATTTGAAGGTGTATCCATAACCGTCCAAGCTCCAGGTAAAATTGAAGTTCATACCAAAGAATCCAGATACAATGGCATTAATCGCCAAGGCTACAACTCCAGCATTGAAAAAAAGATCCAGCTGCAGCCAATATTGTAGAATCAAGATGACAAAATCAGAGATGTAAATTCCTAAACCGTAATCATTGATATTCAAGTATGAATTAAGAATAGAAAATTTGACAATGTACAAAATTAACCTGGTAGAGCTTATTTCGCCTGTTGTCAAGCTGAAATTGAGAAGGAAACAAAGAGTCAACAAGAATTTTGGAAGTGTAGTGCAGACATATATTTCCTCCGTTCCAAAAAAAATAAATAAATAAAGAAGAGTATTGTTAGAGGGTGTGTTCATCAAACTGAAACTACCATTATACCTGAATGTTTAAGTAGTCTTCGGTGCTGTCAATATAATCACGTACCTACAAGGGTGGTTCATTAATAATTAGGGCAATTTGTATATCTATTAGCCATAGATACTTGAATTTAGAAGAGCGAAATGTTATTCTAATCTGTATTGGTTTTATTTGATACAATAAACACGATATGACAAAGACTAAATGTGGAGAACAATTCATAACTGAGTAAAATAATAATTCCTTTCTTAATTATTTCGGGATGGAGAGAGTATCACTTTTACAATAGTACCAAACGAAATTGTCTAGTGTAAACACGAAAGTAAAAGACTATCCGGTTCACTCATGAATCAATGTCCCCTAACAAAAAGTTAGACATATAAAATCTCATTTTGTAAGAACCAACGCCAAATTAAGGAAAAGCGATACACATACCCTGGCTAACTTGTCGAATGTGTTATCAATTTGACTGAAATAAGCCTGCAAAACAATTTGATGACTTCATAAGATTCAATGGTAAATGGAGCAAGAAAATCAAGTCAAAAAACCCTTCAGAAATTAATCACCTCAAGTAACATTTCAAGCTCTTGGATATCATTATCATCACCAAAATCACCAACTAAAGCACTTCCCCTGCTTGGTTTGGTTGTTTTCGAGGCTGTTTTAGGATGGTGAATGGACATGGACCAATTTACAGCACCCAATTTTCTTGACAAATAAAGCGTGGACATCAGATGATCATCATCAAGCAGATCATGAAGTTCATCCCTGACCTGCCCACCAACAAATAGTCATTATGAACTTCAAAAGAATTGGTATTTGCATTGGATATTCGAGTTCATCATCAGAAATTCAGAAAATACATTAAACTGTAAAACAGGGGATTAGACTACCTTTTGCACGCGAGAAGTTAACCTAGTCATTTGATTCTTCAGCTTTCGAAGTTTGTCCAAGTTACGATGGGTGATCTGCAGAAGAGATTGACAAAATATAAGGATAATACTACTAATTCCTCCGTCACAGAAAAAAAAAAAAAAGTACTCAATCCGTCCCAAAATTATTGTTCAGTTTGGATTTTCATTTTTTGTTCAAATTATACTAAAAGCAAAATCGAACTGGACAATAATTTTGTGACAGAACGAGTATAATACTATATCAATTTAAGATTCTTTAATGTGCATAGTATAACAACTCATATCATATCGAATTAAAATGGAAAGAACCCTTATGCAATAAGGTGTAATAAATTAGTTTAGACCTTTAATGTAAGCATATCTAGAGCGGTGTAAACAGCAGTCTCCAATTCTGTACTGCGGGCATCAAGGTGACTACAAATCGCCTCTAAAATTACGTCCAATGCCCTGAGTTCAAATGGATTTTCTGCATCGAATAACTGTCTTTTATCAATATTAAAAGAAAAACAGTTTGAAATCTATACAGTGAAAGAATACTAATATCAATTTCGTCCCAATTAAATAGTCATGTTTATTTTGAGGCCGGGAGATAAAGAACAAAAAGGGTTACCATATTCTTCTTCTGTTTCGATCTCGTTAGGGGATGATTCTCCACCATTTCCTAGAGGCAATCGCCGTCTAAGTTCTTCTACAATGGGAATTACGTTTTCATCCATTGGATTTAGAATCAAAACCTGTGTGTAAATGATGAATATTAGAACCCATCCAATCTATAAATAAGAGTAGATTTGAACCATCATATGAAGAAATTGCGTACCTCTTCAGCTGTAATAATAGACTTGATGTGCTGCCCTTATCCCAAAACATAGCAAGAAAAACCAGAGTAAAACAGAGAAAAAACAGAGGAATTGCTTTTAGCAAAAGCCAGTTTTACACTATTGGTGTATACAAGAATGCATTGAAGATGGAAAAAAAAGGGATGTAATTTTCACCTCCAAATTGAGAACAATGGCTCTTTCACGAGAAAGAATCTTGGAAGGGTAAGACAGAAAAGGATCGATGATACGAATATCGCGAGCGTGGATTTGAACCCGGTTCATGATCACGTACTTGTCCGCCTCCATATTCATTTCTTGACCCAAAGCATCTAACTGCAACCAGCTCCTTGATTCTGGCATCTTCTTCGTCAATGAACCACCGCGGCCGGAACCGTCATCCACCGGAATAATGCTCCCATCCCTACCCATCTCTTGACACCTTAACTACTTCTTATCCTCAAACTCTGAACTTCCTACCTTAGTTTTCTTCAATGACTATATGTAAACATACTCTCTATTTATCACAGAAAAATCTTCACTTTGAACTAAAATGGTGATAATAGTATAATACTACGTATTAGTTATAACAAGAATTTGATGATGATGGGAAAAGGAATGTGAGGTATAACTTCTCTGATTTGTGCTTTACATTTTGTTTTCTTGTGTTTGACTGCATGTGTTCTAATGTCGATGTTTATGTCCGACAGGAAAGAACATTTTGGGCGGGATTTTGTTTTCTTGCGAAAGATATGAAAAAATAATTACTCAATTGTACGATTCAGTTAAAATACACTACTCACATTGCACCTAATTCTAGATAACTATATCACTAGGTTTATCTCATTGATACATCCCATATGGGGAAGGCCTTTTGTGATGCTTAAGCAGCTTTGTTTCTTATTTATTCCCTCCATCTCCAAATCTCAAAAATATTGTTCAATTTAAATGTTCATTTGTGCAAAAAATAAACATTTAAATTGGATAAATTATTTTGAACGAAAATTAGTATATCTAATCCAGAAAAATAATTCACATTTCAATTTATCAAGTGTGTTAATTTTAATATAATTCACAAATTATAATATGGTTTTATTTTTATAGGACAGAAGTAGCATAATGATAACATATTTATTATTTTAAAAAAGTCTAATTAGTCTTTACATTGACGATGGTCCTCGCCAAATTAGAAAGGTTATTAGTGTTATTATAAAATTGGAACCGCATAAGAATCCAGCCAAAGAAACAACAATATCCTAACCGTTTGTGAAAAGCGTTTGGAAACAAAATTATTGATACGAAAAAACCAAACAAAAAGTTGAAAGCTTGTGCTGTTTGATAAAAAGGGGGAAATTAAATATACTAGTCAATTAAGAAAAATTATTAGGTACAACTGTTGTATCCTGATTTTTAATGCAACAAGTATTAACATCCCCTAATTTGGTGCTATAATTTCCGTAGAAATTATCTCTCTCCCCTCCTCAAATTTAATACTTTACTTTATATATTATGTCTGACTGTATAATCCTTACGCATTACAACAACTGCACACAATCATTTCTCGGAACTTAAAATCGAGTCAAAACGATGATATTTATGTATTTCAGTAACGAAAAAATTCATTACTTTCCTCTTTGATAGACACGTGACACTACTTCATTATACTAAGGTGCAAAGCAAATGGTGAATTTACTAAGAGTGTTTAGCTTCTTTAATCTTTCTTATTCGCATTGTAAAAGTCATTTTGGTGTCGCTAATGACTTTGTACGTTAGATTCGTTCGAACGTGAGGTGAAATGCATAATTCCTTGATTACAATCCTCCATTCCTACTAAAAACACTATAGATTATTGGGTGTAAAATAATACTAAAGTAGCCAGGATCATACTAAAAATGTGGCGCCATCTGAAGAGTTAAAAGTGAAGCCATACTTCAAGATCATATTAAAATTTAAAAGTGGCCTAAAAGAGGATGAAAGGAGGATGCATGAACTTTATCTTAGAAATATATATATATATATATATATATATATTAAGTATGTGTGTATTTTGGACACACTGAGAATATTTTGAAACTATGGAAAATTGAACGTATATTTTTGTGCAAACAACATCAGGGCTTAATATAATACTAATACTAATCATAAGTATATGGCTATTACGGACGAGTAGTAATGCTTAGGAGGTACTACGTTTTGGGGATTTTGGAACCTATAAAAATTAGAAATTTGCCAAACTTACCAAATTGGGATAACGTCCACACAAATTGATGGCTGAAACTGATCAATAGAGTTTGTACTAAATCAATGTTATCTTTGAATATTTTAGGGTTGATTTTTTGCAACATATTCAATTGGCGTTGGAGCACCTTACACCTTATAATGATGATGATGGGCGCTTTTCCCATGCATGTAACCGCGTTGTACGTCCTACATGATCCGTAGAGGATATAGAACAAAAATACAGTGGGTACCAAAATTCATTATAAATACCGTTTACTTGTGCGCACTATAAATTTTCAGAGTTTGATATCATATATAGTTATGTATATATCAAAATTAACTTATTATAAATTATTTCACCGCATTACAAGATTTTTTTTTATCAATTATGCAAATGACTTTTCGCGATTTTCTTAGTTAGAATGATTCTTTCTACCATTGTTACATTTTTATAAGCATGTAATTTATTTTTATTTTCTTAAAAAAATTATAACTCGTTTTTGGGCACACAGAAACAAGTTAAGGTATGATATAAGACGGTGTGTTACTATTAAACCTTACAAGTACACAATTGTATTAGTTGAATGAACTAGGTATAATTTCATTAGTTTGATTATAATTAAAATTAATTCAACTTTAAGTTGATTTTAAAAGACTTTATGAATTAAAAAAATCTAATTCCAATTTAGATTTAGACTATTATGATTGGACTAAAACAAAATTGTGAGAAATAAACAAGACAATTTAGCATAAATTACACAAATTAAGTAGTAAAAACTTAATTAGTATCAAATTAAAATAATTATATAATATTAATTAAGGGCGGGGACAGCGGGGTCATGGCCCCACCTTGATCAAAGCCATGGATCAAGTATGAGATCGACGGATACAACTGACGATCCGCCCTAACTTCTATGGTCCAATCAATGTTCATCCCCTCAATTGTACCACCATTATAAATACCTCTGGCCTAAGAAAAAGAAACGGGTAAAAGACATTTTGTTCTCTTAATTTGCTGCAACATTTTTTCTTCTCTAAGCACACATACTAGTTTTCCTAGTTTTCCAAGTTTGAGATGTCTCTAATTGAGAGTGGGAAGCTCATTACAGAGATCACTGCAAGAACTTCTGATATGAATGCAAAAATCAATCTTTTGGTTAACCATCATGAAACGTTCTCATCCGGAATCAGCGACAAGTGGACAAGCTTGTTAGGCTGAAAGGAAACTACGAAGGTTGAGAATTTGGAGTATACACGGAAGAATTGAAGAGGTATGCCACTGAAAGGGGATTGGATGTCAAGAGAAGGTATTTAGAAGACCTTTGAAGTTTGAAGTATACCATTGAAAAAAATAAAAGACTAGAGAGCTAGCTAGCTAGGTTAGGGTTCAAGTAGCTTTTAATTTAACGCTTCTGTTTGGCTGCTTTATAACAAAGATCAGGGGCGGCTCTTTCATTAAGCAAAATAGGCCATCGACTAAGATATTAGAATTGAGAGGGTTCCGGTGCGTATATCTGTATATAGATATATATGTATATATTACATGTGTATATATACATATATATGTGCGTGTATCTATGTATGTATGTATATATTATATATGTATATATATATATATTGAAAAATTTTAGTATTAATAAATATTGACCAATTATTAAAAAAAAATCGACTATTCGACATTTATATATGACTTTCTTTATTTTATAGAATAATTAAAAGGTCAATACTTTTTTGAAAAATATAAAAAGATGGGTTTGAAAATACTATAACTTCAACCATGAAATTGGTGTTAAGATGGACATAGAACCTAAATTTGAATAAAAAAAAGTAAAATTCTTATAAATACGCAGTTTGATGAAAATGTGGAGAATGAAACTATTAGAACCCCTCAAAATATTTTCAAGACTGATTATTTACTTTACATAATTAATAGAGTTATCTCATCACTACAAAGTTGATTGATTATCTCATTATTACATAGTTAAAATGAACGAATTATTATTATTATTTTTTTATTTTCTATTTAGTTTGAAAAAATTAAAATCACTTGATGATAAAAATTTAGAAAAGAGTTGTTTTAACCTTCAAAATCCCTTAAATGATAGTTTAGATATTAGCAGTTTAGATTTAATTTTATGAACTAAAATTTTAAAAAAAATACAAATGCTAAGAATTATAATCCAATTGATTAAAAAATTAATTCTTTTCCAAATAGATTCAGCAGAAAAGAATTTCTCAAAACTTAATTTAACAAAAACTTATTTAAGATCAACAATGTCACAAGAAAAATTAAATAGATTGACTATTATATCAATAGAAAGAGACTTAATCGAAGAGCTAGATCATGAACATTATAAAAGAAATTTGCGACCAAAATTATTAGAAAAATAAACTTAATAAAAAATAATATTTTAAAAAATACAAAAATAAATACTCCATAATGATTTTGATATTTGTACTGCAGAGTAATTTTTTTTTTTTTAGAGACAGAGAGATCACAATAACATGATTAGTAGTATACATTAAATTATGCAAAACATATTCTTCATCATCATGAATTAGTCCAAGCTCCAAATAGTCCTTTGTAACGAGCATATCCCACGATGAACATAAACACCACAGCTGCTATAATGCCCGAAACTACGACAATCTGATCATTCAGTAACAAAAGCATTTATCAAATCATCAACTATATTAGTGTCACAATGTAGAAAAAACATTGTACTTCTCGTGTTAACTTTTTTTTTTTTTTACTATTTTAGTTCATCTAACAAACTCTTATTTTAGAATAATAATTTAAAGACTCCAACAACTACGATTTTAACTACACTCTACGAGCCAACTCAATGAAAATCGTAAAATAGTATTCAAATCATCAAATGATAAAGCAGAGTTTTACCCATTTGAAGGTGTATCCATAACCGTCCAAGCTCCAGGTAAAATCAAAGTTCATTCCAAAGAATGCAGTTGGAACCGCATATATTGCCAAGCTTATAACTCCAGCCGTGAAAAACAGATCCAGCTACATCATATTTGAAATATTGTAATTAATACTCCATCCGAACAGTAAAATGTACTCCCTTCGATACTTATAAGAAATTTTGATTTATCTTAAGTTTCACCTAATACATATTTTTAATTGACAAAAAAACTTTAAAAATATTTCATAACAATCTAGAGAACACAATGAATATGAAAATATGTTTTAAGGTTTTTTTGTTAATTAAAAATGCATACTAGGTAAAATTTAGGACAAATCAAAATGTCTTATATTAAAAATTATACTATTAAATGGGATGAAGTGAATATAATATAACATTTGTATAAACAACCTGGTAGAGCTTATTTCGCCGGTTGTCAAGCTGAAAGAAGGAAACAAGAGTCATGTGTTAATCATTATAAGCTGACTAATGAAAGATACCATAAATCAACCTAAAATCTTTGATTTCATATGCACCTGAATGTTTAAGTAGTCTTCTGTGCTATCAATATAGTCACCTACCTAAGAAAAAAAAAACATTTGTTAACAATTGGATCCGCATATATAATTAGCGCCGCTAAAATGATATAGTCTAAAATGTTACTACCTCCGTCCCACAAAAATAGTCTACATTGAATTTTGAGATTTGTACTAGTTTTAGTACAAATTTGAGAACTCAATGTGGACTATTTTTCTGTGACGGAGGGAATATAATTTTATGGGTCAGGGATCAAATTGAGAAGCAAAAATTCACTTACAGCGGCTAACTTATTGACTGTGTTATCAATTTGACTGAAGTAAGCCTGCAAAACATTTGACTAATCAATAAGATTCAATGGCGAATCGAGCAAGAAGATAGGTAAGAAAAGAAAAATCCTTTGAAGTTTTTACCTCAAGTAACATTTCTAGTGCATGGATATCATAATCTTCACTAAGTTTATCTGCAGGTAAAGTGTTTCCCCGGCTTGCTTTCAACGTTTTTGAGGTTGATTTCGGAGGATGAACGGACAAATTCGCATCACCGGAATGAGTGAAACGCGCAGATCTACCGGCTAACTTTCTCGACAAGTAAAGGGTACACATCAGATGATCATCATCCAGCAGATCATGAAGCTCATCCTTCACCTGCCCACCAGCATCATCACGAACTTACAAAAATACATAAAATGAAGAAAAAAAAAATCCCCCAAAATGTTATTACCTAATCGGCTTTCTTAACACTTATAACAGATTACTAAAGTGCCGAGTCTCGCCTTTGGTACTTCTTCCATCCCAAAATTATTATCCAGTTTGGAATTTCATTTTTGGTACATATTAAACTAAAAGTGAAAGTTCAAACTGAACAATAATTTTGGAACAGATCGAGTAATTTGTTTCGACTTGGATAGTCAAAAGTTTCTTAACAGAATATGAACTGTACTAAGAAGGGACTACCTTTTGTACACGAGAAGTCAACCTAGTCAGTTGACTCTTCAGCTTTCGAAGTTTGTCTAAGTTTCGATGAGTAATCTGCAGCATATAATGAAATCAGGATAGTGTTATGTAATGAATCAGAAATAGACAGCAGAAATTATACTCGCACCGTCCCAAAATTATTAGAATGTCGGAAACTAAAATATCTACACATACCTTCAATGTAAGCATATCTAGAGCAGTGTAGACAGCAGTCTCCAATTCTGTACTGCGGGCATTAAGGTGACTACAAATCGCCTCTAAAATCACTTCCAATGCCCTAAGTTCGAACGGATTTTCTGCATCAAATAAATGGCTTTACCGAATAAGCTTAAACACGACTTTTATTTTAGGACGAACCAACAAATAAGTAACTGAAGTGTCAAAAAAAGAGTTACCATCTTCGTCTGCACTTTCAGCGTTGTTTGGTGATGATTCTTCGCCATTCCCTGGAGGCAATCGTCTTCGAAGTTGTTCTACAACGGGGATTACGTTCTCATCCAGTGGATTTAGAATTAAAACCTGTGCGTAAACACGAATTTGAAAACCGATCTAACCGAACCAATGATGTTTCACGAGGTAGTAGGATTAATTATAGTTCTTAATTACCTCTTCAGCTGTAATTATAGCCTTGATGTGCTGTTAAAAAAAAACAGAGAAAACAGAGGAAACAGAGGAAAACAGAGCAACTGGTTTTAGCCAAAAAAGAAATAAAAGGATTGAAAGAAAAACTTGGTAGATATAATAATGTTACCTCCAAATTGAGAACAATGGCTCTTTCACGAGAAAGAATCTTGGAAGGGTAAGACAGAAAAGGATCGATGATACGGAAATCGCGAGCGTGGATTTGAACCCGGTTCATGATCACGTATTTATCCGTCTCCATATTCATTTCTTGGCCGGAAGCATCTAACTGTAACCAGCTCCGTGGCCCCGGCGTCTTCTTCGTCAATGAAACGCCGTCATCGGAACCGTCATCCACCGGAACAATGCACCCGCCACCCGCTCTACCCATTTCGCGATCACTTCTACTTTCCGACTTCCACCTTAGTGATCTTATAAACGTCCCATAAAAATAGTTTATTTTGTTAATATTACGAGAGTTGAACTTTATAATATATTTGATGACGATAAATTGATAGGAAGAGGGTTGGGAAAAGAATCTAAACATAAAAAAAAAACTTGTTACGTTTGATAATTTGATCTGCGTATTGTATTTCAGTGTGAGGTTAGATTAAGTATGCTTTGATGTTGATGTTAATGTCTGATTGGGAAGTCGTACATTTTGGACGGCATTACTTTTTTCCTTTTTATTTTATTTTGTTATTTGCAAACGAAATGAAAATTTGTATATTTCAGTGTACCAAATTTGGTTAAAATACTCCCCATTGTATGTACTACCTAATTTGATTTTTTTTTTTTTTAAAAAAAATATTCTTTCTTGAAAGTCTTCCTGATCAAGGCCCCCACACACCGAATTGAAAAAGTTATCACTTATCAGTAGTAGTATAAAATTAGAAACCAGTATAACATTTATAATTTTTTTTAATTGGACATGGAGAGAATTATTTGATCGTTGAAACGTTAATCCAATGAATGTACTCCCTCTGTCCCAAAATTATTGTCCAGTTTGAGATTTCACTTTTAGTATAATTTGAACTAGAAATGAAAATTCAAACTGGATAATAATTATGAGACGGAGGGAGTAATTCTCTTGGTGTAGTGATGCATATTGTTACAAGAAGGAATGACATCAAAAGGATTCCATAGTCACTTTAATGAATTGTTGATACACGATATAGGTAAGTATTACTCGAAAATTAAGTTGTAATTTCGCAATTGTATGATTTATAGTTAAAGAGAAAAAGTATTGAAGTCACACTCACACATCATGTACTTAGTTTTGCTTGCATCAAAAGGAAAGAGTTCATACAGTACAGGAGTTGGACTGCAATTTACAACCTGCAGATTACCATAAATTTAAAAGTTTCTGCCCTAGAAATTATGGGACGACGAAAACAACAGTCACATTGTTTATTTCACACTTTGCTACACCTTCACCACTATCATTAAGGATTGATACAGTGTTTAACTTGATGGTTCAGCAGCGATGGATCTTCGCATTTCTGCTCTTGAATGAACTGCATCATGAATTAGTCCATGCTCCAAATAATCCTTTCTGACGAGCATATTCGATGGTTGATGTAAAGATCGCAAGAGTTATGATTCCTGAAACTATGACAACCTGATGAAGCCATCAGAAGATATTCATTAGGTCATGATCAAACCATAAACTGGTATTCACCTGTCACAGGATTTTTAACAATCAGTAGTGACAATAGATTTTACCCATTTGAACGTGTATCCATAACCGTCCCTAGCCCAAGTAAAATTGAAGTTCATACCGAAGAATCCAGTTATACCAGCATAAATTGATAATGCTAGGATTCCAGCACTGATAAACATATCCAGCTGCGGAAACACGCAAAAGAAAACCGAAAATGTCAACTCTACCTCCATCTCTATATAAGAAAAACAATGTTAATATGATTCTGGGACAGAAGGAAGTAATAGAATCGCACATAACCTGATAGAGCTGATTTCGCCGGTTGTCAAGCTGAAACATTAAAGTAGTTTCTGAATCAGAATAAGCAGACTTTTGGAGTTACAATTTCTCTTTTTTTTTTTTTGCTCAGAGCAAACTAAAAGTTCCCATTACTATGTACCTGAAGGTTTAAGTAGTCCTCAGTACTGTCAACGTACTCACGAAGCTGCAAAGATCGTTTTAATATAAGGGCATTATTTTCGAGCAGCTATGCAATACTTTTTGCTAGACTAGATATTGAAAAACAAAAACAGATTATGGAATAATGCGAAGCACGAAATTATTTACCGCTGCTAATTTTTTTGATGTGCCATCAACTTGAATGAAGTAAGCCTGCAAAACTTTTGACTACTTAATTAAGATCCCAATGGCAAGAATTTATCAAAATGAGGTGTCGCAAAAGCCATTTCTAATTATTACCTCAAGTAACATTTCAAGTCCCTGGATATCATGATACCCTGCTAAAAGTGAATATCTATCGACCTTCTTTCTGGACAAGTAAAAGGTAGCTAGCTCATTATCATCATCCAACAGATGGTGAAGCTCATCCCTGACCTGATCATCAGAATTATGATGAACATTAAAAAAACTGATGGATGGGAATTACCAAAAATGTTGTTCTGCACCAGTTTTCCAAATGCTTAATGACTGATTCATTCCAACTTAATTGGTTTTGAGTTGGATATTCGAGTTCTCTAACAGAATATTTAACTGTAATGCAGGAGACTACCTTTTGCACGCGAGATGTTAACCTAGTCATTACACTCTTTAGCTTGCGAAGTATGTCCATGTTATGATGAGTGATCTGCAGTACAGATTGACAAAAGATTATTGGTTGGGACATAAAATTTTATACACTTAAAGACCTGTTTCATAGTAATGAGATTGTTATATTGTCATTGAGACCTTCAACGTCAGCATATCTAAAGCCTCGTAGACAGCATGCTCCAATCCTGTACAGCGGTCTTCTAGGTGACTACATATGGCATCTAACGCTATCTCCAGGGCCCTAAGTTCAAATGGATTTTCTGTATTGAAGATTAGAGATGATCAAGATAACGTAGAAGCGCTTCAAGTTTATATAAATACTGACTGAAATGTTATTTGCTTCATCCCAATATAAGAGTCCTGTTTCTAAAACTAAACAAGATAATGAAACATGATTATCACTTATTACAGAGAAGGAATATTAGGCAACTGAAGCAAAAAAAAAAAAAAAAAAAAGTTACCAGTTTCTTCTTCAGTTTGAACGTCGTACTGAGGGAATGAATCTCCATCATTTGGTAAAGGCAGCCTCTTTCTAAATGCTTCCACAACAGGAAGAACATTGTCTTCCTGTGGATTCAGAACCAAAACCTGTGTGCAGGGCCAAATTTAGAATACAATCTGGCAGAAGTACTCGTTCAAAAAGCATTAAACTTCCGCCATTTGATAACTATATATCCTTGCGATTTTCACAGTTTGATCAACCTGACATACCTTAAGCCCTGAAGTTGATATGACTATTGTACACTTTTCTTCACAAAATTTTCCTAAAAGAGTTTCAATTTCTACTTTTCTTTCCTGGTCCCCTTCCTTTCATTGCTGAAAACTTTTTAACTTACCAGCTCTTCTATCTAATATTGAAATGAATATCCAACTAGACTATCGAAAGGGTTGAACCAGATTTTTAATATATACATGTGGCGTGGGTTGACAATTAACTTTTTTCAGCAAGCAGTCAAGATATGGAATGGAAACAAAGGTGGATTACCTCTTCAGCTGTAATAATAGCCTTGATGTGCTGCCCTTCCAAAAAACCATAAGCAAAGAAAAGAACCACAAAAATTAAATAAGCTTTTAGCCCAGAAAACATCAAAGTCTAAACAAGTTAGAAGAACATATAGGGGTGGAGGATGTAAACATAAAACATGTTACCTCTAAATTGAGAATAATGGCTCTTTCACGAGACAGAATTTTGGAGGGGTAAGACAGAAAGGGATCAATGATTCGGAAATCGCGAGCATGGATTTGAACCCGATTCATGATAACATACTTATCTGCCTCCATTTCCATTTCTTGACCAGAGGAATCCAATCTTATCCAGCTTCGGGGCCCTGGCGTCTTCTTGGTCAACGAACCACTCGAAACATCACCTTCCCGAACAACTTCCCCACCCATCTTTTCGCAGCTACAACTTCAGCTCCAACTCTGAAGTGCAGTCTCCGGCCTTTTTGCTGGTGGCTTATGTGTAGTTCTAGGTATTGGTAACCTATGAAGTTGTACTTCTTCTCCCTTAAAAATTGTTCTGTGCATTGCAGTATGTGTTCTGTGTGTGTTAGTGACAATCTGTCTTCTTCAGCTGTTTTTTGTCTGATTGCCTTGAAACTGACAACCATGTTTTTGGCGGGTTTGTTTGTTTTTCAAAAGAATAATGGAAAAGTATTTATTCCCATGTACCATTTTTATTTAAAATATTCCTGTTCCTACCTAATCAAGGCAAACTATTTTATTTAGATGCTTACATCAGTATAATTATCTTCTTGTAAGTTTCAGTCAATGCATTGGCCTACCAAATTGAAAATTTTCAATTCAGAAGTAGACAGACTCCAGAATATGCGAGGGAGGAGGGCTGGGGAGCCAATAGAGTGTCGCCACGTGAAACTCTAAAATACATTTAGAAAATAAAGGAAAAAATGGAATGACATCAAGAGTTGGAAACTGATGATAGTGAACTGCAGTCTGCAGTTAGAGTCCTAGAGATGATCAGCTACTTATCAAATCAAGTTAGTCAGCAATCCTCAAAGTCAAATGTTGTTGATATTGAATACCGGAGAATATGGGACTATTATATGAACTAAAAAAATCCCATAATCGCGTTTGCAAGGATAAAGAAGAAGCAGAAGAACAAGCATGCATGATGCTGTTGTAAGACAGTGATACCAGATATAAAAGGACTGTATTTGATTATCACTTGCACTTCTTTAATGTAATAGAAGTACATGCATGCATAATGCTCTCATATCATATAAGCACAAACTATGTATAAGAAAAGCCAACTGTCAAGCATAAAATGATATGTATGGAAGGCATGGCCTCTGCAGCTGACTTTCCGCTCATTGGTTTATATGGTCAGCTAGGCAGTGCCGATAGAATGAAGTATGAAGGATCATGACCGGGAAACAGCTACATGAATGAACCACATCATGAATTTGTCCAAGCTCCAAATAATCCTTTCTGACGAGCATATCCGATGGTAGAAAGAAATACCACAAGTGTTATGATTCCTGAAACTATGACCACCTGATCAACCATCAAAATATGCCCCGTTAGAGATCATCATCAACTATCAAATAATCTCAACTAAGTAGGAGTCAAGTATACAATTAATGACGAGAGAATTACCCATTTAAAGGTGTATCCATAACCATCCATAGCCCAAGTATAATTGAAGTTCATACCAAAGAATCCAGTTAAACCAGCATAAATTGATAAGCTTAGAATTCCAGCACTCAGAAACATATCCAGCTGTAGATATACAGATTCCAGAATGAGCATGAGACAACTAGACATGTCAACTCTAGTCTAGCTTTATACCATTACCCTTCATCTCTAAAGGGGAGAGAACAAAAAATGTTTAACAAAGAGGAATCAATATAACCTGATACAGCTGATTTCGCCGGTTGTCAAGCTGAAATAAGCATTGCAGTTTCTGAATTAGTATAAGCAGAATAATTGGAGAGTGTGTATGTATAATAAACTGAAATTTTCACTAATATGTACCTGAAGGTTTAAGTAATCTTCAGTGCTGTCAACGTACTCACGTAACTGCAATGATGGTTCATAATTACGGTGTTATGTACAGTACATTTTTATGCTTACTGCTTGACTAGACATTGATAAACAAAAAAGATTCTATCATGCATGGCCTGTGCCACATAGAATGTAACAGCTCGAAGTGCTACAAAGGTAAAAATTTTTGATTCCATATGATAGAATAAACACCAGAACGAGGGAATTCTTACTGGTTAACCGCATTAAAAACAAGGATTATAGAAATTTTGCAAGAAGCTGAAGGAGCAATTTAAAGCAGTGATGAAATTACATACTGCTGCTAATTTTTTTACTGTGCCATCAACTTGGATGAAGTAGGCCTGCGAAAGAATTTGATGGCATAGTGAAGATTCTATGGTGAATTGATCAAGAAGAGCCAGTAAATAAGCCTTTCTAATTATTACCTCAAGTAACATTTCAAGCCCCTGGATATCAAGATCACCGGCAGAAGTACTTCCCCTGCTTGCTCTAGATGTTTTTGAGTTTGTTTTATGAGGATGAATGGACAAATTTGCAACACCTGAACCAGTTAATTGTGAAGACCTACCAACTAACTTTCTGGACAAATAAAAGTTAGCCAACACATGATCATCGTCCAATAGATGGTGAAGCTCATCCCTGACCTGCTCAACAGTGTTATTATTTACTTCACTTAATCAAGGGATGGAAATTGCCAGAAAGGTCATTCTACATCAGCTTTCCAAATGCTTTAATGACTAATTAACAGGATCCTCGCGTCAATTCATTCTAGTTAATTGCTTTTGAGTTGGGTTTTGAGTACTTAACAGAATAAGATCCTTGAGGCGGAATACCTTTTGTACGCGAGAAGTCAACCTAGTCATTTGACTCTTCAGCTTGCGAAGCTTGTCCATGTTACGGTGGGTAATCTGCAGCAAAGATAGACATAAGAACACTGGTATACCTAGAACTCTTATACAGTAAAGACCTGCTTCATAATACCATGACAGATACAGTTATTTATACCTTCAATGTTAGCATATCTAAAGCTTCATAGACAGCATTCTCCAATTCTGCACTGTGGTCATCAAGGTGACAACATATGGCCTCTAAAGCTATCTCCAGGGCCCTAAGTTCAAATGGATTTTCTGCATTGAATATGAGGCACAGTGAAGATAACACATAAGCAGCTTGAATCTATCTAAATACTAACTTTACCTAGTCTCCATCATCCACTCTAATGGTCTGTTACTAGAACTTTGATGGAAACATTTTTCTTCTTTTTCTTTTTGGTTGAAATCAGATGGAGGAATATTAGGCAACTGAAGTGAAAAGAGTTACCATCTTCTTCTTCTATTTCGATGTCTTGCTGAGGGAGTGACTCTCCGCAATTCTGTAGGGGCAATCGCTTTCGAAGTGCCTCCAGAAAAGCAATTACGTTTTCATCCAGTGGATTTAGAACCAAAACCTGTGTCCATGGACAAATTTACAATATAATCTGGCAGAAGTACATGTTCAAAAGATACTAAACACAATATTCTATACACACAATCTCGCTGAAAGAGTTTTCATTTCCTTGTATGCGGTCCTGTTCTTTTCGTCACTGACGCTTCAGTACTTACAAGCTCATCTATCTGATATAAAAATGAATGTTCAACTAGACTTCTAAAGGCTTGAACCGCATGCTACTCTATACATTCCCACGAGCTAGCTATTAATATTGTTACAATTTACCTTCGAGAAATAGAATAGAAGATCACGATACGAATAAAAGGAGAAAATGGTAGCTTACCTCTTCAGCTGTAATAATAGCCTTGATGTGCTGCCCTTACAAAGAACCATAAGTAGAAAAGGTGACCAAAGAAAACAGCTTTTAGCAATTCAAAAGATGCTCAAATCATAGTCCACACCTAGCCTAAAAAGTTCAGAAGAAAAGCACAGGGGTTGGGAATATAAAGATGTTACCTCCAAATTGAGAATAATGGCTCTTTCACGAGAGAGAATCTTAGAAGGGTAAGACAGAAAAGGATCAATAATACGGAAATCGCGGGCATGGATTTGAACCCGGTTTATGATCACATACTTATCGGCCTCCATATTCATTTCTTGACCTGAAGCATCCAGTCTTATCCAGCTCCGAGGCCCTGGTGTTTTCTTGGTCAATGAGCCACCGCCGCTTGAACCATCATCCACAGGAACGATGCACCCACTGCCCTCCTTACCCATCTCTTATCAACTCTACTACTTATTCTATAACTCTAAACTCCCACCTTGGTGCAGCTTTTTTTAGTTCTACCATCAAGTGATTCTAGTTCTGATGAAACTAAGTTGTTTCATCTGTTCATGGTTAATACATAAAGAAATAACACATGATTTCATTTGCTTATACAATGTGGTCTATGGAAGACTTTTGTATGGTTTTTTATTCTCTTTTTTCCTTACTCCATTTGATGATTTGATCTGTGCATCGCAGTGTGTGTGAGACTGTGAGTGTATGACTGTGTGTGTGTTATTCTGTTGGATGTCTGATTGGCCAAGTACGTTGTGGCGAGTTTTTTTTTTTGTTTTTTCCAGAAGGATAACGTGACAACTTTTTCCATGGTACCATTTCTATTTGAAATACTCCCACTCTGCCTAATGAAGGCAACCATTTGATTCAGACGCTTACATCAGTTTACTTATCTTCTTCTAAGTTTTAATCAATACATTGACCAAGCCAGTTTGAAAAACTTATATCCAATAACAGAAAAACTCGAGAATAAGTGTGGGAAGAGGGCAAGGTGGACAAATAGAGAGTATCAACAAGTGAAACCATTTGGAAAACAAAGGATAGATGGAGAAAAGATATCAAGCTGAGAGTTGAAGTGATGCAAGATGGAGACTTGATAGTGACAATTGCAGGTCAGAAGAATCTTAGAGATGCTCAGCAACTTATCAAATAAAGTTAGTTAGTAATCCTCAAAGTCAAATGTAGCAAAATAAGAATACCAGAGAGAATATGATTGGTATATCAAAAGCATTTTTTTCAACATGAAACTACTCAATGAACTAAAAAAACCATAATCGCGTAATCAAGGGTAGCTATCATGTAATTGTCAGACAAGTTAATAAAATAGAAGTAGGAGAGGAGGCATGCATGATGCTCTTATTAAGACAGTGATCTCAAATATAAAAGAAGCTGCGTATTTGATAATCACTTGCACTTCTTTAATGCTCAAATGACAGCAGCACAAAATTTGTTTAACAAAACCTAATTGTCATTAGAAGTATCAAAAAAGATATGAATGCAAGAAATGCCCTTGCAGATTTGACTTTTCTGCTCATTAGATTATGCGGTAAGATAGGCAGTGCCGAAGAATTTTGACCGGCCAGACGACATATATGATTTCATTTAAGAACTTTTATAATACTTACTCTGTTTAACACGGTGACAATATGATGGGGTCTTTAAAACAATAATGGACTGAAATCAGGAAATACTATGCACATACCTCTTGCTCGTTTGGTCCAGCCCTCCAAATGTTGTCCGGCAATCGCCACATCAAGAGCTTGTACTACTTAACATATGGCCTGGACTGGATCCTGGATCACTTGAAAAATCTGACAAAATTCAAACCAATTGAACAACTATCCATCCCTCATTCAACTGTCAAAGTATGCAGCTTTTATTCTGTGTCTGCCAAACATGATTTTAATTCGGGTTCGTATTTCTCTCAACCTTTAAGACACATCTTCTGTAATGGAAAAAGTGGAGGTTTCAGGCTGCCTGGATTGAGCAGCATTATATTACAGGATACATCAGATACCATGGTATACATACATAACTAAGGCTACAGTCCAAGTGGCTAACTAGAGATTACTGAAGCCCGATAGAGTAATTACAGTTGATGAGTATACCAAACAAAAAGCCAAGTGAAGAAAATATCATGCGCTGTACAGAAAAAATGTGGAACCAGTTTGTTCCTTTCTTTTCATTGCACTGTGAAATCTAAAATCCCTGCTCTAAAGTTCTGTACAAGAATGCTTTTGAACATTACAGGAAACAGTTACAGAAAAACAAATACCCAGTTCTTAGCCTTGCACAGCCAAAGCTTGCAAGTGTTCCATGAATTCTTGTAGACTGGGTTCATCAGTATATATAACCTCCGAGCCTTCTGCATATCCAGAATTCTGTGTGACAGATGGATTCAGCTTGGCAAGAAGGAACCTAGCTTGGCTGCTATGCTGGTCGCATCTTATGAGCTTTGGAACTGGGATGCGTTCGGCCACAAGCTGCTCGGCATCAAGCTGGACAGCCTCTAGCAATTTTCGTAAGCTCTCGTAACTGGGGTCCCTGTCATAACCGAGCTTCCTCCATTGTGCGATCTTAGATCCATAGTGAATAACAACATGAAAGTAAGAGTCAAAGAGCAAAATCACATCAGGAAGGATGGATCGAACATCAAGAAGAACGGGGATCGGTGGTCCTTCAAATGAATATTGAAACAGGGTGGGCTGGATCATTAACAAGGAGCCCACCACACCCTCTCTGTTTAGCATAAGTTGAAAAAAGGCAGTCTCGTCTGGAGTGCTATTGAACACATCAATGAACTGAGACCTCCGTAAATGATATATGAATTGTGGATATAGGGAGAAGTTGGATGAAAGACGAAAGGAATTTGGATCCTCAGGCACATATTCACCAAACTTTGCTGCAAAACGAACAAGTATCTGATCCAACCAACTAATAACTTCAGAAGCAAAGTTTTTCTTGGATTTATGAATAGCAAGTCTAGCAACCACTGAAGCAGCTGCTTCCTGATCAAATCCAGACACAATTTCCGGTGACCTATTTTTAGCCCACCTTCTGGCCACGGTAGTCACTCTCTTACGGATTCCCATATTACCATATCTGTACTTGGTTATGAATTGTACAAGAAAAGCAGACTTATGTTCAACTTTGTGCTTATTATCCACTTCAAAGATGAAAGCAATACATGTTTTGCTGGTAAGTGTACCCAACTTCCACACGTGCGTGCTACCCTCCCCAATGGGCACATTACCAACTGAACTGCCAATTTTCCCCAACGAAGTGCAAGGACCAAGAGCTCCACGCACTTTTACACCTTCTGTTGCTACTAACTCAATAGTTGCATCAAAACACATGTTTAAATTTCCTTCCTCATCCTGAATAAAAATGTGACCCAAACACTTTCTGAACTGTTCAGAATCAAATGACTCTGCTAACAACATAAAGCCACCAGAACCCTCAACAGGAACTTTTAGTTCTGCTGCTCCAACTTGATCCAGCGAGCATGCAAAAAGATCTAGGACAACTGAAGAATCACATAACCTCCGAGATAACCTATGATAGAATTCAATGGATTTGTGGTAATAAGGATCACGCCCTTTTTCAATGTCTCGGTGGGTCCTGATGGCCTGACTGAAGTCTGAGTCCACAACCAAGCCTGGGCCAACAGTTGCAGGTCCCGATGTGAAAACCATAATACGTGATGCAAAATTCACCGAGGATCCTTCTAAAAGTCCAACTGCAACTGATATCGCTACCCCTGTGGACCGTAATGGACGGCCACCTGCAACAGTACATGGTGAAGACTGCAGGTCTTCAATTGCATTTGTGATACTAAACTCACATTCTGACACTGGTAATAGAAAACTCTGTTTTTTCACTGTCGCTATCCCTCCAAGTTGTGGTGTACTGCGATGGATCCCCAATAGCTCTCTGGTCTAGTGACAAGAGACCACCACATGTTACACTCAAGCAAATGAATCATACTTATGCGAAAGGTATTCCAACAAGTTTCTGCTTAAACAAATCAGCAGTAAAATCATGAGGTTCAAGCCAACGAATCAGACTATACAGATAGGCATTCAACAAAGCGTATTCAACAAGTAAGCAGTACAGGCACATGAGGCGATTGAAATGTTACTTATTCAGCAACGAATCGTGGTATTATACTTCACCTTAGAAATTAAGATCAAGAGACTAAGCCTACATGAATTGATACTAGAGATCAGACAGAGGCCCGTCAGCATGATGTTTGCAGTTCAATAGCCTCCTCAATAAAGATGCGGCAACACAGATATGGATAAGTCCACACGTGTCATCCGCAACACATCATATAACATGACAAAAGTCAATACATAACATGTTACCGGTACATCAAGCCCAAAACAACATCAACCAGTTCACATTAAACAGTTAACATCATAGAGCTATTAACAGAGAGTTAAAAGGAGAAAATAATCAAAATGAAAGTTCAAAATGAATTCGAAAATGTTCAAGAAAGGTGATGATTCAACTTTCAACAGTAAGTTGCATCAAGATCATAAAATGTATAAGTTAATCAACTTTAACAAAAAAAACACAACGAAACAGAAAACAAAAGAATGGTAATCCAGTATAACGAAGTCTTCCACCCATTGTGATTTAGCACACATAGACCACTGAACTAAAAAGATTGAGCACTAAACCCATTGTAACAATCAACATCTAATCTAGGATCACATAGACCAATTTATACAGCAATAGTAGCAACAACCAAGACAATTCGGATTAAAGGTCATGCCACAGTGGATATTGTTAATTGTATATCAAGAAGCAAAACACTAAAGTTCGGCTGTCAATGTCTGGAACTTGTTTATGCATAAATAATTACACTTCAATGTTTTTTCAAGATAAAAGCATTAGCATTTAATGTACCTTGTCGGATGAAATCTCTCGGCCACCGTGAAATAACACCACCCTCGTACTCTCTGAAAACCCCAGATCATAAACCCTCACCATAGAGTCAAAAACCACCAAACCCACCAAAGCATTCTCCGGCAACCTCGCGATCACGTGCAGCAACTCACTCTTTAACACCGTGAGCTCCTCCTCTTCAGTACAAGCATCTATCACGAACACAAACGCCGGTCCCGGACCAAGACTCGGCCCGGCCCGATCCGACCCAGAAAACGAAGTGCTGGAGCTAAGAAACGAACCCGCCCTCGACAGCGACCCATTCTCAAAACCCGGAACCGAACCAAACCCGCTGCTCTGCGACAAATTTAAGGCTTTCTTCCCAAGATGATACTCCACCGTACTATACGTCGGAAAAAGCTCAGCCGGGATATTACTCTCGTTAACACCAACATAAGTCTTCGGGAAACGGTTCTTGAGGTCACAAAACGGGCAAATCCAGAGCCCATGTTGGTAATCGACCCGGGCATATGGATTCAAGGCGGCGCCACAGCTGGAGCAGAGTAGAGGATCATAGGGAAGTACAGGCAGTTCATTGAATTGGTATAAAGGGGTGCACAAAATCGATAAAGGGATCACGAGGGAGTCGACTTCGGACTTGGATGTGGGCCATGAGTTCCATGTCCATCGCAGGCCTTCAATGGCTTCCAATTCATTGAAATCCATTGGAATATTTCTGAACCACTTCTTTTGGGAAGTAACTTTTTGCAAAATATATGATTTATATCACGCTAATGAACATGGACCTCGACTGATAAATTTTTCTTCTCTTTTTGAGTTTTTTTTTTTCTTGGTGGGTTTTACTTTGATCAGAGAGCGGTGGCGGAATCCATCCGCCGGAAGGATGGAAGAAGTAGTAGTTGGAGGCGGAAAAGGAATAATAGGTGGAAAAGGAAAAGGAATTCAGTCATCACGTGACCGAGCACGTGATTGATTTATGTCGTATTTTCCCTTTTTTTTATAGATTCTAAAATCTATGATTTTAGTATTTATAGTAATGTTTTATTTCCGTTTTTCTTTTTGGCGAATTTGCACTTTTCTATTTCATATTCTTTATTTTTTTTTAACCTTTTAAAATTAAATGAGTATACTTTCTTGATTCATTGGACTTCTTTGGCACGATTTTGGTAGTGGATCACTTTTGTGATTATTTTTCACCTTTCTAAGACTTTTTTTTTTTTTTTGACTACTTTGGTTGAGTTGAGTTGTAAAACCAGGTGGCCAAAAAATTTAAGTAAGTAGGCATTCTTTTTTTTTTCCCTTTATTTTTTTATCTTGTGATCGTTTCATTGCTGTCTTTAATTTTTAATTTATTAATTTCCCAAATATGTTTTTGGCCTCGTTTAGACTAATATACCGTGTTTTTTTCGGACATTGAAGGGAACCAAATGATAAAAATATCTAAGAATCTACCTTCAATTTAGTATTCCTTTTCTGATTATGATCATATAGTAGCTGTAATTTGCACAATTGGATTGCAAAGTAATAGATTTCACAAGTCACACGAAGAAGGAAATTTGGCTAATATCAAGTACAACTAAAAACGTAAAAGTTCCTCCAAATTAGTTCTCTATAGTAATGCTGAAATTGTTCCATAAATAGAATAATTATTTTAAAACTAAAAATGCATTGAATGATAAAGATATACCAAACTCACAAATGTGATAATCATTCCAAGTTGATTTCGATAGTTATGACATTAAAAAAAGAGAGACAAAAAAAAAAGTAGTAATACGAGGATACCTAGCAGAAATATGTTAATATCATACGGGAGTGGAAAAGGATCTAACTTGAGAAGGTAGAAAAGAAAGATGACTTTGCCTCAAAAATATTCTACATTGAATTTTGATATTTTTATTATTGTTTTTATTACAAAATTTCATATTTAATGTACATTATTTTTTTTAAGACGGAAATAGTAACAATCTTGAGTTTAATCTCATCAATTATAAAAATATAGCATTCTCTTTTAAAACCGAATATCTTTCTCTTCAATCCTATACACAACATTGCTAGCTTCAAAAAAGAAGAAAAAAATGTTGAATCTACACATTTTTTACCATTACAATATACCAACTCAACCATTAAATGATTACCATAAATAAACATGGTGCTCAATTCCATAATAACCTAATAAAGTCTTTGATTCTACCTATGCAAGTAATCTGATTTAATTTGAATTAGTTGAGAAATTAACTTTGGACATCAAGTGTGTAATGTACCAAGAAAAAAAAATGATGCAGTCAAGCATGTTACAAGAATGAGTAACGAATATTAAGTCGAAGATTTGTTGGCTATGGCACAGTGAATCCCAAGTCTCGGAAGTGATCCTCCATATATCCCACTAGTAGTTAGACCTCGAGATTCTGGCCTTCGGGTATCATCTACTGTCCCAAAGGGCTTTTAATAAGTGCTTTGTTGTTTGTTGCCCACTAATTTTACGGAATCTAGACATTATTCTTCAAGAAATCTGTTACTTTGTTCACCAATGCATTATCTCTTTTATTAACCAGTCAAAATCTTCTTCCCCAGTGGCAAAGCTAGAAAACAAATTCAACGGGACACATTAGCATTACTAGTTATTAACACAAATTAAAACAAAACCTAGTTAACTTAAAAGTAAGAAAACTAAGGTCCATAAAAATAAATCATAGTAGTCAAAGAAGTGAAGTATGATTTTTTTTTTTACTAAAAATTTTTTATTTGTTGTTGACATTTCAATATAACTTGAAACTATGCACCATATAGTAAATAAATTAATTTTTAGAGAATAGTTTATAGTTCAATTGACCATATATTCCTAAAGAATTATGATGGAATTTACTACCAAACTAAATTAAAATATCATTTTACCTTCCTTGTCAAAATGCAAGTTACTCAACCATCTTTTTAACTTCCTTTAACAATTAAAGGAACATTTAAGCTATCCTAATATAATCAATTTTATAATAAGTTTTGGCTTTTCAGTTTTCTACTTTAAAGAAGTGGATATTTACGACCCAACTTAATCAAAATGTCATTATATCTTCCTTGCCACATTTTGTATTCACCCCACTCAATTATCTTTTCCATTCCTTTAACAATTAAAAGAACGTTCATGTTATCCCTATATAAAAGAGAAAATGATTAAAGACATTTTTTGTATTTGGGAATGACAACAACTTTGTTGTCTTTTTAACTTTTACCATGTCATTCATTGCCCTTAAATTTTTATCAGCTGTTAACTCAAACTAATGTACATGATTTTTGATTTCTCTTCTCCTTCCTCTCTAGGTTTATTTTTTAACTTTTTGTTGTTCCTATTATAGAAAACATATTTTTTAATATGTTTACTTTTATATATGTGATTTTTATTTGTGCTCACAATGGAAATCCTATAATGTTTTTTAGATATATATATTTGAGGATTCTAGATCATTTCACTTAAATAAAACTTAAGTTAATGTGTATGAAAGATGTATGAAAGCTCTAGCAGACGTTCCTTTAGAAATTCTCTTGCTAAGGTACAGAGATATCCACTGACGTTACTGGGAACTTCTGTAAGTTAACTGCATCTCACCCATGACACCACCATACTGGGTATTAAATTTGGAAACACTGCGAATTGGGGGAAGATTGAGGATGTTTTTACAACAGATGGTGCCATGGTCAATGAAAATAATGTACCGGGTGAGTAAGGTTTTCAATTGGTTTAAACTATTTGTAACACTGAAAGAAGACAAATGACAAATTGATATCTATGATTCTGTCCAGCATTGATTTCATGAATTTCTCAAATTTTTATTTACTATTCGTTAGTTATACCGATCATATATGTAGAATAGGAGATAGAACATAGTATCCATCACCAATCATATATCTAGAATAGAATATACATACATTTCAGCACTTGTATGCTTCATATTCTATAAGAGAAGTAGCTGGATAAACATTCTTCAACCATTAACTTTTGTCCATCTATCTAATTAAACAAATAATCATTTTGCTTTAGTGGTGTGGGACGGGAATAAAGATCGAGACTTTAAGGACTCACATACTCTGCACATCCTTGGGCTATCGTATTTTAGGTGACCCATTGGTTCGATTTTTGAAGAACAATGTAAGTTTTTGTTATTTTTTGATTTCAGATTTACGTAATGGATATATTGTTGTAATTTCTACTAAAGCATCATTTCTTATTGTAATCCCAAAAATCTAAAACCAATGGCGTCATATATACTTATGCAATGGTGGCTATTGAAACAAGCTAGTGGCAACTAATTGAAGCACCGTAGGAAGAATTAGTAGCAATATTATATCTTGATTGGTAACCAATCTTTGGTTGTTAACTTTTGGGTTGCCCTGAATTCAAGTCCTACACTTCAGGAGGTACTTGTTTGGAGGGTATGAGTCTCATTTTATGGGTTTGAGTCCCAAATCTATAGCTTGGTTACAAATGAAGGCCCACCATCAATACTTTCAAACCCACTACAGTGAGCATTTTACATTCCCTGTCAAATTGAGGAGAATGATAGAACAAACTTTTTTCATATCCTTGAGATATGAAACCCATTGACCAGAATCATACCATCTTGAACCATGCACCTCCTCAGATTTTGAACTCACTGCCATGATATTTTCTGCTTTGTTTCCTCAGAAATACTCGTAAGGTTTCTCCGTTCTGGTCATAACTTTTTCTTAATTACTGATTGTCGTGTGATTGGAGATTTCTCATATTTTCATAGTTCATTTGTTTTTATTCTTCACTTCCTTTCTATGCATAATGATCTTTCTATACCACACTCTTTTCGATTATTGCTAACTGTAATACTGTCAAGCCTCGTGTTGCTGCTGAATTTCACATAGCAAAATGTAAATCTAATTTTTATTGAAGTTCAATTATTTATGTATCTTGGTGCTTAACTTGAAAGCATTGTTCTCCCCATACTTATTGTTGTTTGTTGATTGCTAAATTAATTAAGATGCATACTCTCCATTTGTTAAAAAGTATAGGACCAGTATACAACCTGACGAGGTATTAATCACCAATTCTTCTATGGCTAATATCATCCTATTCTATCTTTTTTCAGCTTATTTTATTCTACATATGGAGTTAATTTCACTGGCTTATGTATGTCAACTGGAATTTCATGATTGCGGGATTTAATATTGACCAGTTATAATTAGGTTAGTCCCTTCGTTTTTATACTTGAACTTAATTGGGAGAAAATTGATTTCAAAATTTTGAGGATACGTGTATGGGGGCGTCGTTGTGTGTGGTGGATCGAAATGGGATTCAAAAGTAAGATATTGTTACTACATCATGGATTTGGTTATGAAGCTGCAATGAGTTTCATGGAGGAAAAGTAAGTTCTCTAAAAAAATTACCAAAATATATTGATCATTATCGTCCATTTCTCATAAGTAAAACATCATTTTTATCCCAAGTTTCGTAGTTTTCCTTCTATGAACATATCGGTGGATCAGGCGTTACCAAAAGCTAGGATAGCCATTTACAGCGATTGCTTAGAAGATGGTGGTATCGGAGGTGTTGATCGGGTGTACCTCATATTCTGTACATGTGTTGTGCCATATGCAGAGGAACACCTTGAGGATAAGTTCTTAACATTAGATCTTTAATCTCGTCCATTACACCATCTAGACCCCCTTGTTATTTTTGGGTTTGA